CTCGATTCCATGAGGAGACGGCAGGGAAACTGTGTCCCCTCCCAGAGATCATCCTACGTCCCTCTTCAGTTGGCTGGTCCTCCTGATTTGTATCTTTCATAATAAAACTGTAACCACCAGTAGTGCTTTCCTGACCAAGTGATTCATTGTAGCAAATTACTGAACCTGAGGGGGTCATGAGAACCCCTGAACTCAGAGCCCGTCAGTCAGCAGTGCAGGTGGCGCAGGGACGCCCAAAGTGTGGCTGGCATCGGAAGTGAGCCCAGTCTTCTTGGGGAAACTGAGCCCTTCAACTTGTGGGGTCTAACTCTGGGTAGTTCATGCCAGGACTGAATTGCAGTACACCTAGCTGGGGCTGAAATGAATACTCACCCTTCAGGCTCCAAGCCTGGTATATTTGGGGGGGTTGGTGCAGGGAGCAAGAGGTATGAGGCTATAAAAATATCCGGGGGCACATTTACTATGAAGGCATTAATGAAGCGTGAGCTTTAGGACTCTCACTTTACAAGCCCCTCCCGAGGCTCTGGGAGGGTCCCTCACTGTGCATTCATATGGTCAGATACTTTGACAGAACTTGTAAAAGTAAGACGTTTCTGTATTGCTTGTTTTAAAGAGCTCCCTGACCCACCCGACCATCAGATTCTAGAGGCTTCAGGCCTGACAAGCCCCTGGTGGTGAGGCAGCTATTTTTACAAAAAGGGGCTGAACTCTCTTGCCTGTTCTAGCACAGTGGGTAGCAAGCAACCAAGAGTCTGAAGATTCCCAACGAGGGCACAAAAGAGCTGACAGCACCACAAGACCAGAGAGAGGCTGACAGTCTTCATGGGACTTCAGAGCGCAGGAAAGCTGACCACTAGAGACTCGGGCCGGGACCCCAGACCTTAACAGCACACGTCATCAAAGACGCCAAAAGAATAAGGTGGGACCAGCTGCACGTCAAGACCTCCAGGGACAGAACAGACCAGTAGTTCTGCATTGAGCCCAGCAGAGATCCACAGGACAGGATGCCTGTTCCAATGCCATGATGAAACCCTAGCTTCTCCCTCTATCCAGACGCCACCTTGGGGAGGAAGATGGGAAGGAACTCCGAGGAGAGGAGAGAAGCGCATACAGGGCATGGACGTTGAACTGACTATTCCCAAAAGATGAAGTTCACCAGAGACTGGCGAACACCAAAGAAATTTAGGTTTCCTCAATGGAAACTGAGATTCCAAAACAATTTTTAAAAGCCTTAAACTAACAAACAAACTGAGCTGTGTTTGAAACTGTGATCCTCTTCATTTAAAATAACATGAATACAGAACAATTTTTTTAAGTCTTCCAACTAAACAGATTGTCTAAAGGACACTGTGGGAATTTTTAGCATACTATGATTATATAATAAAACCTGTTTGTGATGAAACCATAATACAATTTTCACAGAAAGTGGCCATAGCACTTCAATTCAACCTAAGTGTTCTGAGGCAACGACTGCAGCCTCATCACCAAAATCTTACCTTCCTGGGCTCACAGACAGACCACATCTCCCACTCCCCCTTACAGCTAATGTGGCCACATGCCCGAGTTCTAGCCAATGGGATGCGAGCGGAAGCGACAGAGATCCAGGCAGGCCTGGTCCTTAGAACTCAACACGCACCACTCCATGCTGTGCTCCCCGCTTCCAGCTCACAAGGATAGGGATGACTAAGCTGGACAGAGACTCTTCAGCCTGGATCCCTGAACGTCCACGTGGAGAACAGTTGCCCCCGCCAACCACAAACACCCACCTTGGACTTGTATGTGCGAAACAAAATTCTACTTTTTTGGACAGGCCCACAAATAGGGCATGTTTAGGTCCGTCTGTTGCAGAAGTGAACATTACCCGAGGCTATTCTCTTATACATCAATCCAGGGCTATTTCAATCTGGCAATCCATGGGCACTGACTATTTGCACACAGAAGTCCTAACAAGATCCAGCGTATCAACAAATCAGGAAAGCAAGTATGTCGGCAACTACCAAGAATACTAGGAAGTTGGATTTGAGCCGTGACAGAAGAACAGGCCAAGGAATTCAAGAGCCCGGGGGAAATGCAATTAGTATTTACTTGTGAAGGCATCACAGAAGTGGGAGCATTTGAGTTGGGCCCTGAAGGATGAGGCAAGTTCCAAAGAAAGAGGAGGGGAGGGGAGTTCATTCGAACTGCAAATGAGTCCTCAAACGTTTCATCCGGTGGGAGGTGATGCTAAGGACAGACAAAATATTGTTCTGTTCACCCCAGGGAACAGGATGAGAACCAGCGAGGAGCAGCTACCAGGAAAGAGGATATTCGTTCACAGGGAGGAAGAACTAACAGCTGGGGCTGAGCATGGAGGGGTCAAAATGCAGACGAAATGCAGAGTGTCTCCTCTACTGATGGCCAGCCTCTTGGCAGGGGCGCTGCAGACAATGTGATCTAAGCACGGGGTGCGGAGCTGTCCCATTCAGCTGCCTCCATCCAGCTCTGGGGTTCTATGGGTCTGCGATGCCTCTACCAAGCCATCTTGGTACAACATTGCCAGGAGAAAGGAGAATTACTGCAGCCCTGCTACGGCATTTCTCACGCAACAGTCCGGGCCAACCTCCCTTTCAAGGCTGCGTTGCCTAGGTTCGCCCACTGTGTTCAATCATCGGCCGGTGGAGACGATCTCTGCACGTCCAGGCCCATGAGAAACCTTGAATAACATTTTATTACCACAAAAAGCGTAACAGGCTAGTATTAAACAGGATTTCTGCTGGTGAACAAGAAAGCAAACGACTGCAAGCATCTGTTTTGAATGCTAAGGCCAGGAGGCATTCTGCATTAATTGCACGGCCTGGTTAACAGCAAGTTACCAGCTCACACCAAACATGGATGCACATTTCCCTGAGGATTGGATTACAGAAAGCTGTATTACAATAAAGCTGTACTGAGAACAGTTTCGTCCTTCTTGGGTGACCTGGTATCTTGCAAGGCCCCTTAAGGTGAAAACTATGAACATCAATTTCATGGTGTAGTTTTGTAAAACAAACTAGTTTTCCATTTTTAGACGTGTACGTTATAGACAAGAGGATGTGAATCCAGTGAAGAAACACCACATAGAAAAAAAAAAGGAAGTCTACTAGATACACAGATACTATCCTAACATTACTGGTAAATTAGAAACTTTCCACTTTCCTCTTCCAAGGTTATCGTTTCAACTTCACAAGCATTCATTGAGTGTCTACTGTGTGTCAGCATGGTGCTAATCTCAGTGATATAAACCGAATGAAGAGAAAAAATGAGGTATTCTAACCTTGAAAACTTCCTAAGGTTCATAATGTTATGTTTTGAGGAGTGTTTGCCACTGATTATTGAAAAAATGATAAATTCAGCCACCTTCTTGCCCGATAAACGAGATTATTTTGCTTGTAGTGTCTAGAGGTTATACATATATAAAGACTGACCTTAGAATGTTGGCCTAGATTGTTGTCTCATCGCCCGTAATATTCCAGGTATTCAAATTACTGCTCACATAAAAGAGAAAGGGAAAAGAATTTTCCCAAGCTCATAAATGAATATTAAAGTAAACCTCTTCCCATTATAGAATGGATCTTAATTATACAACTGCAACCTCACAACAGTGAAACAAAAGAAATCCATAAAACCATATTCTGAGACCACTGGAATATTTGGATGCGACAGTAAAACGGTCACACAAAAGTTACATATCATATGCCATTGCTCAACCGTAAGTATGAGCCATGCTTTCTTAGTCTCTTTCTTTTCAGGATACCAGAGGCTTCAATCTTTTTGAAATTTAGGTCATGCCTCTCTCATCATACAACATCCTGAGTAAGTCACATCTCAAATGGTGCCAAGACCTGTCCGCCTTTGATATCCAATCTTACAATACTTCCCCCATCGCTTTTTGACCCACCTACCTACTTACAGCCCGGGTCCTAAAATCCATGTTTTACAAAGCTTGCGAACTATATTCCCTTTCAATAAAATGAACAACTCACAAAAACAGCTTCTATTTTGTTTGGTTTTCACCGAACCACCCTTATTATTTCCAGCACGCATTTACCGGCGCTGCCTGGAGCGCACATCCCTGATCGTTCTATCTTGGCACTAAGTCTGCTCCCAATAACGGAAATTACGGCTAAACCTTCAAAGGGAAGATTCACACTGGCCTCGGCACTCACACACGTGGCTCCTAGGAGCATTTTGATATTTCTGTGCTCGAACATTAGGAGATAACATTCCTCAGTCAAAATGAGAAACTGGCATTTTCCAAAGCAGAGAAAACAAAAAACAAAACCCCCAAAGTACAGAATACTGTTTCCAAGTGTCAGTGACCCGAGTCCCAGGCCCTAGTCTGCGCTGGCGACGGTCAGATCAGATTGAGCTGACATCGAGCCCCCATATACATCAGCGCTCACTGATTCTGTTATTTCTAGCCAGCCGTGTGGTCCTGCGGAATCACCTAACCTCTCGGGGCCTCAACTGCTTCGTCTGTAAAACCAAGAGAGTACAAAGGCACCTTCCAGCGCTAATGTTCTTCGGGTCTAGGAAATAACGCGGGTAGAAGAGGCCGCTGTCCTGAACGCTCTCTCTGCGAGACTTGCAAAAGTGAAACTCCGATTAAAGACCATGAAATGAGGGGGGACAATTAACAAGTCCTCTAAGGCCCTCTTCCACATTTTGATTCTAACTCCGAGAGAGTGAGGCATGACCAGGCGATCGGTCATAAAACATTAGTGGGTCTCATAGCTCTCATAACCCTGTGTTTCCAAAGGCCAATTCTGCTCTTGCAAAACAATTCTTCATTATCTTCCAAGGCCCTGCCGTGAAATGTAGAATGACTCCACTGCAAGAGCAGAATGACTTTATCTATGTTCAAGAGGCCCTTCCCCTTCTATGGGCAACTGGTCCCTCTCAGACAGTTCCAGCCTCAGGCCCCTGATTTCTCTGAGCCAACAACACTCCACGTAGCAAGAATTCGAGAAAGCCACACCTACCCTCAGCCACTGCTTCTCTGTGAGGGCGTCGCTGTAGTCCACGTCCCGGCGCTGGCGAGACCCCCTCCCGAAAATCTTCTCCTCCTCTTCTTCACACGTCAGCCGTTCCACCTCGGCGTCATCTTTAATAATCCAGGAGGGCAGCTCATCTTCCTCCATCAGGCGGGGCTTGCGTTTTGGGTTCCGGGCATCCTCCCTCCGCCGGTCCATGTCCATGCGCTGGAGGGATGAACAGAAGTGTCACCAAAGGGAAAGGGGATTCGGTACAGTGTAGACTTGCAGCACATAAGTCTTCACAAGTCACCTCCTATGGCTGCAGGGTCCCTTCAGCTTCTCCCACGGAGCCTCTGTATCCTGGCTGACTTGTTCTAGCTCATCCTCAAGGCCCAAATCTCTTCCCTTCCCCTGTACCCATCTTTGAAATTTACTTATGCACTTAAAAAAATACTCTTTAAAAAATTCCTTTTCTTAGTCTATGTGGGTGCAAAAGCTTCCCCTTAAGTAATAGTGAGAAAATTCAAATTGGGGATGTATTTTAAAAATGATCACAGCAGGGCTTCCCTGGTGGCGCAGGGGTTGAGAGTCCGCCTGCCGATGCAGGGGACACAGGTTCGTGCCCCGGTCCGGGAAGATCCCACATGCCGCGGAGCGGCTGGGCCCGTGAGCCATGGCCGCTGAGCCTGCGCATCCGGAGCCTGTGCTCCGCAACGGGAGAGGCCACAACAGTGAGAGGCCCGCGTACAGCAAAAATAAATAAATAAAAATAAATAAAAATGATTACAGCATAAATTGATAGAACATTGTAAATCACCTATACCGCAATAAAAACAAAAATGAGTTAAAAAAAAAATGAGCCCTGGTGATACAACTCATTGCTGCACTGGTATAGAAGTATTCTTCAAGCATATAAAGGGGAAAGTTCATTAAGAAAATTTCCTTTACCTCAATAGGGTTCATGCTTTTAATTAAAGAGCCAGGAAAAAAAAACCAGCCACCCAGCGTCACTATAAAATAGCCACCCTCGGTTGGACTCAGACATGTAGGCACATAACTGGCTTATTAATCAGTTGGCCATGAATGCATTGAATTTTTAGTGCACCCTGGGCTCTGGGAGAGGAATGTCCCTCAATTCTTTAGCTTTCAAAAAGCTTAGCTCTTATGAAAATATCATGCCACAGAGTGACAGACCTCAAAGGTAATCTCATCTCAACTGATATAAGTGAAATGGCTTCCTTTCAACAGCCTTCAAAATGCCTATTTCCCCACCTCCTGCTTTCTTTTTTTAAAATCCAGTGCGCTAGTAAATAAATTAAGTGCCACATACTTGCCTTTAACCTATAACTAAACAATTTGATAGTTAAAGAAGAACAAATAAAACCTCCACTGAATTGTTATATACGTTCGTTATATGTATCTATCACTGGCTAGACCCTTTCTACAAGCGAACAGACCATTAACCATTAAATGATTTACCTTTTCCCTCTTTCTTCCTTCAGTTCTACCGTACTGAAACAGGGATTCAACATTAATTTTTTCTTAAGAGCTGAGAGTGGTAACAAAATGTAAATGAAATTTCTATTTAAATCCAAATTCGACCTCTAGAATCTATTTAAAGTTCAAAGTTACTTAAACTATGCTTCAACATTTTTGGAAATCATTGTATTCCCAAGATGGGGTAGGCTTGGAGCATGGTGGAGTCCTATTGGTAGATAAATGTGGCCGTTCTGTTCTGTCATATGCTATAGTTAGCTGGAGAGGCTGCTCTTAATCCTGCCTTCCAATGCTCTGGATTCAGAAATGGGATCCACAAAACCTTCATAATTAGCACACAGAGGATGCCTTGTTAACAGCACAATCTAAAGAGGGTCTTCTCACGGTAATCTCCTAATAGTTATTAGATAGCTATCAAGAAAAATCATTTTTTTGTTACAGCACTACACAGAGATGACAAAATACTGCCACTTCAATTTTTGGTTATATGATTACCATTTCCTATACCGAGGACTTGTAAAATGACCTATGCCATGCATTAGGCCACAATTGAGAAAATAAATCTCTTCTAATACAAAAGAAAATAAATTGCACTTGCCTTTTCTTTTAGGAAAGACCCCCCAAAATATTTTTGATGCCATTTTTAATAAGCTTAAAGTTCTCATGATTGTATCTCTTCCCAGAGATTTCCGCTTGCAGAAGACCAGTACAAACTCTGAAGTTGATATTCAACTAAGCATAATTAAGTATTCAGATACTACATGAATATGTTTGTCTTAAGACCCAATAACCTTATGCTAACAAGTACAATTACTTTTAAAAGTACTTGTTGCCTTTGGAGGGGGCAGGGCAGCTTGAAAGCTTCATGTTTGCATGTTAGCAAAACGTTTCAGATATGTATCTTGACCTGTCAAAGATCTCTTTTAGGTAGAATTCACAGGTAATCGGTATAAGAGATAACTTTCTGAAGTCACATTTTTTGAAAGGAGAAAACAAGAAAAATGTTCGAAAGACAGGTTTTATTTTAAAGAGACAATCTGCTTCACGTGTGTTATTTAACTACAGTGCCTATGATATGAAATCAAATAATATGTCTGTATTAATTTTATATAGGGAGCTAACTTTTTGTTTTTGTAACAGTGGATAAAGAGTTTAAATACTCCAACTCCAAATCCGGCTCACATTCCATTGTTTCTCACTACAGTTTTTAATCTGACTGAACTGGCAAGGATTCAATTTCATTTCCTGCCCCCTGGTGGAGGTGCTAATGAATAGTGAATTGGCCAAAGGCAGCCGGCTGATGAGAAGATTTTAAAAAACCAACACAAAGCAAACCAAACCAAAGTGAACTGAAAATCTGTATTATCCAGAAATGAGAAGCCAACCTTTAAGAAACAAGCACAACATTCACGAAATCAAAATGCCTACAGAGAAGTATATTCCCTAACCAGCTTCACCTGTTCCAAGCCTGATATTCCCAAATTAAAAGAAGACTGTGCCTTGGCCAGACATCCAATTTTTTTTCCCTGAGGCTTTCAATTTCTACAAATACCCAGCCGGAAAGGCAGAAAAGAGAAGTACTCTTTTTCTCTTATTTCAGGGCTGCTGATGGAAATCTCCATCTCTGGGCCTAATCTAATTTGTATAATGGCAGACAGCTTATCCTTTCCAAGGGCCTCAAGAGTATCTGAGGCTACAGCGGTGCTGAATTATTGCCAATCAGTGATCAGCCAAGGAAGCTGAGGGCCTCTTGCCTCGGTGTTCCCTAGTAATCTACATTTTAATAAGTTCCTCAAAGAGAGAAAAGATGTCTATTTCCTACGTGTATCTCTAATCTCCCCAAACAGAGAATAATCTATAAAGGTGGTGATTGGCAGTATGAGTTAAGAAATTTAGGTTTTATGAACACCCTATGTTGAACATGCTGGTAAAGTCGTTTTTCTGTTATTTCTCTTCAAAATGGCCTTGGCTGGGTGGGATGGTTCACTTAGGAGGGGAAAAAAGTACACATCCCAGGGTAGGACTTATTCCCATGGCTACCTAAAAGTTTCCAGAGAAAGAATTAAATGTCCTTTATCTTGAATCACTGTGTGTGAGCACAATCATTGTTCCCAAAAGTCACAAAACCACAAAAATAACGTCAGCCTCCATGCAGCTGGGGTTCCCTTCTCAGACTGCCTAGGCTAAAGAGGTGGAAAATGCAAACCCTGTGGGTCCTATTTGGCCCAGGGTCGTATTTTGTTTGGCTTGAAGTGTTAAATACTAATAAAAAACTGAATTTAGTTGCAAACATTTTGAAATCCAGAGACTGAATATAAAAACCTCACTTTCTAGCTTCTCTTGAAAATTTGGAATTTCTGGCTACATGGGGCTTGCGGCTCTGTCCCCCCGAGACAAAGCAACTCCCATTCACCGTTCACCACCATCCCCTCACCCCTGTCCACTTGCTTCACTCGTGCAAATCACTTGTCTGAGACCTGGGGGCTTCAAATTTGGGACCTCTGATTTGGGGGTTCCTCAGCATTCGACCACAGAGTTACAGTTCACATTTATTTACTCACTCCACGGTCAGGCTAAATGTTAGAAAGATCAAAATGACTGAAGGTATTGGGGGGGAGCCTTGCAACTTTGTACATCCTGACCTCCTCACAAGGCCTGAAATTTTGCAAATGCCACCATTCGTTCAATAAATATTTGTTAAGCAACTACTACGTGCCAGAAACTGTTCTGAGTGTTGTGCATACAGAGATAAATAAATAGCTATAGCAAATGCCTTAAGAACACAGTCAAATGTGACTTCTGAGGGCCTCCCTCACCAGCCAAGGGGGTTGCTCCCTTCCCTACTGACCTTGAGGCAGGCCACACACATAATCAAATTCGGGTTTCAGCAAAATTGCAGATGACTACGTATCTTGGAACATCAAGGTTGAAACCATGGATGTTAAACGGTCAAATGTCAAGGTTCTTTTGCATCTGCTTTGTACCAGTGAAATGCAACCAGTTTTGATCTTTGAGTGAAGTCTACACCTTGATGCACATCTGGAAGGTTGCTTAAGCAGGCTCTCTTCAACAATAACAAGAGGCAGGACTATGTCATTTTAGTTGCTCTCCGCCCCCCTGCTGCGCCCCCAGGGAGCATATTTGTTTTGATTGCTAAGGAGACAGCTAGGGAATAGCTGTGAACTCTACCTAGAGGAGCAGGGCAGGTTTCCTGAAGGATGCTGGCCAGGATCAGAAATGAGCTGGAAGGGGGGGGGGGGGGGGGGGGTGTCTGTGGTAGGCTGTAGACCACACGGCCTGTCCTGAGGACGCAGCTGCTGCGAAGCCCTAGCCAAACGCTTCCATAGAGAGATGTGGGCCTGGTATTACTGCCCATGTTCAGTTTTCACGAGAAGCCAGAAATCAGGATTCTTTTTGCGTTGGCAACGGATTCGAAATTTTTAAAAAAGACATGGCATGGGCCAAACAAAATATGTCTGCAGGCTAAAGCCAGGCAATTTGCAGGCTCTGAACTGAAGGAAAGGCCCAGGCTTCACAAATGAAATTTGGCCAGGGCACACAGGCCCCAGACATCTTGTGTTTAACAGAAAAGGAGGGAGAGGAATGAGGCATTTGTTTCCATGATTTTCTGTAACGTTACCATAAAAAGATCAAATTCCTCCTCTCGTCGAGCGATCATTTGGTTCAGAGTCTCATCGTCGGGTACTTCATCTTCTTCCTGGGGTTAAGACCAGAACAGAACAATTTAACAGGCTTCCGGAGAGAGGCTGGACAATTGGGCTGAGGTACTGATAAGTAAGGTGAATCAGTCCTCCAGACCAGCGGGACCCCATTTCTCAAGCCAGAAAGAAAACAGAAGGGTCACTGGGTATAGTACTTGCCATTATTATTTTGCAAGCGATTCAAACCATCTTCCCAGAGCAAAATCTGTTTAGGGAGGAAAGGTGGTGTACTCTCTAAGACATACTGGTTCTCTCGGGGCAGGGGTGTATCTTGATTCCCTTACTTTTAGAACAAGTTATGTCTCCCCGCCTCAATGACCTCATCTGTAAACTGGGCATGACATTTCCTTCGCAGAGAAGATGTAGGATTTAAATAAGGAAATCCCCATGAGAAAGGGCCTAATATTAATTCTTTTAATTCTGTTAACCTTATCCCCAACGTAAATGCTTATTTTCAAAGCTTTACAAAGGACATGAGTATGTGAAACTTAGTGACAAGGCACCAAGCAAGACCATAAAAATCATATATATATGTGTGTGTGTGTGTCAAATACATAGCCTTTAAAATATGTTTAATATGTATTTCGGTGGGCACTGTTACGCTAATGTTAGAGCTGTAGTCACGACAACTCAAAAGGTAGCAATAACAAAACCTCCACAAAACTCTTCTTAATGAAAATCATTTAAATGAGGTAGAGAAAGCAACCACCTAAGGCCTCACATTTTCATTTGACAGTATGTTAGACCAAGGCACCTTATGGCTCTGAAAATTCCTCAGAAACCAACAGTTCTCAAATTTTTTAGAAATGTTATGCTATGATTTTCACACTTTAAAAAAAAGATTGTAAAAGTTGGGCAGATACTACAGAACTTACCGCCCAAAATTATTTTTATCATATGTTGAGTGAGCTTGTTAAAAATCAAATGGGGAGTTTCAATGTATCAGCAGAGGGACGAAAGGGAAACCCAGAACTTCAAACATCCAATTTCCCAAATCATACGTTCAAAACAAGGCAACCTGTTCTAGAAAGAGTACGGGTGGCCTAGCAGCTTAAATGAGATGACTCTGCCTGTTCTCAAGATAATGTCTTGCGCACCGTGTCAGAAATGAATGCAATTCAATAAAGTAAAAACTGATGACTCAAGATAAGAATTACTTGTGTAAAAATTTCTATGCTAGTTCATCTCTAGATGGAAGGCAATTTGTCTAAACACATTATTACATTTCATCTGACAAAGAAATAGACTAGCTGGGAGTGGGCTGAGATTTTAAGGTACAAAGAATTCGGTTAATGTATCCACTGGGGAAAAGATGTCCTGCTTCTGCCCACCCTATTCCTAGGGCCACGTTATCCCCTCATCACCTATACAGTGTGGGGTTGGACTTCCCCCAAGCCCAAGATGAAAAGATGCTCTTGTAAACTGGCAAGAAGCCTGTCTACAGTGGCCTGGCCTTCACAGAGAACAAGTGGGCAATAAATCTTCCTGGGTTCCTTGTGCCCGAGTGTTCCATGGTCCGTCAACCATGGTGATGGTGCCTCTGATATTCAGGACCAGAGCCCTTGACTGCAGGCTATCAGTGTCCCCAAACATTTTCACATCAGGACACATGCCATCCAGAAAATGATAACATTTGTCTGACAAACTGATAGCCTGGAAGGGGTGTGGAGCCCCAGCCAGGCTGCTCACAGTTAGAAGCAACCGGCGCTGCATTGCACTGCAGGCCCCACCTGGTGGCCCACAAGGTTAGCAGACATTTGGTCCTGTCCAAAATGTCCATAAGACATTTGGTTCACGCCGAAAGGTTCTTGAAATTTGGTCCCATCCAAAACATCCATGAGTATATTTGGTCCCTGGCAAGCGGTTTTGGATAGGATCAAATATCGAGGACCCTTTGGTCCGGACCAAATGTCTTATGGATGCTTTGGACAGGGCCAAATGTCCTGCAGGGACCCTCAGGACTGGGAGGGATCAACATCTCCCTGAGGCTTAGGAAGTTTGGAAAGCTCCAGGCAACCCTACACTCCACCTAAACCAGGTTGGGGACTATCTTCACAAGGCCTACACAAAACAAAAAGCAAAAACATCATGGAGACTCCTGGCTGAGTATCAGCTCTGCCCACACCTGCTTTGTGACAGTATATATCACTCACCCTAGTATTTCATTTTAAAAATTTCCATGTGTGTAAATACCAACAAAAAAAATCGCCTGAAAATCTGATTCTAAATTTGTATCAACTATTTCAATTTTGAGAATCAAATCTGTATCAAATATTCAACTTGCAGAATCAGACATGGTAAACTATTTGAGATCAAAATTTTAAAAATATGCGTGAATGTATGAATGTATGTGCATATGCATTTTTCATCACTTTAGTGAAATCTAATAGATAACTAATCAAACATATAAGACTGACAAGTGAAGAGGTATAACAGAAAAGGGCTCTTCAATTTGCAAAAAGATTCATTTCAGGATGACTTTAAATATCAAGAACTACTTCACATTTCCACTTATTTCAGAAAAAAAAACTACATGAGATTTTTGAAAGAATTTGGTTTATAATTTATAGAAGATTTCAAAAACATCCTACTTAAGGCAAAATCAAACTACAGTTGACACTTGAACATCTGGGGTTAATCTATGTATATCTTACATGTAAATCGAAAATCGGCTGTCCAATTCCACAGTTCCTCTGCACCCATGGAGTCAACCAACTCTGGACCCATGTAGTGCTGTAGTACTTACTACAGAAAAGCATCCACATGAAAGTGGACCCACACAGTTCAAACTGTGTTGTTTAAGGGTCAACTGTATATCTAATATACGCAATGAAAATAGTATATTCCACATGAATAGATAAGATAAACCCATTCTTCCACTTACGAACATGGGCACGCCAAACCAAATTTGTCCATCCCAAGCCAATTTTATGGTAAGGACTGGCACTGGTATTTTGTTCAGTTTTCTAGACTACATAAGAACTATGTCTTTTAATCTATTTCAAATCCATCTGGGGATGAAAATTTAGTATAGAATTACTAAGACTGGCAATCTAAAAAAATACAGCTACCCAAAGATCCCCTGAGAGAAACATAATCAATGCACTCTTCGAACAATGTTGGCAAGTAAAAAGAGATTTTTTTTTTTGGCCAATAATTTTCTCAGCCGTTGGTCAGCTCTTACAGGAGCATTTGGAGTGGAGGTTAACGTCACTCTTTTCCAGTAAAAGTATGACTCAAAGAGCTAAAGACAGCTGTGAGGGCTTATCCTACAAACACACTCAAGTGCTGTGATCCCTGATAAAAAGGCAATAGAGACAAAGGGCTCTGAAGGATGGAGAAAGAAAAGGCAAGGGGTGACCCTTCCAGCTTTGTGTTGTCTCATCTAGCAATTTTGTTCCTGCAGTGGCCTCTCTGCGGTTCTGCATCTGGCCTACAGAGGGCAGCACTTACAGTACAATCAAGCATGCAGGCTGCACCTCCCGGCAGAAACCAGGGAAGCATTGGATGGCCAAGCCTTCAGGTCCCTCTAGCAACTGCTTTTTAGACACTCGTTTGGATGTTTCACAGGCTTTTTGTGCTTGGGGTGTAACAAAGCAGCTAATTCATTCATTTTAATTCACCCCAGCCCAAGAAATTCTTTAAAGAACAAAGAGGTTCTTCCCAATCCTTGCAAGACACAAGATCACTGATTTCACAGACTTGGCTTTCTGGGATACCTCATTTTCCTCTTCGTGCTCCAGTATGGCTTGCAGGAATGCCCTCCGCTCGTGGCTTGAAGACTTCTGATCAAACATGCCTGCCTGGATCACTTTCTGATCCACATTCAGCTTGTACTTGGCGGCTGCGAGGATCTTTTCCTCCACACTGTTCACGGTGCAGAGTCTCAGCACGCGGACCTCGTTCTGCTGGCCGATGCGGTGAGCGCGGTCTTGTGCTTGCAGGTCCTGTTTGAGAAAACCACGTGTTTGAGGGCCACTGTGCCTGGATTAGCCTAGCAGACAGGTCACCCACCCAAGAGGGAACTATGGAAGCGTTCTTTAACCCACCTTCACTAATGCAAGATTCTGCTTACATTTTCAAAATATACAAGCTACCTTCTTCGGAAAAATTCAAGGTCATTCCTAGTTGAGGGAAACTGGGTTCAAATTAGCCAACTGAAATACACCTCAGGTTTTGAAATCCAGGTCTCAAGATGTGTTTGTGTGTGTGTGTGTGTGTGTGTGTGTGTGTGTTTAATCTGTCCCTAGGTTCACCATCAGATTTGTCCCTAACTAAAAAAAAAAATTAATAAAAATAAATTTGGTGTCAGAATTATGACTTGGATATTAACTAAAACTAACCCTAAGTTGCAAGGTTAAAGGAAGGCGTTAAAGATGATTTTTAAGACATCGCTGAATTATACACACATACATTATACACATAAACACACACTGTTCATACAATGATTACCCATGTAGCAAATTTCCTGGGATCTAATTCCATCAAAGACTCAATCTTTAGTTCGGGGAATGAAAAGGATTGCTAGCGGAGTAGTAAACTGGACAACTTTGGGGGCATAGAAATTTAGCACTATGTATCAAAAGTGTTGAAACTGGGTATGGCCCCTGACTCAGAAATTTCACTTCTTGGGAAGGTATCCTACGGGAATAATCGTGGATATGCACAGGGACTTACAGTAAGGATGCGCCTCTCAGCATTACATATCATTTATAATGTTTTTTTTAAAAAGCAGAATTAAGTAAACATTCAACAATAATAGATTGGTTAAATAAATTACAGTTTTTTACTCTATGTATATACAACATAGTACATTAAAAATTATACTCTCATTTAGAAAACTTAATGATACATCATAAAGCTATAATAACTGAAAACTACAAGTTATATGAGTATGTACATTATGATCTTATGTGCATACATTTATCTGTACCAAGAAAAGGCAGGAAGGACAAATACCAAGAAGCTAATAATGTTTATATCTGCAGGTATTAAGATTATAGGTGTTATTAAATTTTCTTCATTTTACTTTCATGTGGTTTGGCAATTTTTTTCTGCTTTGAATGTACATTACTCTTATAATAAAAAAATAAGGTTTTAATGAAATCTTTAAATAAAAACCATCGTAAAGCTATGAAGCAGAGTTACCTAATCTTAAGGCTATGCCATAAAAACTTCTTGGTACATCACTTTTGTTCATTCTGGTCCAGGTGATGATCTCTCCAGTGCTAATTAGCTGTTTCCATGTGTCCCCCATTAGACCCGTGTATATCTTTAGGGCAAAGGTCTGTCCCCTGCATCCTGCATCCCTGGCACCCTCTTTTGCACAGAGCTGATACCCTGCCACAGCTGTAAGACCATCGTCTTGGCCAGATGAGTTTCTTGGTCACTTAGACAGCACAAGGAGACAACAGGTCGAAGTCTGCCCAGGAGACCTGTCTTTGCTGCAGGGACCTTTACAATTAAATGACTAATTAGGCAAAAGGTTTTCCTCAGAAGATATCTGAAGAAGTGACTATAAACATGGGAGAGCTGAACCATGAATACAGCTGGGACTCATCCAAATTAGATTATTTTCCAAAGAGGAGAAAGTGAGGTGGGTCATTAAAATCCAAAGGGGGGGCGGGGGCGGCGTGGAAACCCTAAACTTCATTTTCTGTTCGAGCCCTGAGCTCAGTCATCTCCCTCCACACATCTTCCCCAGAATGGCTGAGCAGCAGCCATGCTGGCAAGCTCTGTGCCATCAACCTCCTAATTATTTCCTAGAAAAGGGGTCACACACTGCTTCCAGAATGGGCCCAGTGGTAAACAGTCCAGGCTATCTTGGCCAAGAGCAAACACTGAGCGACTGTTCTCACCAAGAGGCTGATAATCGTTTCTCTTTCTTTTTCAATTTACATTTTTATACTTTTAAATGTGAGAACCATTCTTTGCTTTCAGGTGGTCTAAACTCAGGTTGCAGGCCAGGCTCAGCCCTGGGTTGCAGTTTGCTGACCCCTGTCCTAGAAGATGCTGATAACCCACAAAACACTAAGGTACAGGTGGCGGCAGAATATGCTAGGTGAGGAAGTAGAGGGCATGGACCATCTACCAACAGGGTAACAAGTTCTTGAACCCCTGGGTGCTTACAGCAATTAGTTTTCTGCTTTTTTTTTTGCTGGTGGTGGCAGCAGTGGTGTTTTTTTGGTATGTTTAAAATGATCTATCTAGGGACTTCCCTGGTGGTCCAGTGGTAAAGAATCTGCCTTCCAATGCAGGGGACGCGGGTTCGATCCTTGATTGGGGAAATAAGATCCCACGTGCTGCGGGGCAACTAAGCCTGCGTACCACAACTACCGAGCTCGTGCGCCTCAACGAGAGAGCCTGCGTGCAGCAAACTACAGAGCCCGCGTGCTCTGGACCCCACGTACCACAACTAGAGGGAGAAAACCCGCACGCCACAACTAGAGAGAAGCCCGTGGGCCACAACGAAAGATCTCGCATGCCTCAACAAAGGATCCCGCGGGCCGCAACGAAGACCCGACACAGCCAAAATAAACAAACAAACAAGCAAACCCAAAAAACAAGACAAAAAACCCTTAATGTAAGATGATCTATCTATTTGAAAAATAGCAAAAATGACGATTTCTAGGCTGAAGAAGTTTACGCAAGGTAAGCCTGTGGGCCCCTAAGCCAAAAATGGGGGGGAGGTATTACGACGAAGAAAGAAGCGTTGTAATCACTGAATGGATTATTCACCAATGAGGTCTCAGTGGTCTGAAAGCCCATCATACTGATTTAGGTGTGATTATAGCTGTAGACAAGAACACAGCCTGAGAAAAGGACCTCCAAAGTAACTGTGTGGTTGACCATTCTGTGATAACAACACAGCTCCAGCTTCATGGGTTAAAATGAATAAAATAAAGTGCCAACCCATGTTTCTCGTAACAGTTTGGCAATGAGAGTCCTGATAATCCCGAGGGGTTTTAGTGCTAATCCTACATTCATACGTTCTATCTTTGACTTTAGCAGCGACCTCCAGTTAGCAACTTTAAGGCCTGTATCTTCAATCTGTCAACCTATGTCAAATAAACCCTATTTCATCCATGTGTGTTAATTTTGATTCAACATAATAAAGAATAATTACAGGGGCTTCCCTGGTGGCGCAGTGGTTGAGAGTCTGCCTGCCGATACAGGGGACACGGGTTCGTGCCCCGGTCCGGGAAGATCCCACATGCCGCGGAGCGGCTGGGCGCGTGAGCCATGGCCGCTGAGCCTGCGCGTCCGGAGCCTGTGCTCCGCAACGGGAGAGGCCACAACAGTGAGAGGCCCGCGTACTGCAAAAAAAAACAACAACAACCAAAAAAAAGGCTGGCATAGAGTGAGGATCCAATAAATGTTAGCTGTTTTATGTTGTTTTTATCTTGGAACATTTTTTTTTTTTTTGCGGTACGTGGGCCTCTCACTGCTGTGGCCTCTCCCGTCGCGGAGCACAGGCTCAGCGGCCATGGCTCACGGGCCCAGCCGCTCCGCGGCATGTGGGATCTTCCCGGACCGGGGCACGAACCCGTGTCCCCCACATCGGCAGGTGGACTCTCACCCACTGCGCCACCAGGGAAGCCCTTGGAACATTTTTGATTTATCCTTAACCAAATATGCTTTGCTCAGCGGCAATCCCAGGAGATGGGGTAGGGGGGTAGGGGGGTGGGGGGATGGCTTAAAACTAGGCAGAAACTTGAGTCTTTGTCCCCCAAACTTGAACTCTTCAAAGGTACACCAAAGGTGTGTGCAAGAGATCTCAATATCTATGTTCCAAGGGAGATAAGCAAACAGCCATAATAATGTGCCGGGCTATTTTCCCTTTGAGGAAATGGTCCACTCGTTTAGAAATGTGCTCTGCCCCATAAACGTATATGAGGGAGGGAACTGCTAGTCTTTCAGTTCCTCTCCAGAAGGAAGGCCTGGGCACCCAAGTCAGAGACATGCACACCTGATGAGGATTCCAGTCGCTGTCAAAGATGACCACGGTATCAGCTGCCTGGAGATTTAAGCCCAGGCCTCCAGCTCTTGTGCTCAGCAAGAAAATGAAATACTGGGACCCAGGTTCGTTGAATTTCTTCAGCAAAGCAGCACGATCTTCAGACTTGGTGGTGCCTGAGGGGATAAGAAAAATAAATTTGACAATTAACTCCTGTCTGAAAATGTCACAGAGTTAGACAAAAAGGCCTACTTCCTTAAGAAACAGACTCAGACTCCTCTTAGTATTGGTGAGGAAATCCCCTAAGGTTTTTGCACTTTTGAAAGGAACTTTGAACATCTTGCAATTAAAAAAAAAAAAAGAGAGAGATAGTAAGAGACTTTTCTCTAAATAAGAAGGAATACTCTGTCTACTACTCATTGTTCCAAAATGTTGAAAAGAGTTTAAACATTCTGACTGGGCATCTGTGAAACTTACATATCCTATAACATTCTTATGTCAACCTAAAACTTGGTGGAAACATTCCCTGAATTTTTTTTTTTTTTTTTTGCGGTACGCGGGCCTCTCACTGTTGTGGCCTCTCCCGCTGCGGAGCACAGGCTCCGGACGCGCAGGCTCAGCGGCCATGGCTCACGGGCCCAGCCGCTCCACGGCATGTGGGATCCTCCCGGACCAGGGCACGAACCCGCATCCCCTGAATAGGCAGGCGGACCCTCAACCACCGCGCCACCAGGGAAGCCCCCTCTGAATTTATTTTTATGCTTGAAAACACCAAATAATTTAACGCACACACACACACACACACACACACACACACACGTGCCTAAAAGATTGATTATAATGGCTTAAAGCTACTTTGCCAATAGGCTTTAGAGTAAGGACTTGTTCATGCCCAAGGGAATGGAAACAAAAGTAAATCTATTTCTACTATATTTTACCATTCAGATGGCTACTGAGCATGATCTGGCTGGTAAAAACATAAAATGTGAACGGAACATTTTTATCCTTGTTAGCAAGACTTGAAGCCAAAATAACTCAAAAAAAAAAAAAAAAGGAATCTCTCAGTTGGTTTCTCATGTTGACATTCTGCTCCGCTGAGTTATAAACTATAACCATACAAAGCATCATGTAATACACCTGGCGATGGCTCACCCCATGGTATCTGATGAGACTCCAAAACAGTGAATAAGCAGAGAGTATGAAACCCCAGAGAATGGTACTCACTTTTAGGGCACCAAGGTACCCAGACTTGCATCCCAAATCAGCCCCTCAATCACATACAATGTATTTGTAATGTATTTACCTGGCCATTTCATGAACTGCATTGTGGAAAGGAAAAAAACCTACCATATTCCATCTGAATAGATTTCACCAGAAAAGTGTAGCTGCAGAGTTCTGAAAAAGGTCTTAGGCTACTGGCACATATATATGTATGTTACATGATAGTCCCTAACTACCTGTTGTACAAATATTATTTCTACATGGTGTTTTTTTTTTACGATGAAAATATACCGAGAATTTATTTCAGAGGATTAAAACATCTAAGTGACTCCAGCTAATGGAATCGAGTTACTGTGGAGGTTCAAGTTCCCAAACATGGGGAGATCTGTTTTTCATATTAATAAAAACAGTAAGTACCCTCCCGAGGAGGGAAAAAGAACATTCCTGAATACAGCAAACGGGGATTAGAAACAAGGGGCTTTGGGAGTCCCCATTCAATGAAGCAATGTTCTTTAGAGCTCATTCTACTTTCCAAATCAGATTTCAAGTTGTGCAACCTGGTCAAATCCTGCAATGATGAATTGTAAGAATTTAGATTTGCGGGGAGGAACGTGAAATGTGTTTTGTTAAACGAGGTTTCAAACAAGTGGTGCCCTTTTTTCTCTTATTTTCAGAATTGGCTTTCTGAGATCACGATAAACTTATCTGTTCACGATGCTAATGGAAGACATGTTCTGGTCTATCATGAAACCATTTTGCTACATCATTTGCCCAGGTGCAATGATTTTTTAAAAAAATTACTCACATAAATTACTGGTTCACATATTTACCCTCTGCCTTAAAGTGAAGGAAAAGCCAAAGAAACAAAAACAAAACAAAACAAAAAAAGCAAACACTTCCAAAATGGGGAAAGAAGGAGTTCCCAGAGATAATGGTATAGTCATCCCTTTGTACCTATGGGTTGTGCATCATCCAGGGATTCAACCAACAGTGGATCAAAAGTACTCCAAGTTCCAAATTAAGAAGTCCAGAAAGTTCCGGAAGAGCATAATTTGAATTTGCCAAGCAGCAGCAACTATTTACATAGCCTTTACATTGTATTAGGTATCATAAGTAATCTAGACATGGTTTAAAGTACATGGGAGGATGTGCACAGATTGATTACATGCAAATACTACGCTGGTGTTTTTGCTTGTTTGTCTGTTTTTTTAATTTCTGGCCATACTGCACGGCATGTGGAATCTTAGTTCCCCGACCAGGGATCAAACCTGCGCCCCCTGCATTGGAAGGCAGAGCCTTAACTACGGGACTGCCGGGGAAGTCCCACTACACTGTTTTATATTAGGGGCTTGAGCATCTGCAGATTCTGGTATTTGTGGGGTTCCTGGAACCAAGCCCCCGCCTTGGATACTGAGGGACGAGGGACCAACTGTATCTATTTTCTGACATCAGGGTACAAAAACTGTGCATCTGTATACTAAGAGGGTAGAAGTTCACTTTTGATCCACTGAACTGAAAAATAATCAGTTAACAATTACATGCATTAAGATATAAATAAAACTAATTAGTGGATATGCGTACTTGGGATGAAATAACACTAAATGAAAAATAAAGCACTGAAAAACAAAAGGGATATCAAAATTATCTGGTCAGAAGAGTTTTTAGGCCCTATGCTAGACACTTCAAGCAAACAGACGGACCATATTATCTGGTGTGTATTTAAATCATATACGTAGCTTGGAACTTGACACATTATAAAGCCAGGAAAAAATATGATTGAATCACTTTTCATGCAAAGCTATGGCATTTCTTATTACAAGGTTCAGAATTTGCTGGGTTACCATGTCCATTAGTCAAAGGTTCTCCAAGCCAAGATCTCTGCTGTTCATGAGCAATCTTTGGGACACTGCTCAAGGAGAGTCAAACTACCGTGTCAGGGTTTAGCCCCAGCCAAAGAAATGCTGTTTGTAGGTGGGCACAGGATTTAGTGTATCAAGTCCACGTTCTTACAGGCTTTAATGTAGAACATAACCAAGCATACAATTAATAATAAGGGCAACTGTGATGAAAACTGCAGATTTTGCCAGAAGGAACACACTGCCTGGCTTTCATGATTAGTCACTTTAACTTACTTTCAGCTGCTTTTGGAAAATGTTGTCTTCTGGGATGTAACTTCATCACTTGCTCTCACTCAAAAATCATTTCCAGTGAAAACAAAGACTATAATGGAATCGTAGTTAAATCTATTCATGCAACCATAATCTCTGCAGAAAAAAATCTACTTAACTGTCATCAAATTATTTTTCCCCTGAGGTCAAAAATCTGGGACATCAAATTCAGCAATGAAAATCTGAAGTCATTTTTACAACTGGGTTAAGAGGGTGGTACAGCTGGCAGTGTGTGTACCAATTTATCCATGTGTATGTCGACTGTTTGCCATCAATTCTCTCTAACCCCAGAACAAATGGCTGCTGTTTCTTCCAGGTAGAAGCCCATGCAGCCTTCTCAATGACATCTGTAACACTTAATGGAACTTGCTTACTTGCCTCCTCCAACCTAACGGTAAGGCCTTTGATGGTAGGATCAGTGAGTAGCACATTCTCTTGTAATGGCCTGGTCATTTTCAATCAACCAACTTACAATTTATGAATTCAGTTCAAAATCAGTCTTCAAATGTCTCTAGGAAAGCAAGCTGCATTTTCAGAGATGGAATAAATCTTGCTGGATTTGCTAAAACTGATTCTAAACTAATTTCGAATCAGAGACATCTAAGTTAGAACTTGATTTCACCATTTGCTTCATGTGTAACCTATGGCAAGTTAACTCATCTCTCTAAACCTCTGTTTTCGCATCTGTTAAATGGGATCATATTTGTACCTGGTAAGAAGGGGATAACAGAAGCTTGTTTGTTGAGAAAATTAAATTAATAATGCACATGAAGTGCTTAGCCTGGCATCCCACATGTAGTAGGTCTTCCATAAACATTAGCTTTTATGACTATTATGGTTAATAACAATAAGGACAGCAACCAACAGAATATTAAAGATACTCTCTCGGGACTTCCCTGGTGGCGCAGTGGTTAAGAATCCGCCTGCCAATGAAGGAGACACGGGGTTGGGCCCTGCTCCGGGAAGATCCCACATGCCTCGGAGCAACTAAGCCCACGCACCACAACTACTGAGCCTGCACTCTAGAGCCCACGAGCCACAACTACTGAAGCCCGGGCGCCTAGAGTCCGAGCTTGGCAACAAGAGAAGCCACCACAATGAGAAGCCCGTGCACCACAACGAAGAGTAGCCCCCGCCCGCCGCAACTAGAGAAAGCCCGCGCACAGCAACAGAGACCCAACGCAGCCAAAACATTTTTAAAAATTAAATAAAAATAAAGACACTCTCTCAAGCTGGTAAGAACACATTAGAGAGATTTGTTTCAAGGAAATCACTTCTTGCCAGTTTCCCAGACTCGAACATTCCAAGGTCACAGTCCCAAGAGAGCTGAGATTCCAAACGAAATGCCACAGAATAGTAAACAACAGTTCTACAGGACACCTGGGGGGGCTGTACATCCAGGGAAAATAGAGCTGGCCGCCACCCCCCTCACTCAAGCAGCAGTGAAGGAGGGCTTGCCTTTCAAAGGAAGAATGCTGACGGAAGGCTGAACTTACCCCTCACAGAGAGGGAGGAGCCAATGCATCAGGTCAGAAGATGAGACACAGGCAGATTTGCCAAAAGACAGACTGTGGTTGACGTAACTGTGTCATGAATTCAGAATTAACATTGACTTAACCATTCCTCTGTTTTCAGTGACTTTAAGGAGGAGAGGCAAAAAGATTTTTAAAAAATCAAGTCTGTCAGAGGTATAATTAATTTAAAAGTTAATAAGGCCCTAAGAGGTACACCATATAGAGAATTCACTTGAAAACTCAAGTAAGAGAACACAGGGCAGGTCCGAGGTTGGTAAATATCCAGTTATATCTAATTCACGGCAAAAGGGGGAGAAAATGTTGGATTGAAAATAAAACCACACCTTTTAATGGAACATAAACTTTAAATTTCCCATTTGACGATAACTTGAATATTGCATTGGATAAAAGTCGGTGTTCGTAACACCATGCAGGAATTCAACACCAGCCGGCCTATGCATCAGCTCCTATCCCTACTTACTACTCTTTGAAAATGTTACCCCTGCCATAGTATGAAAATTTTGATGCCTTTAATCTCTGAAATGCTAGAGCTGCCACCCAAACCATATAGCAATTTAGGAAGTATCCCTAAATTCGTACTTTCTTCCATTCATATTTTCTGACTAATTTTTTAAGGACATGGTATTTAAATTTCACTCTTAAAATCAGGCCAATATTCTACATAGTTGGCAAAATCCAGCAAAGAGTGAAGCCCTCTCTCTTAACGTAGCATGTAGATATGTTCTATTTAGAAAAAGAGAGAAGCTTTAACGATAGATATAATCTTAAATGAACTCCAACAGTGTCACTGAAGAAAGGAGTCATAGCCTTTATCCCCTTAAAATATGCCTTCACAGAGAAAGCTAAAGGCTTATCAAAGTATTCTATATGGTGCACAGGTAACAGACAAGCCTAAGGGCAAGGAGAGTTTTTCAATTTTAGTTTAGTTTGGCTTATTTTAATTGTGGTACTTATAAGTGATCCTAAGTCCATTTGTACATGGTTTGTACGTGAGATAAAGAGCAGCACAAATAATTTCAGCTTATTTTAAGCTGGAGGATATAAAGACTGCTGTCTAGAGAAGCTGCACCCCACCCTGCTAGTTAATTCTTCAAGAATTTTACCGCTCCTTTTGGCTGAGATTGGAATTCGATCTCAGTGCCCATTATCCCTGCACTCTGGGTTGTGTGGCTTCAGAGCCTAATTCCTTACACACTTACCATCAAGGCGCAGGTAAAGGAAGTTCCGAAAAGCAAAGTAATCCTCCATGATGGTCATGAGAGACGTCATCTGGCAGAAAAGCAGCACGCGGTGATTAGTCGCTCTCAATTTTGGCAGAATACGATCAAGTAGCTCAAACTTTCCTGAGGCCCGATACAGCTCAGCCCTGAACCCAAAAATGCAAAACAAGAAGACAGTATTACTGCTGTCTTCTTGAAGGATCCAGCAGAGCTTTGCTTTTCATATAGTGCCTTGTGCATAGTACACACTCAATAAGTAACTACAGAATGAATGAATGGATGAATGAATGAGTGAATGAGTGTCCACTCCGAAGCAACTGAGGCTATTGCACGGAAAAAATAAAATATATTTCTAGAAAACCCATAAAAAGTATATTATATACTCTAGGTATGATGACAGTTTCTAGAAAGAAAAGGAAACCTAATACTTTGACTCTCTCAACTCTCCCTCCCTCTCTCTGTCTTTCCTACACATGCATATATGTATATGTTGTCATTTTTTAAAATCCCTAACTTATTAAGTACATAAAATTACTAATTTAGGGCACTTAAGATTCATTGAAATACTTACTGAGCACCTACTATGTGCCAAGCGCACTGCTGGGCATGTGTATAAGCAAAATAGAATCCCTGCCTTCCAAATGGGTAATTAACAACTTGTGATAAGCCCTAAAAAGAAAAATAGCAAGTTGCTATGAGCGCTCATAGCAACATGTGACATCTTCTTTACATTAGAGCAGTGCTTGGCCAAACATCAGCCCCTGGACTGCTGTCTGTTTTTGTAAATAAAGTTTTATTGGAACACAGCCAGGCTCACTCATTTCTGTTTGCCTATGGACTGCTTTCAAGCCACCACGGCAAAGTTGAGCAGGTGCAACAGAGACTTTTTGGCCAGCAAAGGTGCAAACATTTGAGATTTGGCCCTTCGCAGAAAAGAATTTGGCAGCCACTGGTTTAGAGCATCAAAGGTGACCCGCTAAAGAGCTAACAGTTTAGCTAAAACCTGAAATAAGCGAAAGGCAGCCAGGTGAAAAAGGTGGGCTTAGGATTGGAGAGGAGGAGATTCCAGGAAGCAGAAAGAGTATGTGCAAAGGCCCTGAGGAGTCAAAGAGCCTGGTGAGTCTAAAGAGTTGAAAAAATGGTGTGTGTGGCTTAAGCTTAAGTCGGGGGGCAGAGGGGGATGCTGGGAGATGACAGCAGAGATGAAGAGGGTGGGAGGGGGGACAGATCCTGTAGGGCTCTATTAATTTTAGCTTTAAGTGCAACAGAAAGCCAATGATGGGTTTTAAACAGGGGGGTGACGAGATATGACATCTTTTTAAAAGATGTGTCATATTATTAAAACTTAGTTGTAGGGGTGATGTTGTTGGGAAAACTCCCCAGTGCATGTGCAGTCTGGTCTATAATACTGAAACGTATCATTGGTAGTTGATTTTATGACACACAGAACAGACATTTTCAAGTGTAAGTCTTCCCAACATCCATCCCCTACTCTGAGACTGTCCTCCAAACACCCCCTAAGGCCATGTTTTCAATATGCAACCCTGGCCAACCTGATGGCACCAGAAGTGAACAAAGGACCGAGAGAAAAGGAGAAAAGGAGAGACAAAGGAGAGCAACACAGTCTGCCCTTGGGATCCAAGAATTGACCCCTTTATCCTAAAAATAAAAATTTCCCTGGTGCCACACAAGCAAAACAGAGACTTTCTATTAATGCAACATTCGGTTTTGTTGTGTTGCAGGCATGCATCTCTTCAACGTCCACTGCTAATGAAAAATTATTTCTTATACAGACCATAGGCTAACAAATTACTGTCAAGGTGTATATATGCACAGCAGATGAGACATTTTCCTCTCATACACGTTAATGTTGAATATCAACTTGAGACTTCCTATGGTAAACTCGCTTTGAGCTCAAGCTACACTATTGGTTATAAGAACCCTTTGAAGCTCTGACAACGTTTTTAGAACACTAGGACACTGTTAAGTCTATTAAAGGAGATCTATGTCCTTTGAATAGCCACTTGCTCAAGGCATGTAGTAATTTATGCCAGTAAAGTAAAAGGGAATGCTGATATCATTTTGGTTAACAACTTCTGTACCCTCTGCTGAGGAGAGAGGAGGGCTGAGGGGGCTGGCGGTATGTATGTGTGTGATAGGAAACACTTCAGAGAGAAAAGTTAGGGGGGACCAACAAACTATGTTTTGGAAGAAAAAAAAAATTAAGATTTACCCATTGATGACCCCATTTGAATAGCCCAGGTGTTCAGCAAAGGATTCCTTTAAAAGAGAGAGAAGAAAATGATTCTCAAAAACGGATCTGTAATTATTAACTTAATGATTATTCTATTAGTGAGGTCATCCTATCTATTTCTAGAGCACAGTTAAATAAGATAATGAATAAGTAAGCAAACACTCGTTATACAATGAACCAGAAACTCAAAGTCTTTGAATTCAGACTATAGTTCTGCCAGAAACGTATGCCATAAGTCTGCAAGTCTCCAGGCTCTCATACTGAGATGATAGGGCTAGTTCACTCATCAAACAGTGATTAAGTGTTGACTGGCCAGGGCTGTGGTAGGCAGGTACTGGGAATCCAGAAAAAAATGAAGTAGCTACCCCAAGGAGCTTAGAGTCTAGACTAGAGGAAGAGCTTCATACAAGCAAATCAAGATTAATATATACACATAAATACACTGTGGAAATAGTTAACAGTGAAAGTAATGATTATTTATGTACTACATACTGTAAATCTTAGTTTGGTGGAATCCTAACATCCCTTCCATACTGTGCTTTTCTGTATTATAAATAAGGCTCTAAATGTATACCACCCCTCAGGTGACCGGCTTCCACTTTTAAAACACAGAACTTAATTACAGAATTCCCTCCTCACTGATTCTGTGGAAGAAATAAGTTGCTGTTCTCCATGTGACTTTCGCATTCCTTCCTTATGGGAAGGGAGACCATCTGTGGGGAGGAGAGCACGTCACACCTTCACATTAACCACCAGCTGTCTCCCTTCTCTGCTCCCCTTCCTTCCCAGATCACTGAAGCTTTCCTCCAAGGGGACCAGATCCTCCCTTTGGGCTTTGCTCCCAAACATGCTCATCATTTATGGCAGGCCCAGCCCCTCCGGATGCTGCCCTGCCGGCAAAATTAACGCCAATGGACCTCAGCTAAAAACCCTACCCTGACTCCAAGCCTACCCTTTCGTCTCTACAGGTGCCATTCCTGACTAGAGATTTGGGTCTCATCTGACTCTCAGATGTTATGTGTTGATAGATGGTGATAAGGTCAGGTATCAGCAGCATTTTAAAAACACGGCTTTCATTTCTCTGGTTTGAAGATCCCGAGGGAGGCAGTGAGCCCAATCCAGAGACCAGGTTTCTAGTATGAAGTAGTATGAACAAAGGGTGTGTAAGCAAACAAAACGAAGACAAAAGCAAAATGCACACACCATCTCTGGTTCACAACTGTGATACCTTTGCAAATAACTGTGGGTCTCATTGCCAGGAATGTGCTCCTGAAAGTTTTTTACATTAAAAAAATTGCAAATCAAAGTCTCTCTTTCTATTGACTGCTACTTAAAATGTCAATGTGCAGGCAAAGGAGGACATCTTACTTAGACCTAGCTTCTTTGATTCCCCCCCTTCCCTCCCCAGGTGCTCCAGATAGAAGCTTGACAACCTCTCCCTTCCTGACACGGCCCAGTGTGTCTCAGAGGTTCATCTTGGTACGATAACCAAAATGAAGTTAAGATTGACACCTAGCTTTCATAATTTCTAAGTCCTCAAACTCCTCTATACTTTTACAAAGTAAATATCTTAAAATTATTTTTAGGAAAAATAAGATAGTGGGTGACAGGTTGACCTGACATGACCCCGATCATTTTCATCAATAGATCTTTTTTTTTTTTTTTTTTTTTTGTGGCTCCTCCAACCCAACATGTACCCCCCACTAACTCATGGATACCTTACAGCCCATTTATCACATTATTGGTTTACCAGACACTTCATACGTTATTTTTTTTTTTAAGTTTATCCTCCTGCCAGTCCTATAATCTATTACCATCTGATGACAAGTCAAGTAGCTATGAGTGACTTACACCAAGTCACAGTCAAAAGTGACCTGGGGTACAGACTTATTACCACACAGTGGATTCTGCTACTATGTGTCTAAATAGGCTTGTTGGTGGGAACTTCCCATCCCTCCCTTTCTTCCTTCTTTCTTTTCTTCCTTCCTTCCTTACATCCATGCTTCCTTCCTTTTACTGTTGTCATTTTACTTGTATCGAGGGCCTTTTACTCTATAAAGGAAGGGTTGCCTGCCCCTGAGGCAATAACAGTGTCAGGAGTTTTTCTAATTTCCCACCACAGGTGGGATAGGACTCCAGGACAGGGACAGAGGTGCGATATATACTGTCACCTAACAAGCGCGATTACCAAAAAGAAGGAAGAAAAAAAGAATCTTCAAAGTCAAGAATATTTCAGTCTCATTTCCAGGAATATGCTCCTGAAAGTTAAATTCCTAAAACCTTCTGTGTATTTATTTGTTAATAAGCTGGTGCCAACACGGAGCCTGCAGTGACTTGCCCCATGCCTCCTTCTCATCTGTAGTGGAAAGTAAGCAGTGCCCTGGCAAGTAACTGCCGCTAGGACCATATGCCTCTGCGGCAACACTGAAAAGTGGAGGCTACAATTGTGGCCCCTTTTCCTTCCTGCTCAAGTCGATGGCTCCTGCTGGGGTGAAATTGTCAACTTTAGGAAACTCATTCGCATGTAGCGAACAGGGCAGAATACGTCCTCTCCCCTAAAAATAGCTTCCTAGAGACCAGAGCCTCAGGATAAAAGCCTGTATCTACACTGTCATGAAAGAGGCCAGAAAGGAAAAAATACAAATCTAAGTAACAGACTAAAGTCAGTGACTTTTACAGAGAACATCCTTCTGTTCAACGGGTATAAATACATTATTTTAATATTTTCCACAGCATCCTTCTGAGGAAGCTGGATGTATTTATCATTATCTTCCATTTCGGAGCTCCTACTATAACAAGGCAAATCGCAGCGCCTACCCAAACCCACATAATGAGCCATAGCTTACAGCATTTTCTCACTACTTGAACCTCCTGGTTATAAAATTCCAGATGCGCAAGCGTCTGGTGCCAATGAGAATCCATAACTAGAAAATTCATGTTTGTTAATTCTGCTCTTCAAGCCATCAGACCATGTTGTTTCAACTTCCACACGTTTTAACGCTCTTTTATTTTGTATTAAAAACATTGTCTGCATAGTATCAGTAGGAATAGCACAGTAAGGATCAGGGTCACGACAGAGAACGCAGACTCACCTCAATGTGCTGAAACATATATGGGTGATTGCAGATTTTTCTCAACTGCATGATAGTGTTCATAAGTGTCTTGGCGCCTCCTTTCCCCTAAGAACAAGTAGAGGAGAGTGAAAATAGAAGTTACTAATTGATCAGGTATTTCCCATTAAACAAAAAAAATAGGCTTCTATAGAAACAGCAAAGGGCCATAGGTCTTCTCGGTAATCTACACCTCTTGCGGTCCAAAGTTCCTGTTACTATTACGTAGTTGTTTCTGAATTAGATATAACATCTTCCTTGTGACTAACTTATCCTAGAGGAGGGAATTATGCCCAGTGGATGGCTTTGAGAAATAACTGTCATGCCCAGGGAATGAAACTGGATTGTGAAACCTTCTATAATGCCACCACACCCTTAGGCAGCTATCTTCCGTGCAGAAATGACATGAGCATAGCTAACTATTTTGGTGATACGAACACCAAGATGGTGTTCGTTTCTAACTGCTCCTCTGCAGTTTGCAGGTAAGAGGCTAAGAGATTTTCTTAGGCAGCAACAATAGCTCCAGAAAAAGCCCAGTAATTTGCTTCGACAAATCAGCATTAGCAGGGATGTTTCCTAGGAGTATCCAGTGTCAGAGCCCCAAGAAGATACATGACAGCACCTTGAGTTGCAACATCTTTCACAACGTACCTTCTTATCTTTCTCCGAACCGTCTGTGAGGAGGATCCCTTTGGCTTGCATATGGCGATACAGAATCTTCTGCAGAGCTGACATGTCACACTTGATCACATATTCAACCTGGGGAAAAAGAACAGTAAGTAGAGCGGGAGAGAGAAGGTGCCTGTTCTAAGAAGACTGTTGAGACATGGTTGCTGGTGGCACTCCTGGAACCACAAAGGTATCTCTCTTGCCCCCCTCTTGGATTCATGGAGGAGGTGGGGTGGGGTGGTGGTAGTGATGGAGAGGACCACAGTCGTCACTACTAAAGGTACCATTATACTGTAGGGACCTTCAAAAGGCTGTATGTCATTGACCATTGACACTAGGGTCATGTTTTCGGACATTTCTTTGCCTTGTTCCATACTTGAGAGAGAGAGAGGCTGGCAAACTGTTCAAATTCAAAGATGTTCCACACAGAGTATTTTCTTTTCTTTTTTTTTTATAGTATTTCCTCTGCTTCCCACCTATACCTCCTTTCCTATGAACAGAACAGTTTTAGGAAAAACAGTGCTTGGCCAATAACCTCTGATTTTCTTTGGAAAACATTTTTTAAATGGTCCTAGGTGGCTACCCCCAATACCGATCTGAAAAGGAGATTCATGAGAGCCCTAGGTTGACTATATGTAATTACCCTCTGCTTTTGAAGGATGAGAGGATACTACCCTAGTGAGGATAACAGGCAAAAGAGAGGAATTAATCCCCAATTGGATGCAACTTTAGGACCATATTCTTTAGAGGCAAGGCCACATGTGCTTCCATTCTGAAATAACAGAAAAATCCAATTTAAAACAGTGAAAGGGAATTCATGTGCTGGTGGTTTCATACACACCTGCAATACTTCTCGCACGCTCCTAATGCACACAATCTGCCTTGATTATTTCCTATTATTGTTTTTCTTTATTAAAAAAAATCCCCAGAATACAAATGTGAACTTTTCCTAATAAACATCAGATTAATGCCTAGAAATCTGCAGAACGTGATTAAAAGCAAATCAGCAAGCTGCCTAATGTTTAACAAACTGGTTAAAAATGATCAGGTTATTTTCAGCTCTGAGGGCCAGGGCGAGGAGGTCACAGATGAAGAGAAGTTGAATATTCATTCGATTGTTGCTTTAGAAGGAACCTGTCAGGCCAGCCAGAACCGCAATTAATAGCCTTTTGCTACTTGTTTTGATGCACCAAATCAGATTAGAGAAAGGTGGATTCTTCTGCAGAAAAGTTAAGAAAAGCAAGTGACCTGCCATAGACTTGTTTTAGTTTTCAATGACTTTCTTGGCCAGGGTGGAAAAAACATCTCCAAGCTTAATAAATAAGGATGCACTATTAGTACAGGCTTTGTGCTCCACAGACTTGATGCTGCATGTTTTTAAAGTACTTCGGCTTTTTCAAGAGCTGTTAACTCTCCACGAAACTGGACGACGGTGTAGAAAAATGTTAAACAACTTCAGACTTTAACAAGCATAATGATAAAAATGACACCAAGGGCTAGTATTATTGAGTTCTTTCTATGGACCAGGCCCCGTGCAAAAATGCTTTATGTGCCCTCTCCCATTTCACTACACAAGAGCTGTAGGAGAGTTACATTTAGTGGTGTTCAAGTTTTATAGATAAGGAAACTGAGCATCAGAAAGGTTAAGTGACTGGGTTGAAATGACGCACCTATTTAATGGTGCAGTTAGGATCGAACCAGACTCGACTTCCTTAAGCTCTATGCTAAGGATGACCACGGAGACTTTTAGGTTTCCCAGTTCTGCCCTGATGGTTCACCTTCACCTGGGCCTCCCTGCCAGCCAGCTTGTGCACACTTTCCTGAATGTGGAAAGGAGGGCTGAGGCTTGCTTGTGAGTGCGTTAGGAGACAGAAGAACCAGAATGAGGGACTGGACCCTCAACCTCCTTCCCATCATTTAGCTGCTGCTGAGAGCTGGAGGGGAGGGAGTTTGGGAAGCAGGAGGCATGCACGATGATGCCATGCAGAGAGGGATGTCAAACACCCCCAGAGGGGCCAAGTCACAGAGATGCGAGCTCAACCCTAGAAGCTGATGGCTGCTGTAGGAAGGTGATGTTCCCCCCAGCCCTCCTACCAAGCACCATTCGGGGGTACCAGAAGCTAGTTTGATCCACATCATCAAAATCGCCATCCTAAGTTTCACGACTATATTTTACGTTTGCTCCCTGTAACCTCCCAAACAAGTCCAAGCTATTTTGTTTGTCTTTGTACTTTCCCCCAGGCCTGGGGTGAGGGTCCTTAGTCTTAGGGCTTCCTTTCCAAATTTTACTCTCTCCGAGGGCTCTCTGGAAGATCTTCCCCGATCACATCTATCAGCCAAAGTTAATCTTCCTTTTCATTTCCCGCAAAGAAGTGGTCATTAAACTTTTCTGATGGCAGTTCCTTACCAGGAAGACATGAAAGCGCCTCTTCCCAATACATGCCCATATATTTAACTATGAATTATATGCACGCGCCGACATTAACGTCTCAAAACACAAATTACCTTTAGGACAGGGGTCAATGTTAAAGGCAGTTGATTTTATATCTACATTTCAAGAGGCCAATTTGATGACATCTAATTTTTGGGGTTATAATGGGGCTGGTGAAAACCCACACTAGGAACAGGAGAGGTGGCAGGACTGCCCTTTTCCTACCGTCCATCTGTGCTTACGTCATCCGTCTTGTTTTCAACCTGCAATCCTTTGCAGAATCTTTTAAAGCCCTTCATTCATTCTGAGGGCCGGGGGTGTCAGTTTAGTTAAAATGAGATCATCCTAAAATCCTTTTATCTGGATACGGGGAAACCCGCGATGCTCACAGTAGGCAGAAAGCGCAGGAACCAGGCTGTGACGGTGAGCGGATATCTGATGCCCCAGGTGGAGGTGCTTCCCGTCACACTCCCGCCCGGGATAACCGATACAGTCTAAGCAAGGTATCCTGACTTTCTGATGTGCATACATACCACACGGGTACCAGTGTCCATCTGTATGTTAAATTAATAAAGCTTATTTTTTTTTATTTTTAAGAGAAAAAGTAATATAAATGGAAGCTCTAAAATCTTCTTCCCACACCTCAATGGATTACTAGTAAGCACCTCCCCACATACTCACACACACACCCTTGTGTGCTCTGGGGACCCCTCTCCTAAAGCACTCGAAGGCCTGGATCCTTCCTCCTGATGGGGTGGATGATGCTGCCTTTCATTGTCATGCCATCGGTCAGTGACATCTCACACCATGCCTCCAATTTCTGGTACAGCTCCTGCACCTTCCAGCCCCGCCCAAGGGCAGTGCAGCGCACAGATCAAGCCATCAGAGCTACGCATTGAGAAAAGGGCAGACTGAAGAATTCTAAAGTAGACATGCAGACTGACAGTGGCAAGGAGAGGAAAGTCTTTGTAATCATCACGCCATCTCAAACTCTGTTGGGTCTGGGTCACCTCCAAAAAACATGATGGTCCCTGATTAGGGCATGAATTTGAAAGTTCCTCAAAATATGCTGGTGTTGAAGGAAATAAAATCTATGACTCTTTAACAGGGATGATTCTCCCAACAAGTTAGGCTTATGAGAGCCACTGGGACTATTATTTTCAAATTATATGTAAAATTGGGGTGTCAGCCTCATGGACATGACAGTTATCTCCTAAGACTCCTTATGTTAGTAATGATCAAATTGGTCCCTTCAGGGAGCTAAATTGGGCGGTTATATTGGCCCAGACTCTCCTCCCATATAACCCTGTAAAAGTTTTCAACCTTTATTCATAGTTTCTCCCTAAACGCTATTCCTCACTTATAATTTCCCTTCCAAAAGGAGGTAGTATTAGACCAATAAATGCAGACTACTGTGTGTGATATATTACCACTTTGTGAATTGAGATTTCCAAGATTAAATTTATGAAAGTCCCAGGTTCTAGAATCTATGGCAAGAGAGGAACAAAGTGATGATTAATTACATCAAGCATTCTAAATTTTTATATAATGAATATAAAAGCTGCCCATCTAAACAATGCTTTTTTGTGGTTTTATACAGATTATATCAAAATCAGGGTCGATTTTAGGTAGGTCAACCTCTAGTTAATCTCAGACATTGTATACATATTTTAGCATATTTAGACACACACACACACACACACACACACACACAGCCAATGGCAAGTACAGTTGGATCTTGATTATACAAAGGGGAAAGTCAGCACAGACAACCTCAAATGGGAGCTAAATCGAAAAATCAATTTTTCTTTAGCTTAAGTTAGGTTTTATATAATCCCTTTTCCATGAATTGCGCTTCTTCCGTAAGTATAAGGAATGGATCTTATGCCAGCAGCTTGGTGGTGGTGTTGGGAGGGGCCTGGAGACAGTATATTCTCTTGCTCATTAGGTGTTTCATTAGACTCATTAAGTCATTAAATACTCATTGATTAAAACTAATTTTTATTAAATACTCATTCATTAAAACTAATTTTTCTATGAAGTAGAACTGCATTTATCAAACTGTGGCCCTTCTATGCCTGCTTTGGTTTCATCTGAGGAAATACAGACTCCTGAGGTCACTCCCACTATACTGAACAGAATTACTGGGGCTAGGGCTGGTACTTTGTACTTTTAAGAGTTTTTCTATCTGAAAACGCAACAATAAGAAAAGAAATAATTGGGAAAAAAACAGGCCAAAGATTCAAGCACCACTTCATCAAAGAAGACACATGTATGCCAAATAAACACATGAAGACGAGTCACAAGTTATCAGCACACAATTATTGAAACGGCCAACAGTGTTAAAAACTGAAAATATCAAGTATTGAGGAGAATGTGGAGGAACTGGAATGCTCATACATTGCTGGCGGGACGACAAAATGGTTCAGACTCCTTAGAAAACCATTCGGAAGTTTCTTATAAAGTTATGTGTACATTTACCATATGACCAAGCAAGCCCACTCCTAGATATTTACTAAAATGAAATGAAAACCTATGTTCACACAAAAACCTATACACAAATGTTCATAGCAGACTTATGCATAACCATCAAAAACTAGAAACAACCCAAATTTCCTTCAGTTAAATGGATAGACAAACTCTGGTGCATCAATATAATAGAATATTATTCAACAATAAAAATGAACCAATTAATGATACACCCAACACCTTGGATGTATCTCAAATTCATTACACTAAATGAAAAACCAGATGCAAAAGGTCTGATGAGACACATTGTCTGATTCCCTTCATACAACATTCTGGAACAGGCAAAACTACAGGGATGGAGAACAAATTAGCGGTTGCATGAGGCTAAGGGTAGAGGGACAGTTTGACTAAAAAGTGAGAGCACTAGGAAATTTTTGGTCGGGGGGACTGGGAGACAGAATTGTTCTGTATTTTGATTGTGGGTAGAGTTAACGTAGCTATGTATTTGTCAAAACTCAGAACTATACACCAAAAAGAGTGAATTTTATTATACGTAAATTAAAAAATAAAATGGAAATCCACTTCCCTGATTCTTTTTCATGAAAACATTGGAGCATCACTTCTATAAAATATTTAGCCTTTTCCTGCCATCGGCCACAATTCCTTTCTAGATTCCTTATGCAGCCTGAGAAAGACATATATGTTGTTTGTGGCTACAAGCAGATGGTGGCAGAAGAAAGCTCCTTACCCCCAAGGATGACACTTAAATGGCCAATCTTCCCCAGATTAAAAAAATCCTAACAAGGTAGAAAGAGCAAAGAGTGAAAACTGGCCAAACCACATCAATAACAGCTACGTACACATGTCAAGTGATCAGTTCCCCTATTCGCCATGAAAAGGTTATGGGGACAGAGATGGGGCAGGAACACAGAAAGTGCCAGGACCAGAGAACAGTGAGAAAGAACTTGAAGTGAATAGGGAAGCAGAACCAGAAGTCAGCAACAGAAATGGCAGTGTGAGTAGAAAGTAAGGACTCTGGTGGTAGCAGCTGTCACCAGTTGAGCCCTTACCACGTGCCAGGCATAGTGCTATGAGTACTGCATCCATTCAGTCCTCTTCTGTGAAGCAGCTATTGTCTATTTGCCAGTTCATTGATGAGAACACTGACACCCACTGGGTTAAGAGACTTGCCCAAGCTCACATAGCTAGTGTGAGACGGAGAATGCAGTGGGGACCCAGGTCCACTCTGACGGGCAGAGCCCATGACTTCCACTCCACCAAGTTGCCTCCAGGTAAAGGTAGACAGATAATTCAGTCATACCTTGGAGACAGTGCGGGTTCAGTTCCAGACCAACGAAAGAAAGGGAATATGGTAATAAAGCAAGTCACAAGAATTTTTTGGTTTCCTAGCACATATAAGTTATGTCTACACCATACTATAGTCTATTAAGTGTGCAACAGCACTGTCTACAAAAATTGGACACACCTTAATCAAAAACTACTTTATTGCTAAAAAATGCTAGCTATCATCTGAGCCTTCAGTGAGTCATAATCCTTTTGCAATGGTACATCAAAGATCACTGATCACAGGTCACCGTAACACATAAAACAATAATGAAAAGGCTTGAAATATTGCGAGAATTACCAAAACGTGACACAGAGACATGAAATTAGCATATGCCGAGAAATGGTGCTGACAGACTTGCTCAACGCAGGGTTGCCACAAACCTTCAATTTGGGGGGAAAAAAACATGGTATCTATGAAGGGCAATGAAGCAAAGTGCAATAAAATGAGGTATGCCTGTATATCACACACAGGGTGTTTAACATACCTCCAATATAAAAATCTGGATATTAAACAGTACGTGTGTACTTTATGTCGGAAACATGCTCTTGAAAATCTAATCCTAGATTTTTTAAATTTATCAATACTCAGGAAGTCTTCTTGTGAAAAGAGCTGTGGAATAAATATTTTAGTAAAGCAAAGAATCCCTTTGTGATATGACCAATCACCCCATAATCCTTATGCTGCAAAAGTTTGGATTTTAATACAATGGATTTTCTTAAAGCAGGGCATACTTTCAACTTGTAATGTGTTTTTAAAATATCTATCTATATTAGCCATTCAAGACTGGCTCAGAGTAACGAGTAACAAGATTAAGAAGTTTTATGGAATGAATAAATGAAGAACTTCAGTTAATTGCCTTTTATTTTATAGCTCTTCTAAAGAAACAAAAGGAAGTATGGGACAAATTAAAATCTTTAACATTCCGTCTCTATAACTTGCAGGATCTCAGTAACATTCAAGGCAGCCACATGACCAGTGTACCCATTCCCCAGCTTATTCTGTAACTGAAGTCCATACTGAATAGAAAGGGGGTTACCCAAGGATGCCAAGACCACACGAAGTCAAAGAAATATCAACGGCATTCAATCCCCAAGATGCATTCACTAGCAAAATAAAATACTCAGATATTTAGGTTTTTGCTGGGATAAACATGGTGTAAGAACCGTGTTAATATTTAATTTTTTTCCAACTGCTAATGAATAGGGGCTTAGGGATCAAAATTCTCTCTTAGCAAAGTGATCAACTTTGTATAGTATCTTGCCAATCCCACTTACAACTGGGCAGGATGAACCAATCTGTTCAAAAAATAGAGTCATTAAAACACAATGATGCGAAACACACATTTCACAATTGGCTCCCCTAAAGAGAAAACTCACATCAAACTATCTCATGCAACAAACACTGCACAATGCCAAACAATCTATCTTTAAGAGAATGAAACGTAGAACTCCAGTGTGTGCGGTTCCAAACTATGATCAAAAACATATTAAACCAATACCCAAATCCAACCCCAAAATGTGGAGCTAAGGGCTCAAAAGACATTCTAAAGCACTGAAAAATCAGTGTCCAAAAAGTCATCTGAAAAATATTTTTTAAAATGTTCATGGGAACTTAAATTAGATGATGCGTCTGTAACTTGCAGGAACCCTATTTTTCACTTACTATCAGAACCGTGACATCCCAAGCATCCAACAGTAAACACATTACCGGGAAACCTGGCAAATGTTTACCACGTCCCTTAGTACTGATACAAGCCCCAAACTCAAAGGCTTATGTGGCTCAAAGCAGAACATTTCTATGGCGCCCGCAAGAGTGAACTCAACGAGGTTAGTAAAAAGAAAAAATCTAAAGTTAAAACAGAATGTTAATTCATGTAATGTTAAGTGAATGTAAGTTAAAGCTAAAATGTAATGAGACTTAATGAATTTGGTTATTTTTTAAAATCTGCCCCCAAACTTTTGGAAACCAAGATGAAATGCTAAAATTTCCCTTCTCTCTCTACATTAAATCCCCTAGCTTCCATCTAACAACAACAACAACAAATCCTTTAAGATATTTCCCAGTTACCTGGAACTAAAATACATGCCTGCTGTTTCCGAAACACAATTTCAGGGGCAGGTAGTCCAAATGTATTGGCAGGGGAAGAAACCACAACTTTTGAATTTGCAACATACTTTTTCTGGAAGCTGGGATTCAACTTCTTTCTTCAGTCTCCTAAGTAAAAATGGTCTCAACACCTTATGCAGACGCCTGATGATCAATATAGTTTCTTCTTCATTTAAGTCCACCTATGAGAGAACCTTAGATGAATTTGATCTTTTGCTTTTTTAAAAACAAAGATCTTTCATGCAACGACTCTTCATGTTACATTTATTATTGGTTTCAATATATGATTGAAATTTTATGTGCATTAAGGCTAGGTTTATACCCATCATGTACACCTGAGAATGCTGTTCCCACCTTCCTACCAGGTGGTAACACAACAGCCTCTAAATGGGTGTCTTGGTCTGAATGCTGAGTTTTGTAGAAAACGGCCCAGAGCCATCACTTTTAGATCAGGAGTGTTAACAGCTCAGAATTTTATGGGATATGATTGCAGTAAAGGCTGACTAAAGGCTGAGGTAGAACACGAGTAAAAGGGCAATAGTTAATGTGTTCTTCCTTCAAACTGAAGCATTAAGTTAGGCTCTTAACTTTGATTGTCTCAGATGCAGAAACATACCAGGGGAACAGGGCCTGAACCTGAAGAGAACAAGAGTGGATCCAGATTACGTCGGTGGCTTTCTAAGCCCCTCTACCTGCATCCTCCTTTGCTCTGCTCTGATCTTGTTCAAGTTCAGTCCTGTTTATGTATAACTCCTTCGCTTTCTCTTTCACCTTCCTCTATTCACCTCTAGGGGGCAGAGCTGATTGACGTTACCTTCTCCAAATGGGCAAGCCAGTGAATTCCTAACAAAAGGCTAATGTACCTGTGACATCTCAAAATTAAAGGGCCAGATAGTTCCAACATAAATTTCCCTAAAGCACGTTAAGTGGCTCTTCGTTCCTATAGTGGAAGGAACGATAATAAGAAGTTTGAAAATGGCTACTCCAGGGTTTGAGGAGTATTTATACACACACAAGACTGAGGCTTACAATGTGTAAAGAAAATTAGTATAAACCAGTTTGGTTTCACGTACAAACTCTTAATGCGGAAATGGTTTAAAGGGAAGCCCAAGTTTATAACAAGGAAATATTTCTTTTTAAGGTTTATATTCGGTTGGTTGAGTTGTGGTTAAATAGACTGAACAAATATCTCTGCATTTATCCTCCTTGTGGCCTGTAGCAGTTAAGCATTCCACCAGCCAGAAACACCCTCTGTTGGCCTGGTTAACACACTGGCAAAAGACAATGGGATTAGGACACCCTAGGTCCTAGATCTTACATCCATTATTAGATCCATTTTCTTTGGATGGAAAAATATCTCTGGAGTGAGAACACACACATCCACTGATCGGCTTCCTGATACTTTACAACACTGTGAACCACCCTATGGGTTTTCTGTGGCTCCAGTGCTCTCGGCTTTAGGTCTTTTCGTTTCATTTCATTGTCATGCAGTGGGAAAAACAAAAGTTGGGCCAGTACCCTTTCTCCAGTCATGGCAAATGGAGCATTAAACCACTGCTCAAATGTGCTGCAGCTCTTAAAAATCGTGGGAAGGAGGAAGTTGAGGAGGGCCCAGAGTTCCGGGAGCTTATTCTGCAGGGGGGTCCCGGTCAAGAGGATCCTTCTGGGGGCCACGTAGTGAGTGTTCAGGACCTGAGTCAGCTTGCAGTGGTGATTCTTCATTCGGTGGCCTTCGTCCACTATCATATATTTCCACCGAATCTGTAACACAAGAGGAAGGACCAACATGCGGTGAACAAGGGAAAACACAACTACTTCTAAGAGGCAAGTGGTGATGCGGAAAACCAAAGAACTCATGCTTGGTAAAAGCTATGACACGAGATTCCTTAGCATAGAAGAATCTTAACAGTCTATTTCCCGTACCTGACAGATCATCGTGTACTATGTAGTAATGGAATGGACTGATAGAATGTGATTCCAAATTACCCTTTCACAAAGATGGAAACTTGGGCCCAGAATGAAATAGTTGGGCCAGAATTAGCTCCTGTGTCTCCCCATCCAATACTCCTTCTATTAATGTTATGTCATGTCAGCTATGCCAGATTTAATGGCTCTGTTACCTCTGCTCATAGTAAGTAGAGAATATAGCTCCTCACCTGAAGCTCAGGTTAATGACTGATTTCTCCAAGATGGCGTCAGCAGGCACCTGCAGCGGAAGTACTCTGGCTTCGTGCCCTTTTTCTATTGCCTTGGCTGACTACTACCTTCAGGGTTTGGCTCGTGGTTTTTTTTTTTTGTTAATTTCTTTTTTTTCAATTTGAACTTAGTTGCTAACATTTAAAAGTTGGAACATTTCACATAAAAATCTGGACATCCAGCTTCTTTTAAAACGTTAGAAGATCTGGCAACCCGGACTCTCTTAGTTCATACATACTCCTTACCTGCCAGGTCTAGGACCCCAATTTCAAGAGGTCTAAAATGAAAGGAGAGACTTACTGGCAGAGAGGGCAGTGCTAAAATAGCATTCCTCTGTTTATGCCAAAACTTCAGAATTAAACACAATATATTCCACCAGCATAACTATCACTTCAAAAATTAAAAATGTGACCATATGTCACGATCTTCCTTCCTAAGTCTACACACAGTCCCCTTCCCCTCTCACATCTGACCCTTCAGCCCTCTCCAAGGTCATTGTTTCTCAAAGTGAGAACAATGAGGAATATCCCACTAAGGCTATCCATTCCCCACAAAACAGCGGTAATGGCCAAGAAAAGCATCTGGTGCTCAGATGTCCCTGGATCCCGCTGCAAAGCTCTTAGAGAGGAGGGAGACGGCAAAGCGTTCTGTAAAGTCCTCTCCTTCCTCATTAGAAGCACCAGTGAAGTCCCGGGAAAAGGAATAAAAAATCATCAGTCAGGCTGGGATGTTCGGGTAAAAGAAACTCCCAGGGTTTTAAAATTTTTTTCCTTCCTCTGCTACCTCTAAGAAAATTGCTTAAGAATAATTAAAGTTGTACGATCAATTGTCCCAAAGTTACCAATAGCGTGAAAAGAGGCCAGGAGATAAAAATGTATTTAAGTCAATATTCTAAATCTACTTCCCTGCCTAATTTAGCTTCTGAAATAATAAACAAGGAATCAGAGGCCTATGATTTTGCTGTCGGGTCTACTACTAATTAGGTCTTGCACTCAGAAAAAAATTACTACCCCTTTCTAGAGCTTCATTTCTCCAGTGACAAATAAAAGCAATACACCTCGTTACCAGGCGTCTCTGATGAATTTTGAAATACATATGCAGAAGACATGGTATGAATTTTCTTTAAAGGATCTCAAATGTACAAACACATTCCCACAGTTATATTGAAAACACGTCATTCCTGACACTGCCAAATTCATCTTGGAGCATGAGGAAGAGGAACACAGTATTGTTGCTGGTGCCATCTCAAACCTCCCCTGGGAGCCCATTTCCTTTATGTTATTTCCTAGGAGGCCATGAACAGAACTCTGTTCCCAGAGCAAAGGTTTAATGCAGAGATAGAACACACCCCAGAAACAGTGATTCTGTTCGATTCTGACCATAACTTAGTTTCAGATTATAATGCTTTCAAAACACCACAGGGTAAAAGAAATTACTAAAGGGAAAAAAATTAAGTTTTCATGCTTCCTCTATGACAGAAACTACTCCCATCATTCTACATGAATATATTAGGAGACAAGATGATATAAATGGAGAAAAAAACTCTAGTTTTTGGCTAAAGGACAACTTAGGACATACAGGTTAGCAGACATGTAGGTCACAGGTAGAAAATGACTCTTTCCCGGCTCCAAATAAATAGTCACAGAAAGAGCCCAGAGTAATTCAAACAATAATAGCCCATTATTTCACCAGGAAAAACATAAAACAGGAATAGCACAGAAACTGCAGCTGGGATAAACGTTCATATGGAGAAGACCATATGGAGAAATGCCTACTCATCTCTGGAGAGACAAAGACACAAGAGAAATGACGTTACGCTGCTGACAATATCCCAGGGCAACAAAAACAATTATTTCTTCCATAAGCACGACGTTCAGGGCTGTTGGAGAGAAAAAAAGAGTTGAAGGAACCCAGGTGAATTCTTTTTTTTTTTTTTTGCGGTACGCAGGCCTCCCACTGCCGTGGGCTCTCCCGCTGCGGAGCACAAGCTCCGGACCCGCTGGCTCAGCGGCCACGGCTCATGGGCCCAGCCGCTCCACGGCATGTGGGATCTTCCCAGACCGGGGCAAGAACCGGGGTCCCCTGCAGCGGCAGGCGGACTCTCAACCACTGCGCCACCAGGGAAGCCCCCAGGTGAATTTTTTAAAGAGATGTAAGCGCATAAACTATGATAGGATAGGGTAGGTAAGAGTCCCAGGATCAGTGACATACAACAACAACCAAAATAAAACACAAAAAACCCCAGCATACATAAAGTGAAAAACGCATGACCAAAATACATCTGACTGAAAAAGAGAGAGAGAGAGAGACCAGCCACCTAATGAGCAAATTATACTAGTGAGTATAATTTGGGGAATACTTTACACTCCAGTTGCGATGGTCCATAATTAGAGATGAGATAATTTTTTTAAACATACCTTTGCAAGAATGTGCTTGTCTTTTATAATGTACTCGTAAGTAGTCAGGAGGACATTGAATTTGCCACTCCGTAACTGGGGGACGAGGGAGCGACGCATGGCAGGGGTGCCCTGAATGGGAAGAAAATACAGATGTATATTACCCGATGGAAGGAGGCGTGCGTTGTCTCTCACTGCTCAGGCTTAATGGAGCCCAGGCATGTGACTAAGGACTGCACATACATGCAATTATCATATACAGATCCATTATCCAGGAAGAAAGTGCTTGGCAAAATTGCTCACACGTCTGGACACTTTTCAGACCTTTATGGAGAAGCTTTCCCACTGCAGACCGAGGGAAGCGGGGGAGAAAGAAAAGGAAATTATGGTGACCCCAAGGTAGCAGAGAACCCGTTGCTCCGCTGAAAGGCTCCATTTCTACAGGAGCGTCCAGCAGGCGCCCGGGCGCCCGGGGAATTGTCTAACTTTGCAGGAACAGTGGGCATGGCAGCAGCACGCGGGATGTGTGATATTTGTCATTTGTATTACCCTCATCAGAAACCTCGCAATATGATAATTAACAATTTTCTTCTGCATTTCACTATCTGAAAGTAATTATGGTTTATTACAGTAATCTTCTTGGGATGATTAACTCTCACTGTTTAGTACACGATGTACATGACAAAACTTTACAACCAGATACAGTTCACAGATGTGCATAGGGAGTGAAGAAAATAGGGTCTATATATAAATGTGGAAAAGCAAAAAATAAATACAGGATGCCAAACCTTGTAAGAAATTTTCACCACGGAAGGAGCCCATTTGTCAAATTCATACGTCCAGTTAGATAGAGTCCTATAGAACAAAAGAAAACAAAATACAGAGAGACATTTGTAGAAAAATCTGTGATTAAAAAGACGTTCTTACTCACTTTTAGGTCTCACCTTGAAAGGGGCTAGAGAATGTAAAATAGCACAACTGCATATTCATTTTAAAGGTGTGGAAATAAGAGATAAGTTAGAAATAAGATGCCACAGAGCATGACAAGTTTGTTTGTGGGTTCACACGAAATCTCATAAGAGAAAAAAAATTAAAGAATGCATGAATATAGATGGCAAAAAACATCTTAATTTTAATACTGAAAAACAGCAATTACCAGAGCGATTTGGGGACTCTTTAGAAACAGCCATATAAAGTTCAGAGAAAAGTTGAGTCAGGAAAAAGAAACGACAAAAGCACATGAACATACGAAATAAATCTGTCAAGAGGGGGCAGGGGAAAAATATTAAATGCCTTAAAAGGCAAAATCCCTGAAAGCATCAATGTGACATATGAGTCAGAACATGCAAAACATAGATAAAACCCAAAATACATGTTCAAGATGTAGATAATATGGAAAGGGTATCTAAGTTCCATGGATTCAAATAATACGGATTAAAGAGGTCTGTAAATAACTCTCATTTAGACAAAATTTGAAGGAAATACTAAAACAATATTTTTTCTCAAGGCCCAAGTCTGTAATCAGCACTGAGATCTAGAAGAGGATCTCAGTGAACAGAACTGCAACCTCACACCCACAGTCAGAGACACACTCCCATCCAAGGAGGGCGGTTTTGAACAGGTATCCCTTCCCTCAGGGGTATCCACCAAAGACCCACGAGGAGCCATGCAGCGGGCGAGGCACCGGGAATTTAACGGAGAACAGTGAAGACCCATCCTTACAAAGCGACAAAGTCACTGCAGATAAACTGTGAGTACTGAGGGCGGTGTAATGCAAAATTCATAGTTACGATTTTGATTTAGATTCTGCTTTAAGAGGGACACTAAAGGAAGATTTAAGAATATATAATTTTTGAATATATATAACATTTTGGAAATGGAAAAAGAAAAAAAAATCAAAGAAATCTTAAAAAAAAATCAAAACCTTTCAGCTTCATGAGCCACTTTAGGCGTGATGAAGAATGAGACCCACTGCACAGCGTACAGGCTGTGTAGACCGCAATGCTAAGGGCTGAAAAAACATCCTGTGCTTATGTAGCCAATCAAAGGGTGGGAAAAGAAAACCTAAATCCGGATTATATGCTCTTGATAATCCCACTACAGGCTACAATTCTGCCTTAAGGGAAAAACAAGGACAAACTATGAATAGGGCAAGCTCCAACATAAAGAAAGATAACTGCAGAATAAATGGCTTTACTTACGAAAGGGGAACAATGATGAGATAGGGGCCATTGAGTCTTTTGTGCTCCATCAGATACGTGATGAGTGCAATGGTCTGTATGGTCTTTCCCAGCCCCATTTCATCAGCTAAGATTCCATTCAAATTGTTATTATACAGAGAAACCATCCATTCCAGGCCCTGGAGCTGAAATGAAGAGTAATTGCTTCAATTATCCAAGATCTGCACAGGTAATTAATACTAATACAAAGCAAGTGAGGCTGCGACTTCTTAACTCCTCGGTGCTGTACGTTGGATTTCCCACAGTAGGAGAGTACGGGAAGCACCAACACAAAGAGAATTTCATACATGAGCCTGTAATCACCCCTGATGCTTGGCAGGTGCTGAGTGCTAATCAGGTTTAGAAATGATGGGCTGGAGCATACTGGGGGGACTTTAAGCAGCTTTGCCGTTCATCCCTACTTAGCATTTCACAGTACATGACATTCTAGAATTATTATAGATGAAGAAAACCCAAACGAAAATCCATTCCAACCACTCCAAGCACAAAAAGCCACCATGAGGATTAAAGAAAAACAAACCAGAAGGCAGGTTTGGCAAGAAGATCACAGGTCATTAGAAACAGGCTTCTTGGTGACGGAGAGCCTCCCGGCCCCCCAGGGTGGGATCCCCTCAAGCGAGGACGCAGAGTGACCAGGGAGCCAGGGGCACCTGCTGGGCCCACAGGAGGGCACTTCCTGGCAGAGAAAGCTCCCAGGCATCACATGGAAACTTTGCAATGTAAGTGCTCCCCAAGGGCAGCTGACTGCCTGGAAACATGTTCAACATATTTTTAAAGAACAAAAGCACAGCACCAGAGACACAGCTTTGGATTTCCATGTTAAACACAAGAAAGTCTGGGTGAAAATACAACATTGTTCAACTTCCCTCTCCAACCACTAATTCCCTTCCACCACCATATCACAGATTCTGGTTTAAGTGATAGGATCATATTTCTCTCTCTCTCTCTCTCTCTCTCTCTCTCTCTATATATATATATATATATATATGTTTACTATCTATCTATCTATCTACCTATCTATCTATCTATCTATCTATCTGTATATAATTGCTAAAGTCAATTTAGCTTGCTAATGAAGTTATGCTTAGGGAAATGTTAATTTTAATTTGGTTTATCTAAAAACAAAGCAAGTGATTCTTTTACTTTCAATATTTGTTAAATGGACCATGCAAGGAGCTATAGCAGATGGAAACCTAGGTATGTAACATGCATGCCTCCCTTCAGAAGCTGGCAGTCAAAGAGGACCCGATAAGCCATTCACGCACCAAGACGTGGTTGGCAGTGCCAGTGTCATACATATAAAATTGTATGGGCCAGAATTTTTCTTGGGAAGAGTACTGCAATGGTTTGAAGAAATACTTGGATAAGCACTTAGGGTACCTCATACCATGCAAGACTCCGAATCATCCTAAAGGTTTTTGCAGAAGAGCAGCAACACCAAGAAATGAGAGGGACTGAAAGAGGTCCCACGGGGATGCACAAAAGACACAGGGGCAGAAGGGGAATGCCGGGAACTCTTAGTGGTGGGTGGGAGGAGATGCGCACCTGCAACGTGATCCCAAGAGCACCAGACCTTGAGGAAAGTCAGCTAAGTGCCAGAAACATTTGGACACTCAGTGGTAGTGGATTTCTTTTTTTTTTTATGAAAATCGGCAAAGGGGCTGAATTTTGCATCTGTCTTAATCCCAGATAAAACAGAAGCAGAAACTGGCAGCAGAGGGGACTAGAAATTCACAAGAAAAGTGGGAAGTGATTTGGACTTTCCTAGACCGTGGAACTGGAGGGGTTGAGTATTGAGCCAAGCTTACGTGCCTTTCCAGGAAGCAGCAGGAAGGCCTCAGCTATGTCAAGGTTAAGTAACTATTTTCAATACAAAAACTTGTCAAGGAGCAAGACGATAGAAAGCTTACTCATGGATAGAGTGATCCGGGAAGGCTTTGAGCCACAATTTCAGTTCGTTTGTGAGAAATAAAAAAGATTTCATCAGGTAGATATGGATGCTCAGAGACCAGGAAGAAGAAACTCCATGAAGCAAAAACCCGGAGGCCGGAAGAGTGAGGTATGTTCAGGAAATCTACAGCAGCCCAGTAGAGGAAGAAGGCCATAAAATTCACATATGGAGGGCTTCCCTGGTGGCGCAGTGGTTGAGAGTCCGCCTGCCGATGCAGGGGACACAGGCTCGTGCCCCGGTCTGGGAAGATCCAACATGCCGCGGAGCGGCTGGGTCCGTGAGCCATGGCCGCTGAGCCTGCACGTCCAGAGCCTGTGCTCCGCAGCAGGAGAGGCCACAACAGTGAGAGGCCCGCGTACCGCAAAAAAAAAAAAAAAAAAAAAAAATTCACATATGGAAGTAGGAGGAGGTAGGTCTGAGAAGACAGTGACAAAGAATGCTTTCAAAGGTGCTGGATGGCAGGAGGAAATCAATGTAGCGTTAAAAGTTATTCACGAATAATCTAACAATGCACCTGCCATATATAGACATACAAGAGTTCATTAGAACCAACTACAAGTTAACATCAATGTCAGGTAGGCCAAATCAGATGAAAACAACTTTGAACTTCATGAAAGTAGCATGGTCTTTGGAGAAAACATGATCTTACTACAGCCAGAGCAGTGGTTCTCAAAGTGTGCTCCAGGGACTCCTGAGGGTCCCCAAAACCTTTTCAGGTGATCCACAAGGTCAAAATGATTTTCTTATTAACACTGAGGTATTATTTGCCTTTTATATTGTGTTGACGTTTGCACGGATGATGCAAAAGCAGTAGTGGGTGTAAACTGCTGGCACTTTAACACAGATCAAGGCAGTACTGTAGTAGTGGCCTCTGTATCCTTCACCCTGATGCAGTGGCAGCCAACACAGTGCCACGTTTTAGGAGTTTAGTGGATCCAAGTTCAAAGAGTTCGAGAACTGTTGGCCTAAAGCATATACTTCCTAAAGTATATTCCAAAGGGCCCTAATTTTACAGGATGTGAACAGGTATATGATACATGAAAAGAAAGTTTGGTAGTCAGAGAAATCTGGGAAATACAAAGTTAAAGATATTTCACTGCAGGATGCTGATATGCAGTTAGAGTTTACACATTTATTTTTGCAGAGCCCATGCGTGTGTTGACGCACACCATGGATTACCAAGAAGGGTCATTGCTAGAGTGCCCAGATGTCTGGTTGGCTCGGGAAGTCCTGGGTGACACCTATGATCAGTAATAAGGGCCACTGTTCATTCTCATAAGTATCCAAATTTGGAATAGTAAATTATACCGTAATCCAAGCTCTAGCTGACAGTATTTCCCATATTTATTTAACCACAGAACCTATTTTTCCCTTTCTTTTGGAGGTCTATCTCATGGGACAAATGTTCCAAGGAACACACTTTGGGAAACACTGTGAAGCAGAAGGAGGTAGAAGACAGGAGCTGACCTCATTCTAGACAGGTCAAATGAAACACACGTTATGCTTACAGCGTAGTTTTCATCAAAGCAGGGATGCTCACCACTCTAATGTGTCTTTAAAAAAAAAAGCATGTAAATGGTAGATAGCAACTCCTAGGTAGCTGAGTCCATAGTGTTAAACTACAGACGCCACTGACATTTTTGAAGAAATACATACTTCACTTACTTTGAAAAAGAGGCACAGATGTTCCCTACACTCAGAGAATGTGGCTGGGTTTTCCATTCCAAAGAGATCCGCGGTAAAGGGGTTCCAAAAGTTAACCCAGGATTTCTGAAAACACAATCCATCCCAAAGCCATAGAAGAGAAAATGGGTACGCTCTAGGGAAGACGGTAAAATGGAACACTCTAAAACAAGAATTACGGGCACAGTGGAGAGAATCGCCATATTAGAAGCAATGCGGCCCCAAATGTTTGCCGTGGTCAGCTCTCTGCAGCAACGGGCCTGCGCACAACGCACTCTAATCAAAAGCAGGTAACAGATTGACACCTGCCAAGAAAACACACACCACGCCAGTTACCTGATAATGCTTCAGGGTCCCATTGATGAGGAGGGCCGACTGCTTCTCCACCCTCTCCGAGATGGCGTGCGCCACCGTGTAGTAGGACTGGGAACCCCTGGCACTGTACTGCATGCTGTACTCATCGTCCACGTCTTGCTTAGCTGTCCTGGGCCAGAGACAGTGGAGAGTCACACACAGAGAAGTTGGTGCATGAATGGAGAGCCGAAAACAGCTGCAGGAAGTAGAGCTTTATTTACCACCTACTTCACGCCCGGCAGCTAAAACATATTATCTGTAATCCTCGCGAAAAGCAAGCAGGGTAGACGTTGTTGTTACCGTCCCCACTTCATGCCTGTGGAGAACTTCAGGCTGAGAGAGGTTCACGAATTTGCCCAGGTCACATGAAAGGTGGTGGCGTCAGGATTTGAACGCAGGCCCGCTCGACCTCAAGTGACTGCTATGAGCGTGAATCGTACGCCTGCAGGTTCACACTTTGCCAGTGAAGCTGTCCTAGGCCCTTGAAGTACAAAGATACATCCTATCCACAGAACACCGCCTAAAACTTGGAAGACAGGTGAGAGGGAGGCCAAAGGTGACATTAAAGAGATAGGAAAGAGGAGAGGTCGTCTTCCATTTTCTGTGTCTTGTTAACCAACTACTGAGTTATTCTACAGGCAGTGAGGGGCCATTGAGGGGGGTCTTGAAAACCTTCAGTGAAGAAACTGGGGGCAGATGAATAAAAGAAAGGTTCCTGAAGTGGGCACACAGCCCTGGAATAAAAGGAGAAAATATGAGAATGTCTATTTCTGCTCTTTTTTTTTTAATCTCATCAGTTTAAAATGTTCTATTTTGCACAGTGTTTCACCACAGTTTTATTTTAACACTAGAGCTACACAGGCAAAGAGCTGGGTAGGGCTTTCCTGGTGGTGCAGTGGTTGAGACCTAAGGCAGGGCACACGGGTTCGAGCCCTGGTCCGGGAAGATCCCACATGCCGCGGAGCAACTGGGCCCGCGAGCCACAACTACTGAGCCTGCGCGTCTGGAGCCCGTGCTCCACAACAGTGAGGCCGCAACAGTGAGAGGCCCGCGCACCACGATGAAGAGTGGCCCCCACTTGCCGCAACTACAGAAAGCCCTCGTACAGAAACGAAGACCCAGCACAGCCAAAAATAAATAAATTAATTAATAAAAAGAAAACAGCTGGGTAGGGGAATCAGTGGCTGAGCAGCTACTGCAACGAGGACGTTTCTCACTTGGGGTTCTGGGCGGGTGTTGGCACCATTAAGGAAGGCGGGAAAGGCAGCCAGTTGGAGGGGCAGGTTCCACGTGGGACGGAAGCGCGTGACACGCGAGGAGCCCAGGAACGAGGAAGTCATGAAGTGGGGGAGGGCACAAGGGGGGAGCTGAGCAGTGGGACAGTCTGGTGGCCTCTGACGGCGGCGTTTCGGGGGGAGCATGGGCGTGAGGTCGGCTTCCTTCCTTAGACAAACTTCTCTAAAAGAAAATCCATGAAGCGCAACCCTCACGAAATGCATCTGCAAGAGACAAAACTCTGAGAGACACATACTCGATGATCTGCTTAGCGTCCTTCTCGGAAACCTCTTCGCTGTTTGGATCCAGAAGTATTTTCTCTTCAGTTTCCTGCCTACTGGACTCTTCCTCTTCATCCTGGGGACGGAACAAAGATATGGGGGTGATTCCGTTTTAACGAGGGAATCCCTAGGCTTGGCGATTTCTGAAAAGAGAGTGAATAGCATTCTACTTCACAAGTGAGGTGCACACAACTGAGGGAGGACGTAAACTTAACCCTTACTTCCACCAGGCAATACCTACCTCTCCATCGCTGTTTACATCACTGAATGAAAGAACAAAAGGAACCCTCTGAGGATCCCCTGGAACCCTTGCTCCCAAGAATAAATATGTAAAAATCATGCCAGAAAGATGGATATTTATCATTATTTGGTCATCAGAGAGTCCTGTAGACCATATCTGCTCTTGCTAACTTGGTGACCTTCTATACCCTTCTCTCCAAAGCCAACTGAAGGGATCTTAAGTATTGTCCTTGTCTCTGATGATGCCAGTGGGCCTTTGATGGTCCCACACGTCTTCACAGTGGAGAGACTGGAGCTTGTAAGCACATGGCCTTCTGTGTGTGCTTTCTGTGGCCACTTCACAGCCCACATTTCAGGCTATTTAGATTAAAACTGTCAATAACATGGCAAAGGATTCATCACCTCCCCACCTCGCAACTGTGTACTTCGTTCTGCTGGCCTGTTGAAAAGCTTCACTCAATATCCATAATGCCCACTACTACCCACTGGTGTTGAAGGCTGAATCTTTCCAGATGATCCAGGAGAGTTTCCTTTAAAAGTAGGCTTAAAGAGAACCACGCTTTTCCATCAGGCTTGAATGAAACAATACAAACTGACATGATAGTAATGTTGAAAATCAAATCTATGACCACAGATCACTGAGCCACAAGGGGTAAACTGAGGAGTTGGCACAGCTCTTTCACATCCAGGTGAGCACCGAGGGGGGACATGACTCGCCATGAGATGGGGACCTGGTCTCCGGACCCCCAGGTCAGAGTTCACTCTAGTCCCAGCTCTCTAGAGCTGTCTGCAGTTGCCAGTCTCAGGAGGGCACCTGTGGGTTGAGCAGCCTTCTCTACCTCACCTCTGTCCCTCCCTGGCTCTCAGACTCAACGAGAAGATTCTTCCGACGGAAGAATTTATGGGCCCATTCATCCGAGTAAACAAGAGACATTTTAAAAATTGATTTTGTAAGTTTCAAGTACCTCAGAGAAAGAGTAGCCTATTAAAAAAAACAAAATAAAATAAAGCATGCCTCCAAAAGTATTTGCTTGTTAACAGCATGCTTTTTTCTAAAAAAAAAAAAAAAAAAAAAAAACAACTTCTATTATCTTTCCTCTTTGCAAAAGCAGTAAGTGTCCACGGTAGATTAATTTAGAAAACACAGGTCCACAAAACAGAAGAAAATAACAACGGTCTTAAAATTCTGGTGAGCTGTTATTGGTAAGGCTGCTCTGCTCTGGCCATGGCATTCTTTGAACCAAGATTCCCCTACACTGGTAAACACCAGATTTAATGACTATACGCTAACAATGCTCTAATAAAGGAGATAATAATCTTTTAATCCTTCTATTTGTAATTGTTAAGGATTTTAAAGTTGATCTAAAAGATACCTTTATTATTCCTTAATTTCTATTAAAAGTATCCAAGATTCCCATTTTAGGTTCTGGATATATTGAGTATTCCTTCCAAAAGACTGACAAATGCGGCTAACAAGTATATCCAAAGAATTCAAGGAAGAATCACATTTAAAGAAAAAACCCAAGAGGATCAATTAACCCATTAAACCAAGTGCATGTTGCCCTTTTGGTCTAAGTTTCCACACTTACAGCTTCAAACAGGCCCAAGGACTAAATAACTTCAGACATTTTTAGGCTGTTAACCCTCAGTGTAAATGACTTAGAAGCATGGAATTGCCTTTCCCCAAGTAATCCATCTCCAATTTTCCTCAGAAGACCTTTCTACCATCTCCAATTTAATGCCAGCTTCTCTCTTCTTGGTTTCAAATAAATTTAGAGTTCACCAAGCTTCCACATTCGCCAGGAGCCCCCGAGAGGTCACTGCGCTACTAGGCAATGCACCAGCAAAGCTCTGTCAAACCCTCAGCCTCAGCTGTCACCCGATGGCCAAAACTGGAGGACGAAGAGACAGAAGGACACAGGTGCTTCCCCGTGAACTTTCCAGCCAGTGAACTCCAAACAGAGATATATACGTACCTCCTCCTCATAATCAGAATCGCTCTCTTCACTGTCCGATCTAGGGGCAACTTCGTAACTACAAGAAAAGGAGTGGGAAGGGAGAGGAGGCTTAGCTTTTTAAATCAGAAAACTGTGTGTGTGCGTGTGTGTGTGTGTTTATACACAAATATATGGCACATTCTATATACAAACGCAGGTAATAACTTTAAGCAGTTCAGCAAAGGTCATGCTATTTTAGTTCCCAGATTCTACAAGGACCACAAAAACCTGAAAAGTCAAAGAACACCAATAATTCTGCTTTAGTGCCATACCCAGGATTCATTTCCAACCAGGCATCCAGCTGACTTGCTTTGGGTGCTTCTGGGCCAAACAGGACCTTGCCGGTTTCTGTGTGAGTCACTTTGACAGGGAGGTCACTCATCTGGCTGCTCTCATCTATGGGCTAGAAAGGAGAAAAGACATAACACCGCTTCGGGTTAAGACGTTCTCCCAATTCTGTGCTGGATGTCTCTCGGCCTTTTGGCTGCCCAGCATTTGAAATCCTTTCCCGCGATTAGAAATTTCATCCCCTGATGAGTTCTGGTGGGAAGTGGGAGGTCACCTCCTACCAAAGAAACTGAAAACACCAGCCTCCCTTGCAGCAAAGGAACTGGCACAAGACCTAAGCTCCACCAGCTGGGCTCATTCACCAAGGCTCTGAATTAGGACCCAGAAGGAAGCGGGGGCCAACAGGCACACTGGTAGGAGGGCAGACAACAGCGGCAGCAGTGCCAGTGCAGTGGTATTGGCTGTGCCCACTCCCGAGGCTGGCCATGTCCTCACTAAGCGGCTGTAGGGTACACTACGGTAACGTATCACTGGAATAATAGCGCGGTCCCCAGCCAGCTTCTCCAGGCTTCCAGAGTTCCGATGACTCATCCGATATCCTATTAATATGTTCCCTTTTACTTAAATCAGGCAGAGTTGATTTTTGTCACTTGCAGCTAAGAACCCCCAACCCCCAAATAATCCCCTCCAGATAAGGACTACTGCAAAGTCATGGTTTCAGAGAGAATAATGGAAAAAAAGGAAAAGGTACTGTAACTTGTATCATCTCATTATGGCTGGTTTGGCTTCTGCAGAAACAACGTCATTTATCCAAAACCAAACCACCAGGTACCAAGCCCAACCATGGGGCCCTGTGATAAAGCAAAAGGCTCTGCTCACTGGAAATCTAGCAAATTGACAAGTCTGAGCTGAAGTTCGTTATTAGACTCTCAGTGAAATACGGCTTGCTCAGGAAATTAAGAGAATAAGTGAAACTGCAGAGGCTGTGCTTAACCTACTTCAGAGAACAAACTGTTTAAAAAGGCCTAAAAATGGAGTAATCCTATGCAAATGAATGCTACTGATAACAGGGTGACTGTACTTCTAGGAGCAGGCCCCCAGGTGAGACGTTTAGGCAACCCATTAATTGCAAAGAATTTTTTCTAAATTACTCTCATTTGGAGCTAAATTAAAATGATAGGAAAAGCAGTATACTGTAGGTTATCTTCTAATATCTTATAGGAAATGACCACCTCCTTCCCCCCAAATATTGGTTCTTTCCCCCTTCTCCCTTAACAAAGCACTGTCAGAATAAGAAACAATATATTAGCAATTATCCACAAAAACAACCTGACAAAAAAGAGAAGGCTTACTCCAGACAGTTTTTCCTTTTATGTGTGCTGAAGCAATGGTTGTGAACACCGCTACTTTGCGTGTCAAGACAACGCTTCTTCCTGTTAACGTAGAAGGTCATCTACAGGCTCACGCGATAAAGTAGGAAATCTACCATTCGCTACCATCTCCCTTGGAAAAACCATATTCCATTATCTTGAACTATTATAATGCAGCTTGTTTTATTGTTTGTGTCATGCCTCAAAGAAAACTGGAAATCACTGTAGCTGGAATTAGAACTTTGGCAAAAACACTGAATGAGCACAGCAGAATGTAATCAGAACATTATTTCAAAACAAACCAGGTAAGACATCTACTTTGCCCGCTTCAGCAAACAGAAAACACATGTGTTAAGATTAAAACAAAAGTGTATGTCACAGGCCCAAGATCAGGAGCTTATTTTCCCAGGAGATAACATGAGATAAGAGAGCTATCACACTAACACGTTAAATCTCTCCCTGTGTGCTTGTTAGTTACAGACTGATGTGAGGCATGCTTAAGTAAGGGTGGGTTTTTACAAATTAGAGTTGTTTCTAAGTGCTCTAATATATAGTATTCTTCCCCCGTAACAGCCCACTGAGTGTTTCTTACACATTAGACATTTATCCCGATCTTTTCTTTCCTTGTGATGAATTATAGTGGTTAAGTAACATTTATTGTTCAAGAGATTTCTGCACAGAATAGTGGTTTCAACCTTTTTCCTGCCACCAGGCTGTTCACATTCATAATACTTCTCGTGTGCACTGCAATTCCAGAAGGGGAAGAGACAACCCTCCACCCACCCCAATCCTCCAGGCAGATTAATCAGAATCTGTGAAAGGAGAAGGAAGTTTGAAACAAACGCCCTTCCCATCCTGCTCGCTCCGGGGGGGGGATGCCTGCTCGTGCGAATCACTGGCCAAGAACTTTTGAGTTTTCAGAGAAAAAAACATCCAATAAATCAATCATTGTATTCTCGTGGTTCAGAATATTGGAAATACTAGAAAATAAAATTTAGAAATACGCCGCTGAATCTACAAATAGAGGCTACAGGGTAAGCCTACAGAAAGTGGCAAAAAATAAGCTACCAAATACGCAAATTGTTTGGCTTACAGTTACGAAATTTCAAAGTAAATGAAGGAAACTGGGTCATATTTTCTGCTTCTGTATCATCGACGGGGAAAATGTAATTATAGAATCACTTAAGATTTTTCCACATTCTGTATATTCATAAACACATGCTTATATGTGCACAGACAATTTCTGGAGTGGTACATAAGAAACTTAGTATCAGTTGATTGGCAGTCTGAGATGGAAGATTACTTTTCAGTGTACCCTTTCATACTATTCTAATTTTCTACCATGCTAATGTACTACTATTTTTACTTAAAAATGAATAGCAGAGAGGAACCATATGATCATCTCAATAGATGCAGAAAAAGCTTTCGACAAAATTCAACACCCATTTATGATAAAAACCCTCATGAAAGTAGGCATAGAGGGAACTTACCTCAACATAATAGGGCTGTATATGACAAACCCACAGCCAACATCATTCTCAATGGTGAACAACTGAAACCATTTCCCCTAAGATCAGGAACAAGACAAGGTTGTCCACTCTCACCACTATTACTCAACATAGTTTTAGAGTTTTAGCCACAGCAATCAGAGAAGAAAAAGAAATGAAAGGAATCCAAATCAGAAAAGAAGAGGTAAAGCTGTCACTGTTTGCACATAACATGATACTATACATAGAGAATCCTAAAGATGCTACCAGAAAACTACTAGAGCTAATCAACGAATTTGTTAAAGTAGCAGGATACGAAATTAATGCACAGAAATCTTTTGCATTCCTATACATTAATGATGAAAAATCTGAAAGAGAAATTAAGGAAACACTCCCACTTACCACTGCAACAAAAAGAATAAAATACCTAGGAATAAACCTACCTAAGGAGACAAAAGACCTGTATGCAGAAAACTATCAGACACTGATGAAAGAAATTAAAGATGATACAAACAGATGGAGAGATGTACCATATTCCTGGATTGGAACAATCAACATTGTGAAAATGACTATACTTCCCAAAGCAATCTACAGATTCAATGCAATCCCTATCAAACTACCAATGGCATTTTTCACAGAACTAGAACAAAATGTTTCACAATTTGTATGGAAACACAAAAGACCCCGAATAGCCAAAGCGATCTTGAGAAAGAAAAACAGAGCTGGAGGAATCAGGCTCCCAGACTTCAGACTATACTACAAAGCTACAGTAATCAAGACAGTATGGTACTGGCACAAAAACAGAACTATAGATCAATGGAACAGGATAGAAAGCCCAGAGATAAACCCATGCACATGTGGTCACCTTATTTTTGATAAAGGAGGCAAGAATATACAACGGAGAAAAGACAGCCTCTCTAATAAGTGGGTCTGGGAAAACTGGACAGCTACATATAAAAGAATGAAATTAGAACACTCCCTAACACCATACACAAAAATAAATTCAAAATGGATTAAAGACCTAAATGTAAGTCCAGCCACTATCAAACTCTTAGAGGAAAACATAGGCAGAACACTCTATGACATAAATCACAGCAAGATCCTTTTAGACCCACCTCCTAGAGAAGTTGGAAATAAAAACAAAAATAAACAAATGGGACCTAATGAAACTTCAAAGCTTTTGCACAGCAAAGGAAACCATAAACAAGACCAAAAGACAACCCTCAGAATGGGAGAAAATATTTGCAAATGAAGCAACTGACAAAGGATTAATCTCCAAAATTTACAAGCAGCTCATGTTGCTCAATATCAAAAAAACAAACAACCCAATCCAAAAATGGGCAGAAGACCTAAAGAGACATTTCTCCAAAGAAGACAGACAGATGGCCAACAAACACATGAAAGAATGCTTAACATCACTAATCATTAGAGAAATGCAAATCAAAACTACAATGAGGTATCACCTCACACCGGTCAGAATGGCCATCATGAAAAAATCTACAAACAATAAAGGCTGGAGAGCGTGTGGAGAAAAGGGAACCCTCTTGCACTGTTGGTGGGAATGTAAATTGATACAGCCGCTATGGAGAACAGTATGGAGGTTCCTTAAAAAACTAAAAATAGAACTACCATACGACCCAGCAATCCCACTACTGGGCATATACCCTGAGAGAACCATAATTCAAAAAGAGTCATGTACCACAATGTTCACTGCAGCTCTATTTACAATAGCCAGGACATGGAAGCAACCTAAGTGTCCATCAACAGATGAATGGATAAAGAAGATGTGGCACATATATACAATGGAATATTACTCAGCCATAAAGAGAAATGAAATTGAGTTATTTGTAGTGAGGTGGATGGACCTAGAGTCTGTCATACAGAGTGAAGTCAGTCAGAAAGAGATAAAGAAATACCGTATGCTAACACATATATATGGAATCTAAGAAAAAAAAAATGGTCATGAAGAACCTAGGGGCAAGACAGGAATAAAGACACAGACCTACTAGAGCATGGACTTGAGGATATGGGGAGGGGGAAGGGTAAGCTGGGACAAAGTGAGAGAGTGGCATGGACATATATACACTACCAAACGTAAAATAGATAGCTAGTGGGAAGCAGCCACATAGCACAGGGAAATCAGCTCGGTGCTTTGTGACCACCTAGAGGGGTGGGATAGGGAGGGTGGGAGGGAGACGCAAGAGGGAGGAGATATGGGGATATATGTATATGTATCGCTGATTCACTCTGTTATACAGCAGAAACTAATACACCATTGTAAAGCAATTATACTCCAATAAAGATGTTAAAAAAAAAAAAGAATAGCAGAGTACAAAATAAAATCAGTATACACAGAGAATGGTGCAGCAAGGTATGGCAGGGTATCATTCAATAGAACACAGCAGAAATGGATGCAAAATCCCTTACCTCTCCATCTGGTCCCAGGGCAGACTCCTCCCCCTCTGCATTCTCTTCAGCCTTCTGCAAAACAATGTCAAATGTTACATGTAAACCAAGAAAGTGGGTACAGGAAGGACCTCATGGCAACTTGGTGGTATACAACAGTAATTCATTACTGCTTATCATCATCCAACAAAGCTTAGGAATTAATGCCTTTTCTTTGTGTTTCTCCTCACTCTCTGAGACAAGATGAACTGTGTACTTTATTGGCAACTTGCAGGGGGTCAGTGAAAGCTGGGTATGGCTCAGGCCTGGCCCACTAGAGATGGCTGGACTGTGTCTTCCAGGACCCCAACAGCTTAAGATGTGGCAGCATCGGGACAGGGGTCAGAATCCCCAATGTCCTTGTGTTTGGCACTATGAAGACAAATCCTGACGTAATCAGCTCAATTTTCCCATTCCCTTAGCAAGTTGTCTAAAAATGTCCCCTCAAGAATGAATTCTGAACCGCTCTTGGGTTATAAAAATGCAAAATCATACAAAATTCTTGAGTTCTCTGAATTTTTATCATTCTACCTAATTGGCTTTCATAATATACAGTATTTCCACAGTGGGTATATGGGGAAATTTGATGCAGATACTGTGATCTCATGAAAAATTCTGTCATCTTCCATTTCTTAAATATTCCAATATCTTAGCCCATTAACCTTTATGTGTCTCAAAGGCAGCCTAAATGAAAAGCTAGGATTATGTCGCGTTTTGTACATACCCGAGAGAGCCTCATCTGCAAGAGACACAAGATAGTCTAAACTTTCTTACATTTATAACGACCTCTTCGACAAGTGAAATCCTTAACATCACCTTTACAGAATCCTTATTTTAAAGTTATTCTGTGTGGTGTGATTAGAAGAAAAACAAACAAACAAACAAACTTTAGTCATTTCCTTTATCAAGACATTTAAGAAAATGAGCTTTCCTCCCCTGGGCTCTTTAGTTAATTAAAAATATACATAATGATACAGAATCAATATTAACTCCACTTTGTTTACTTAAGGCATTGACTGTGTAATACATTTTTGCTTCCCATGAAAATAACTCAGTTGTCTCTTGACAAAACAGCTTTTACAGAAAATGTTTAGTGGTGAAAATCCAGCCTTTTGTCCATACTGAGGAAGGGCAGTTCCCATAAATGTCTGAAATTTTATAGTTGTTTGATAATTTTCTTGCAAAAAATACATGTATATAAGTAGGCCAAAACACAAGGCATAAAAAAATGTAGCACTTCTACCAAAGAGTAGGAAATGAAATGCTCTCCTTGGTTATGATTTCCCAAGAATTTAATTTTCTATTTATGTCACCCCAAACTGAAAATATTTACAAGATCAAAAGAAATGACCATCATGGAAAAGCATCCCTATGTCTGGGCTAGGGATCCAGAGAACAATGGCAGAAAGGCTCAGAAAAGGGGCCGTCCCTGCTACCAGCCTCCCTGAAGATCTCATTTTTGGAATTCTCAGGCACTATATTCAGGCAACTCTTTTAATTAATGGGAGAAAGTCAATTAATCCCACCATTCTTTCCATACAAATCAGAAATTAGCTACAAATCTGGCCAACAAAGAAAATCAGATGAGACCATGAATAAGCCAATTTTCCAATATCTAGCTAGTGGAACTGGATCACTATTTCAATGAATAGGACATTAAAAAGCTTGAAGGACCATAAATAACAGAATCAAAACTATTCTAAAGAATACTCTTCTATGAATCTGCCGTAGACTAGATAGGCTGCTATCTAAAAACTGCCTCATAATCAGGCCTTTCCATTACTTAAATTCCTCTAAACTAATTTTTAAATTTCTATCTGGTATCAAATTTGAGAAGCAATGTAATATCAGACTTAAGAAAGTCAGCTCTGGAATTAGATGAACTGCGTTTGAATGCCAGCTCTGTCACTAAGCGCAAGAGTACTTAGCTGTGTGATCTCGACCAAGTCTCTGTGTCTTGGTTCCCTCTTCTGTAAAACAGGGACAGCAGCGGTCCCTACCTCATAGAGCTGCTGCTGGATCGTTATTTCAATATGTACAATCCAGTGTTACATGTAATATCCACTGAGAGTGTCAATTTCCACAATGTAAAAGAATCAGTGATAGTCCGAGGGCTATTCTTTTATGTCTATATAAAACTGGCTATAGCACTGTCTGAAAACTGCTTCATACGGTTACGCAGTCAGGGATTTCTGTCTGTTTTGTTCACTCATGTATTCCCATACCTACAAGGGGTCCCGGCACTTAAAAGGCACTAAATAAATATTTGAAGGATGAATGAATGAATGCGCCAAGAACAACACTTTCCACTTAGCATACATGCAATCAATTAACATTATTTTAATTAGGTGACAATATATGTGCAAGTCATAAAAGAGTTAAGAGCACACACACGTTCCTCACTGAACTGGTGCTCTATGAGACCTTCCCTTGCGTGCCCTGTACTTATACCCAGTTCGGCTATGTTATTCTAGGAGGTGGAAGCCAGATGGCAGTCTACTCTGCAGCAAGAGGTGTCAAGTTCTCCCATCATGCTTTGAATTCCTTCAGTGTGGGGACAATCTCTGGTTGGTACGCTTTCAGAAATCCACATTCTCACATCAAACTAGTGCTTAACCCTCAATTCTCTTCCGCTGCCGGAATTCCCTTTGTGCGTAGCTCAAGGTCAACTCCAAACAGATTGTGACCGGTACTACGATATTGGAGTAACCTGGGACAGACGCTGAGCACCTGGTGGGATGGCCTGCAGCTGATGGGGCCGCGGCTGCCTGAGAGAATCTCATATACAGTGAATCGGTAGCATGTGACTGCAAACACATCCTATCAATGTTGCCGGCTGATGCCTGAGCTTATTTCCACTGATTAAAACAAACACAAAAAAACAAAACCGACTGCAGTTCATCCACTAATCAGGAATAAGGAACTCTGTACTGGCTTCTTCCTATCCACAAAAAGTTGAGAACTAATTACCCTCATGGAGGGGAGGGAGGAATGTAATTATGGAATCGGATGTGAAGCAAATTACTCCTAACGAAAGACAATCTGGCTTCCCGGTTAAGGCTGATGTCAATTCATACCCTTCCTTTAGGGATGTTCATGAACAAAGCTATGTGCACAGCTATCCACTTTCCTTGCAGAGGCTGTATAAAATAATCAACAACGCTGTGTGGAGGGAAAGATATCCCCAAACATGAAAACCCTGTGGAAGCTGAATTCAAGAAAATGGGCCTCACTGGGGTACTTTATGCAGATTACCACAACACAGGACACAAACAGCCTCACTCTGAAAAGAAAACAGCTTTGTACCAAATATTTTACAATCTATATTATAAAGTGAACACAGTTTATCCCCCAGCAGGTGTTATAATATGCTGAAACATCATTCAAATGTGTTGGCATCTTAAAGACTCATTCTGCTTCGAGGGAAACTTAAGATTTTCAGAAACCGCTTGGGTTATTTTTACTGTCATTTAAGAGGACCTGTGAGCATTAAGATAGGTGATCAGGCAATAAAAAAAATACCCAAGAATATCAAATTAACAGGCAATTGCACATTACTTAAGTTGGGCCTTGCAGAGAAAACCAATTCCAACATTTTGACTCAAGTAACTGGTCAATCCAGTTAAGCTGGACTTTGATCCAAATTTCTGGTTTCACCCATTTTGACACTGAACTTATCAAATAAATCTAACCATCATGGCATCGTGTTCACCTACCTTTACAATAGTCACTACACTCAAATGCCCAGGATTGCCTTAGAACCTTTCTTTCACCTACAAAAATCTCCTTGTGGAGGCAAACTGCAAAAAGCTAATCATCTTTGGGGAAAGGAGATAAAAGAATTGAGAAGGACTGGAGAGTCACTCAAATTTAAAATAAATGCCTCAATGGCATTACTACTTTGCACCTGATGCTCTTTTCACTGAAAATTATACCGAGGGGCTTTTCTCTAATTGTCGGCTATCTTCCTATCACTATACTGATCCATACACTATGCCAGAAAGGTCCCCCCTCCAAAACATCACAGATGCACGTGTAACAGTGTTTGATGAGAGAGAAAGAGAACAGAATAAGTTTCAGAAAGAAAGACCATGACGAAAAAGTCACTGGACACAGCGCTCCCCCATGGACTCTCTACGTTCTCATTAGTATCATGGGTTTCCAAGAAATGTCACAATAAATACCAAGGGTGTCGTTCTGTTGGTATACACCCCAGTGAAAGATTTGGGGGAAGGGGATTAAATACTTTGTACTTTACTTTTGGCCTGAAGTCAATAGCTGGGGAAGCTGAACCTCTTAAATGACCAGACTTTTCAGCAGTAGGTGTGTGGGTTAGGGGGCTGGCATGGGCTCCCAACCACAGCTTAAGGAAAGACATACCCTAAATCTCTGTAAGAAATACCTTATCGTTTGGATATTATAGGCCAAATAATTAGAAAATTCTCTTTCTAGGATCTGGGGAGGAAGAGGGAAGCAGAGTCTGCCAAAAATAAGAAATCCTCATTTCCCGCTGCAGGCCTCCACAGCCAAGGAGCCTGTCATTGTCCTAAAAGACATTCTACCTAATAATATCTAATTGATCCTCACCTAGAAAAAAAATGGTGGCCACTTATTTTCTCAACACCACAGAGAACATACAGTAAGGGGAAAAAGAAGATTTTATTTTCAGAAAAACCTATAACCACATTTCAACAATCACGATCCTACATCTATACCACAGAATTGATTGATAAAACAACTAATATTTACTGAGCACTTACTATGTCCCAGGGAGCGTTCTAAGTGCTTTAGATAAACTTTCCTATGTGAGCCTCACAACAAATCTAGGCTATAGGTCCTGTCCCTATCACCTTCTTACAGATCAAGAGACTGAAGCACTGGGTAACAGATCTCTTAATGAAATATCCTACAAGGGAATAAGAGCAAATTAGTGTTCTATGTTTTCTTACGCAGTTATGAATTTAAGAGATTGCGTACCAATGTGCTTTAGACAGTAGTCCAATTTCGTAAGTTAGCACGTTCAATCCTATTTGCATACGACGCCATTTCAACCTGGAGTCCCCCAGTAGATATAAGGGAGCTCGCATGGCAGAGGATGGAGACCTCCAGGTCATGCTAAGTACCCATAACCGTGTATTCACCTTGTCACACTGCAGAGACTGCTGTCACCTAATCAGATATTTCAATACTTGAAAAATTATTCCTCCTCTAACACCTAAGTAGATACATAGAGCTTATTTCTTTTTCTTCCACTTCAAGGGCGTTAATGGAAGGCCAGGTTGAGATCGAGAAGTTTCAGAATGATTTATAAATGTATACTTCATAGAAGCGGCTCTGATGGTGAGAAGAGCAAAACTAAGCAAGGTCCTGAGAGGTTAAAGGAAACCCACTCTGTTATTCACTAACACCAAGTAAACCTGATCAACTCCCCAAGAAAGAAAAAGGCCTTCTCTGTTACACCAGGGCAATTCCTTAAAAAAATGATACGCTAGTTTAACACTGAGTAAAAAAGTAGCCCTTTTCCAATTAAACTGCAAGGTCCACCATACTTATCTTTGACGGCACAGTTCTTGAAGTTACCTGTACCTTGTCCTACAAGTGTTGCCACCAGTTCAATGCTATTAGTTCACTGAGTAAAGAAGCTTTCTCAAAACAAAGATTTAGGGATGCCTTACTTAATTAGAAAAAAAAGCAAAACAAAACCTGCAGATAGATACAGCATGATATTCACTTCTATGGGAAATGCTAAAAGGGACAGCACAGAATTTTTAAGTGTCCACATGCAGGTTCCCTCCCTGACACAGAGAAGCTGGAACAAACAACTCTCAATCATTCACTCTAATGGAGGGAAGAAGAACTCCAGGTAATCCAGAGTGTCAAATAATCAGCTTTTGAAAGCATCCATTTTCTTTGCACTTGAATTAAGGTACATCTAAAATTGGGTAACTCACTCTGAACTAAGTCTTAAAACCCCATGAGACAGTTTTCAGGAAGGTCTAGGAAGGAGCCCAGTTTCTTTTTGTCCTTTCTTTATCCAAGGTCTCCCAGCAAGATGGCCCAGGAAGGAAATACGGCCTGATCTCCTTGGTCCTGCTGAGGGCAGGGGGAGCTCAGATGCGAGGCATCCTGAGAGCATGTCAGGGAAGAGGGAGAGGGCTGCTAATAAACTAATAATTCTGCACATTCCATCATGTGAGCTCACCAGCGGAAGATGCCCAGAGACAGCCACCAGGCAGACTGGAGTCGCTTGGGTACCTATTATTCGTTTGCCAGGAAACCAGGTCCCAGTTTTACTCCCCGCCTTCCTTCACAGCATTCATGACAGTTTATAATTATATACTTGGGTGCATATTTGATTAATGTCTGTCTCTCTCTCTCTAATTAATTAAGAGGGCAAGAGTGCTTTTCCTCACCACTTGCACTCTCTCTCCCCCAGCATCTAGCATCCTGCCTAGATCATAGTAAGTGTTCAGTTAATATTTTCTGAGCAAATACATGAAACAGAATAAGTGCTATGAGCAAACCTGAAAGCAAGAGTTTGGAGGTAGAGAGTCAACCTACAGATGATGCAGTGTTGGCAGCATCAGGAAAAATACTGACAGGTTCCTGCTCTGTACAGATTAACATAAAAACAAAGGCATAATCATTACAACACAATCATGTATCTTCCTTTGCCTATGATGATATAACAATCTAATACTACTGCAGCAGTCCATTAATTAAAAGCCAGAAGCTCATATCTGAGCCATTAGCTTTTAATCACAAAGAAACACAGACTACGAATGGTAGTACTAAAAACACTAACAGTGACCTTTTTGTGACAGTCTCTGCAAAATATGCCTCAGGATCAGGAAAAACTAAAATGGTCATTTCATGGGGTCCACCTATGGAATATGACAGAATTGTTATCTGCTTGCCATGTGTCAACTTTAAGTCAGAAATTGGGAGCTGGAATTTTGCAAAGTCTATAATGCGACCTTGACAAGAAAATGAGGTATTCCTCACCAAAGAAATGTCGAAATGCAAGCCCTGACTCATCCCGTGTTCACCTTCACAATAAGGGAAGCTATCTTATACTAAAGAAATCAGGTGCAGAAGGCGCCTTTTCAATCACTTATTCCTCCTCCTTAATTATGAAACAGGTATGAGAATTCAGGAGCCATGAAATTAATTATTTTTTTGAAAAACATTTTGTGCAATTATTCAGTGCAGAGAAGACATGATTAAACGCTACCAATCCTCAATCTTCACAATTCTAACGAAGACTTCCTGTCGATGTTTATACCTGGGCCAATCAGAACTGACCGTGAAAACAAAACATCCACCGAGAGCTATATTAGCAGACTACTTAAGCTTCAAAGAGGCTCTACATTTACAGGTTACCCTTGAATTGAGATATAGTATCTGCAGAGTAGAGGTTCTAAATCTTACCCCTTCGTTTCTCATGATAAATTGGATTATTTTACATAAGACTATTCACTGTTTTCTGTAATGACCTAAAACCCTGACTTGCACATTTACCTTAGTGTAAAACCGGGGCAGCTGAACTGAGCGAACAATCTTGGCATCGCTGTCTGTCCAAAGAAACAGGCTGAAATATGTTCTAAAAGTATCCCAAAGCTATCTCTTCCATCTTCCTCTGGCTCCTTTCAATCTGAACATAGCATTTTCGTCTTCATTTTCACTCCAGTTTCTTAACTCAGCAGTCCCCTGCCTCGCTGGCATTGCACTTGAGCAAACATTTCTTTGTGCCCATGGTTTTCCTTTTTCTACTGACCGTGTGTACTTAGTTTCTGAATGCTGGGTGAAACAGTGGAAATACAAGCCAAATATACATCCTGTCCATCATGCCGCCATCTCCAAAATGTTGCCTAGTACACCTAGTACGTCAACCCATTTATATCAGCAATGTTTGCGATATAATCATCTAAGTCTCCCACTAGTGCGGTAGGAAGTACTCATTAAAGGGCAAGACATGCCTAAAACTGGTCGGCAACCACACGTCCCCGGTTCAGCCACAGGCACTCAGGTGCTCACCTTCCTCTTCTTCCTCCTCTTCTTCTTCTCTTTGGCCGCCTGGGCTTGCTTGTGCTCCCAAACCAGATTAGTCAGGTTGGCCACATACTCATCCGTCTGCTGCAAAAGGTACGCTAAACGCCTATCTTTCTTTTGATCGATCAGTTTTCTATAGCCCTCTTCATCTTCAGCCTATTAAGGAAAGAAGAGCGTGATCAGAACATAATAAAAGTTTGCAGACGACACCTTTTTCCACTCATCCCTCCCCTTGATGGTCTGAACTTCGGTGGTCCGCGCAGCACACCGAATGATTCCGGCCACCCGAGTTCTCGCACCCTGTCTGGGAATAGGGAACACACGGAGGTACGATGCCTATGCCCCGGGACACCAGAGTTCACGGCAAGGTCAACACACATAACTATTTGTGTGGTGTGATCAAGCACTCTGAGCCAACTTTTCATTCTTTTGTGTTCCTTTAACTGCGCAAAAACTGTTAAAATTTGAGGATTCACCATCTGAAACTTATTCTTAACTTTATATTTTGGAAAGTGTCAAATATAATCAAAAGTAGAGAAGGTAGTATAATCTCTCATATAACCAACACCAAGCAACAAAAATTAACTCCCCATGACTCCCGTTTGTTTCGCTGCAGCCCTTCCCCCACCTCCTCCCTGCAATCCCAAACTGGATTGTCCTGAGGCAAATTCCAGACATAATAGCTTTTCATTCATAAATATTTCAATAAGTACTTCCAGAGGCAAGGAACTGAAATAGGTTTTGAACAAATAACTTCTTATACTTAAAAGCATTACAAGGACTTCCCTGGTGGCGCAGTGGTTAAGAATCCACCTGCCACCGCAGGGGACATGGGTTCCAGCCCTGGTCTGGGAAGATCCCACATACCGCGGAGCAACTAAGCCCGTGTGCCTCAACTACTGAAGCCCGCGCGCCTATAGCCCGTGCTCCGCAACAAGAGAAGCCACCGCAATGAGAAGCCCGGGCACCACAACCAAGAGTAGCCCCCGCTCGCCACAGCTAGAGAAAGCCCGCGCTCAGCCACGAAGACCCAACGCAGCCAAAACTAAATAAATAAATGAATTTATAAAAAATGTGGTTGACTGGGAGGGATTTTGGTCACAGGTCAGCACTGCATGATGGGCCCAGATGACTGGAGACAAGTCATTAGCACCTGAAGCCTGACAGTGCTGAGCCATAAAACAGACACAGTACTTCCCACTTCTACCTCCTGTTAAGCAATATTATGAGGTTAAATGGAATAAAAACTGATGCACTCTGGGTCATTTCCAGAGAAATCTTTTTATACATCCCAATAAAAGGACATCTCAAAAATATCTTCCTCGTGTGATGCAGGATAAAAGGAACACACTGCAAAATCTTTTATGAGGCAGCTCCTTACAGAGAAGCTTAGGTTTTTCAGTGCAGGGGTGTCCCTCCAGCATTTGCCCGAGTAACAGCAGCCTCGTCACTCCGTCTGGCTGCTGTCTGCCCCATGGATGAGCATGAACCTCAAATGCTATTATAACTGTAATTGCTTTTGGTTATGGTTGATCTCACTTGAAGAAAGAATGATAAAAAAAAACTTCAGTGTCTCAGTTATCTGTATATTCCATCATTTAATTGCGAAAATTAATGATTTGCAAATGCCTAATCATTAGTGTCAAGCCAATCTGTTACTGAAGTTCTAATATAGTTTCACTTCAGTTGAATCAGACAAATTTGACTGTTCCCTGCTCAAATACTATAAAATGGTCTCCCCAGCTAGTTAGCCATCTCCTGGTCCCCTCCCTCCCAAAAAACGAGAGGGAGGTAGGAGAAGGTGGTAAGACTTAGTAGACCCCGGACACAGAGCCTTTTAAAATATGGTGTTCACTCTCCGAAATCAAAAAAAATTAATGACAAAAAAACGCAAACCGTAATACCAGCCAGGAAGACTATGTCATTTGGAATTTTCCAGGGACATAATTATGGGTTGAGGCTAATGATTTTATCTTCATCCAGTACCCAGGCGTTACATCCCGGATAGAATCTGCACATCTCCTATCAATATACATTACACACACTTTTCTAAAATCCACGGTGTGCTCTGAGGTCCGATTCCAAAAATAAATGGCCAATAAACTCAAATACGCAGGCCAGTGATATAAACCAATTCCTTCTGTGTTTATATATCCATTAAAAAGTAACGGTGGAAATGAAATGACCCATGAATAGCCTTTGACAATAACACGGCTATGATCAAAAAAGCAGCATTTCAAAATTAACTTAAAAATCACTTTTTAAACTGTTAGAGAAAAATTTCTGCCAGAATTTTGAAGCACCAGCGGCTTCAAAAAAAGAGAACTTCTTAGATTCCAAGACACAACTTCATGAGATATTCATTCAAAACAACTTGTGTCATTAGTCTCAAAGAGGCAACACTTTAAAAAGAACTGCCGTTTCCATCCTTCCAGGTCTGGTGATCAAAACTCCTGCAAAATATAGTACCTGACTTTATGTAAAAAGCTATCATCTGGGGCTTTCCTGGTGGCGCAGTGGTTGAGAGTCCGCCTGACGATGCAGGGGACATGGGTTCGTGCCCTGGTCCGGGAAGATCTCACATGCCGCGGAGCGGCTGGGCCCGTGAGCCATGGCCGCTGAGCCTGCGCGTCTGCAACGGGAGAGGCCACAACAGTGAGAGGCCCGCGTAGCGCAAAAAAAAAAAAAAAGAGCTATCATCTGAATAACAGTGCCACCCTAGGACATGGAAACCCTATACTCATCAGTGGTAGCCCTAGATTTGTGGCACTGCACTGTCTAGGAAAGGGAAGGTATTTTTACTCCATCCCTGTGAAGTTCAAAGGAATGGATTAGTATATTTGATAAGCAGCTTTTACTCTCTTCTTCTACTACAGCATGTTTAACATTCTCAGCGCAGATGGCTGTGAGGGGGGCATTTTCCTGGGTTCCTGTAGGCAGGCCCCTTACCATCAATCTCCGCATTCTCTCCTTTTCAATCCGCTCGGTCTCCTTCTTCTGCTCCCTTTCAGTGTTGGCATGCCAAGTGGCCACTGCTTTGGAAAGCTTCTGGATCTTCCCGGCCACAGACCGATGGTACTCCTTAAAATCTTTTGCATGCTGCAAAATACTGTTCAGGTATTCCTAAGGGATCCAAAGCGGGGAGAAGAGAAGGCTTAAAATTCAGTTCCCAATGTCGTTTGAGGTTTCATCATAGTACAGGGAAACTCTGTGTATTGAACAGCCACGGGGGACTAGAACCTATTTTGGGACAGGTGCCCTGGTGTGTCTCCATAGCTGAGGTGTGGGCTATGTAGTGGTGGGAAAGATGACCTCTCAAAGTTCGTTTTGGTGCCAGCCGGTGGAAGAGAAGCCTCCCCGGCCTTGAGGGTGTGGCCACGTGAAAATGGAAAGATCAAAGGTTGAGAGAGACCTGCAAAACAGTGATGATAAAATTTAAAGCAAATCACTCCCAGATAAACCTCAGGGAGACGGGTGTTTCCAGGGAGAAGCGTGTTACAAAAGTAGTGTTTCTTCTGCTCTCACTTAAATACCTTAGAATTGTCCCTCAAAAGAAGTTTTATAGGAAGCTAAAATTGCCATACATCTTTTGTATCCACTTTTTAAATAAAGAAGGGGAAACTTATAACCTTATTGACACTTAAGTCCAACACTTTTCAAAACAAAACTTAATCAAGGCCCTAAAATAAGCACAGAAAAACAAGTAAAATTCACAGGATTACAATACGAGATCAGATCCTACATCAAAATATTTCCAAATCCCTAGAAAGGAATGTTTTAAAATATCTGCCCCTGTGAAACCTTCAACTGGGCCCTTGAAAAGCCCAGGATACTACATTTATATCTGTGATAAAAATAACGGTTTGCCCTCTTCTTTCCAAGTTCCCTCTTCCCCAGGACTTTGTTCTAGGAAACCCGCCTGTGCCTACCCAGTCAGCAGCATCCCATGGGGTTATGAATTTGACACGTGATTGGAATTCAGAAAGCAGGGTCCCCCCCACCCCCTTATCCTGTACTGACCGTTTGCGCGTCCTTGCGGAGGTCACCTACCACTCTGGCTGGGCCTAGGTTTCCTCATCTATGAAATGGTGTGGTTGGACTACGTAAGTTCCCAGGATCCTTTCTGTGATGTCCCCACTGCCCGCAGTTGTCCATTTTTCAGTGGTTCTGACTCCGCCCAGTTTCTTGGTTAGCATCTCTGTGAACGGCGGGGCACCCAGAGCCCAGGCCCAAGTACCTGGTGCTTCTGCCGACGCTTCCTCTCCTGCTCGATCTTCTGCTGCTTCTCCAGCTTCTCCGTCATGCGGGCTTCCCTCAGGGTCTGGCGCTTGCTCCGTTTGTATGCTTTGGAGTTGAGGGCCGTCTCCAGGGTCGTGTCCCGTCGCATGCAGGCCACTACCTCCTGTCTCAGCTGTCAAGAGGGGAGCAGTTAGAACACCTCCCCAGACGGAGGCCAGACCCCCGTTGTCCCCTGCCCTCCATTTAGTGGAGCCGAATGGTGACTCCCTGAGTTTCTCCATCACAGTTGGCCTTTTAGGAAACAAAGGGACTACATCATGCTGAATGTATATGGTATTTTCAAAGATGCTCTAAGTTTTCTTTCCAAAAAATTCAGAGAGGGAGCAAGTACGGCACTGTTAACAGTAAAGAAAATAAATCAGTAAGTAAGCAGAGGATGTCTTGGCTTTTAAATAAATTGATTCACTCTATTTAATTATCCTAATGATATTAATTAGTTAATAAGCTTTTTACATTTTTTTACTTCATTGTAAGTGCCATGCTAACTTTCTCTTTGTGCTTAAAGATTAACGTGAACAACGCTGGGCAAAAAAGAATAGAAGAGTTACTTCCTGCTCATGTGAAGTAGCTGCAGATATGCAAACAGTGCTAATTCATCATCTCATGTAAAAGACGGGAAATACTAGTTTGGGCTTCCTCCCACTCCTAACAATGATATTCTTTGCAAGATACTTAATTTTTTTTTTTTTTTTTACTGTATTATGGACTTCTTTTAGATCAGAAATATAGTATTTCATTCATATTGTATGTTACGTGGTGGTAAAAGGTGGGGGGTGGAAACATGCACTGAAATAGCAATTCGACTGAATCTGAAATCAGCATCCATTACAGCTAATTTCATTGGAACACTTCACAGATAACAGATTTTTCAATAATATGAAGCAAAAACCAGAAACCAATCAGAATCCAGCATAGTGAAGCTAATTTGAATCTAATCTTATTCCTGAAAATACTCATTTAACAAAATTTTATTAAACAGTTTATCAAGGCATTTTATGAAGTTACCTGTAAGAAAGAAGCAAATGGAGTGCAGAAAGTTTTTTCTTTTTTTTTTTTCCTTTCTTTTTTTGTTTTTAAGTTAAGCTCTAATCTACTCTCACAAACCTACGGTCAAGTAGCCACCAGCCACCACGATGCCCCTCTTGTGATATTATAACCAACAAGGCAAAACGTATTTCCAAGTTCATATGACAATAGCAAGAGGGATGGCCTTGTGATTTTACTCACATCCTCCAACAGACCAAGTCATGTAATTCAGTACTTCCAAACTACTTTCAGTCATTAATTATTCATTTTGCATGCCCCGAGACCTTCACCAAACAAGCCCGCCTGACTGGCGAGGAAGCATTCCTTTTCCCCTTTGGCTAAATGCCGCTGTGTGACGACCAGGGGACCTGAAGCTTTGGGGTGAGAAGGCAAAACTCGCCAAAGTGAAAATTAGTTCTACATCATTCCACTAGTTTCCTACTGATTTAGCGATTATAAAATAGATCGCTATGCTAGCCTTTCTTTTTTTGTTGTTGGTATGCGGGCCTCTCACTGCTGTGGCCTCTCCCGTGGCGGAGCACAGGCTCCGGACGCGCAGGCTCAGCGGCCATGGCTCACGGGCCCAGCCGCTCGTGCGCATGTGGGATCTTCCTAGACCGGGGCATGAACCCACGCCCCCTGCATCGGCAGGCAGACTCTCAACCACTGCGCCACCAGGGAAGCCCCTATGCTAGCCTTTCTTAATCAGTGACTACTAAGAACATAGCAAGAATAGATACAAATTCACTGATAAGTCAAATATGGGGGTCTGATGTGATGAAATGCTCCAAAAGTAGGTGTTGACGAATAATCAACAGTTACAAACCAGTTTTATGTATTTCTATAAACAATGAGCTATTTAGTTGAGTGGCTTTCTTATTTGTTAAAATGATTTTCATAGTCACGGCTAGGATTTTACATTTCTCTTTACAAAGAAGCTCTGATCTATCACCTTCCTGTTTTCTTTGAAACCATAAAGGCAAACATGAGCTATCCCATCTGTTCTCAAGGTTTCATCTACAGTAACAAAATGCCATAACTCTGACTTTGGAAACCATAATATGGAAGAAAAAAATGTCTCTGATGTACAGAAGAGAAAAACAGAATAATAAGCAGTTAGTCTTCATTACTTTTAGTTCTGTGCTGCTGGTCGAAAAGATACAGTCTTTTACTAAGTTTATATCTTTATACCAATATTGAACGACTTAAGGAAACACACAGATCACACTCTGGAACAATTATATTTATTTCCTGCACCTCAGATGTGCTGGGGAAAAGGTATTACCTGACGCTGGAAATTGAGTAACCGAAGTGCTTTCAGTTCCACGGTTGCTTTGGTTCGTAAATCTGGTGGCAAAGAGCCAGGGAGATTTTCCAGTTCCTGTATCCTATGGGCTATGCGAGCCTGAAGTCTAACGGAGATAATAAAATGGGGGAGGGGGAAGGTGGAAATATACATTACAGTCTGGTCTTAAATGATAGACAACAATCTTAGGTTTAAGTTCACCTTCCAGATACTGACGGCCGATTTCTGATACCCAACTAGATTATCTGATGTTAAACAGAGAAAAGCTACCTTTGCATTAATGCAGACAGGTGCTATATTACTTAACACTTTGGCCTTCTTCACAGCCTCTCTCTAACAGCCAGGAAGGAAGGCTCAGAATACATCTAGGAGGAAAGTCAAGCCCCATGGCTCCCTCCAAAGAGAGAGAGAAAATGAGACAGGAAAATATGACTTGCTCCCGAACGCCTGGCCAGCCAGAGTGCGGAGCTGAGACGACGGAGTTCTCTTTCTAACTTCTAGTTCTGTCCTAAGGCAATGGGGCCATTTGCCCTCCTTGCCAAGGTGCTGACGATGACAGCCAGTAAAGCTGAGTGAACAAGAGCAGTGTTAGGTGCTGAGGTCACAGAAACCAGCCAACCCAAAACATTCAGAGAGAGAGAGCGCACTACCAGCCACAACCATTTCCTCTGCGAGCAGTGCTTGCTTGAGAAAAGAAAAGGCAAATTAGGCATTTTTAAAAATCAGGTTTGGAGCAGCAGTAAATAGTAAACAGTTTTTAAAAACTAAGAGTTTCCAGAAAAGGACTGCCGGGGAGTCTCATTCTGGACATCATCAAAAAATAGAACTATAGGTACTTCCTCACAATACAGGCAGAATAGAAAATAAAAGACTTGCTACTTTATTCATTTGGGATACTATTACTGTTAGTCATAGAAACTGGTTTTAGGGTTCACCTGGATTCTATTCTTACAAATAATTACATGCCATCTAAATCTATTTTTAGAATGACCTCCCCCCAAATTTGGGGCAAAACTGTCTTGGAATAGATTTCGACAAAGAAAGAACAGTAAAAGGTAGTAAGTTAAACTAAACTAATAGTAACTCCACTAAGTTAGGTGCATTTAAAGCACAATTTAATTGTCTCTCTCTCTCTCTCTCTCTCTCACACACACACACACACACACACACACACACACACACACACACCCCTCTACAAGGTAAATGCGCCATTTTATTGAAGAGAAAACTGAAGTTCAGAGATATTAAGAAACATGTGGACTTCACAGAGCCAGTAAAGGAGAGAGCCGAGGCTGGAACCCTCACTGGCCTGACACAAACACCACTGCAACGATACTGCAGATAATTCAAATATACTTCCTAACTGCAAACTCCCTTGGAACTCAACTATAAAAATTGATAATTAAAGATTCTGTTAAAAATTAATATTATGCATTTTTCAACCTTTATGATGCTGTCTGTTGATATAAAAAAGTAAAACCTTCTGTGACTTAGATGTTGCAAAATATCTTAATAGTTCATATAGCCCAAATATCAAAATGAGGGCGTTTTTAAAAACTTAAGAGTTGTTTGCTTTGGTAGAGAAATAAAATATCATCTTTTTCAAAACTTTAAAAATGATAGTAAGGGTAATGCATCATTTTTCATTGACTTCATTGACAATAATATTCTGACAGATTCCTCTTTTATTTGGTATATATGTGTTATTAATTCTGATTTACTAAATGATTTATCATCATAATGTGTTATTACTAACATTATTATTATTGTGTGTTATTTCAACTATGCATACCAACACAAACAATAGTACTTTTAAATGGTTTAACCACGCAACAGACTAAAAATGTGTTAGTTCAAGCAACAACAATAAACTTTCATCAATTTATTCTCTTGATCAAATTGTTCAGACTCTCCCAACTTTCCTCCACATTCCTTTTACTATCGATACTCATGGGATTCTCATCACAGTTTAAAATTTTTCTTTGTATGAAACAAACCTTTACTTTCTTTAGCCAATTCAATTTCTTAAATACGCACATAACCAAAAATTCCCAAATAGAGCAACAGGTGATGGATCTTAACAATTAGGATATTAAGAGAAAAATCTATTACAGATTCTTCTCAAATACATAATTTAAAGGGAAAAAAACTAAACCAAGATCATTTTACTTGTGTAGCGTTAAGGCCATACTAAAGGAAATTTAGATACTACAGCAGGGTGAGATATGGTTATTCTGCTTCCTTGGTTCTAGATTTATTGCAGACCCTTTTCATTTGCCTATCGCAGAACGTTTTCAAACTATCCCTTGGTATTGTGTTTTACTCTGTTTGACAAAGTGGGTCAGGTGCTACATTAGAAGAATGGCTGCTTTTTCCTTAATCATCTAAAGGACTATGGAACTAGGCCTAAATAAATAATCTTAGGACAACCGGGCTGACCGTGTAGAGACTAAATCACACTGAACCGGGAGAGGGGGGAGTTGGAGAGCAGAGAGGAGAAGTAGGGAGGTGGGGAGGTGTGGAGTGGGGTAGATGGAGCCTTGGCTGACTTGGGCATGGGAGGGGGTGAGGGGTTAGGAGGGGTGCACTTCTTCCTGAAATGACTGCTTCCCCAAAGGGCCTAGTAATTTGTCAGTGAATTTCAGATTCCCCAGCACAAAAGAATCTTTCTTTTATGAAAGGGAGGCAAGAAGTTCAAAGCGCAAACGTGCAAACTATAGGAGAAGAGGAAGGGTAGATTCCAAAGTAAAATTGTATGCATTCGATTCAGCACACGGTGTGTGTGTGTGGGGAGTAGCAAAGGTACAGGAGGGGCTTCTTTTTACGTAGAGAATTTTATCTTGCGTGTGTGTGGTGGTTAATAGAAATCTTCGTTTTAAATAATGCGCCTCTCCAGACAATTTCATCTTCCCATCAGTGGGATTCAGCAGGTAGCCCGATAAGGAGATAGATTCAGGATTCTAAACTTCCCGAAACAACAACAGATGTAATACTGCATAACTGCGGGAGACTCATTTAGGGTCCTCACGGGTACAGAAAATTGAAGCAGAATTAGGTCGCTCAGGTTTTTCATACAGATTGAACAGTAAATCAAGAGGGCTTACTGTTCTGACAAGAAAAAGAGTTCCATTAAAGGCGACAGATATTTGTTCAGGTCCAGAGGAGAAGTTTATGATTCCTGTAGGAGAGTGATTTGAAGAGAAAATGACACTGGTACATTTTGTTCCTTCCAGGAGCTGAGTGACACCTTTTCAAAAAGAGAGAGAGGGAGGCTGACTTTTGGCAACTCTGCTGAGGAAGCGGCTCTTGGTGATTTCTAAGAAGGAATTCTCAGGGTTGTAATGGAGACCAGGGCAGGACAAAAAACACGGTAAGGGACCAGGCTGGCTTCCTGAGGCAAAGGAGGCTATACTACTGTTTTCATGCTAAATTCTGACTTGATACCAAAGAGGGCTCGCCTAATTCAAAGATGCTCTTCTGATATAAACTCCTTTTAATGTGAAATATATTTCTTTCTCACACAAACATCTGTGTAATTTACATGCTAACGTGATAATTCGTGGAGCGCTTCTGACCAACCCTCTAATCCTAGATGGAAGAACTGAAGTTAGGCACATTGACAGGGCCGAAAAAGCATGCCAAAACACCAAAAAAAAAAGTCACTGACACTTACTACAGAGAAAAGCGGTACAGTTCCATCATGAGAAAAGGATGGTCTAAAAGAAAGGATCCAATTTAAATGAGAACAAAATGTTTTTAACTGAAGAGTTTGTATAGATCTGAGGCAAAGTGTTCATACGCAGAAACTTATTTATGCTATTACTGAAAAAAGAAGATGAATTTGTCAAAATTCTGATTTTATGAGGAACAAGGAAAAGCGGCCAAGTGACTTAAAAGTAAAAAAAATTAAGATTCTGACAATTTCCTTTCAATTTTCATAGACAAGGTAAGTGATACTACAACGGTCAAAGAAACGAACATCTGTTAAAGAATTTCTGACAGGTGATTTTTGCTCAAACCAAGTTTATGAAATTATAAAAGAGACTTTTTTAAAGACCTTGCTCAAATCCTCAATCAGGAGACAAAGATACACTGGACTCTTCCTATCAGTGGTAAAGGGTAGTAAGCCGTTCTCTCAAAGAGGGGCAGAAGGAAAAGAGTTTTTTAGCTGTCTTTTACAAGTGCCTAAGGGACTTAATCTAACCCTTTTTAAGGGATAAATATAACTAATCTCTGTAGCTGGACAATTTATCTTCATAGAGGCAGAAGCCAGCTACTGCTCTATAACTGAAGAAGACAAAAGATGCCCCTACAAAACCCTGCTAGTGTAAACCTTAGCTTCTTCTCAAGATGGCCACGGGAGACTTCAGGCCAAAAGACCCACCAGCTTTTTGAACCCAGGCTTGCCAAATCAATCACTTCAAAAGCCAGGCGGCTTAACAAAAAGAGGAGACATTTATCAAGTAATAATAATAATATGAAAAAGAGCCATTCCACCACCTTCTGCAATGCTTGCAATTTAAAAGGTACTGATAACTTGAGGATATGGGGAGGGGGAGGGGTGAGCTTTGACAGGGCGAGAGAGAGTCATGGACATATACACACTAACAAACGTAGTCAGGTAGATAGCTAGGGGGAAGCAGCCGCAAGGCACAGGGATATTAGCTCGGTGCTTTGTGACAGCCTGGAGGGGTGGGACAGGGAGAGTGGGAGGGAGGGAGACGCAAGAGGGAAGACATATGGGAACATATGTATATGTATAACTGATTCACTTTGTTATAAAGCAGAAACTAACACACCATTGTAAAGCAATTATACCCCAATAAAGATGTTTAAAAAATAAAAAAATAAAAAAAATAAAAGATACTGATAGATACTTTTTTTTTTAATTGACACAGGTGTGGAGGACAAAAGCTTTTCACACACTGGAATAGGCTAAATAGTACCGATTAATACTGAATACTTTGGGAGACCATCCCTTCAGATCATTTTCAAAAGAAGTGCTAAAATGAGCTCATTACAAGAAAGGCCTGCAAATACAATTCTGGTAAAAATGAAAAAAGAAGGTTTAGGAGTCAGTAAGCGTGTACACGCACACACCCACCCACACACACACAACATAGGATGAATAAGGGGGAAAAATCCGCATGTATTTCTAGGTATAGTGTCTGTGTTACGAGGGTAGTTCATGTGATTTAACAAAGGGACTGGTAGCTCTGTACCTTCAAGGTGGGAAAATAACGTTAGCTCTTAGGAAGTCAGAATTTCAGAGTAACCAAACGATACCCCTCTATCTCATTTACTGTCTTTAAAAAAAAAAGACTTTTGACTTTTTTATTCAGTAGCAACATAAAGAAAGGACTGCATATGAATAGTTTTTCTGCCCCAAACGAGTACACAGGGCTAATATTTGACTTTTATACCACACTGCGATTATTCACCCAACAGAATCTGCCTATTAACACCGAAATATCAATTGATGATGGGTATCTAGCTCTCTAGGGATATGTGAAAAGCTGAAAACAGAAAAATAAAAGCTCTTAATTGAGGATTAGTAATAGCAGTGAGAATAAAGTTATACTCTTCATCCAAAAAGGTACACACATTTAATGGCAAGTTACTGTGATTTCTTTCAAAATAACTCTTAAAGCTGGTAACTTAGTATTTTAATATAATAACAGATAAGTCACGTGTTTTCCAATAAACAGTAAGGTAATGTTTTAAAATAAGGGCTCCTAGACATTATTTACTAACATCCCCTATAATTTTTAAACCTAATTGTCTTTTAACTTAAATCATACTTGGGAAATAATAATAATAGCTAATATGTATTGAAAGTCCTTGTATCATTTTATCTTCTCCCTACAAAAGATACTATAATACCCTCTTTTAACATAGGAGGAAACTGAGTCACAGAAAAACGACGTAACTTGAGGAAGGCAACACAGCTAGTTAGTGGCAGAGCATGCTTTCTGGCTAACTCCCAAAACCGTGATCTTCGTTTCATCTTATCTTGACTCAGTACTTACTGGACTCTCTTTTTGGTTGACATTAACCATGTACATCAAGGATCTGCTAACTACAGCCTGCCAGCCAAACCCTGCCCATAGCCTGTTCTCATAAATCAAGTTTTACTGGAACACAGCCAACACAGCTGCTTTCACACCATCAGGGCAGAGCTAAGTAGTTATGACAGAAACTCTAGGGCCCTTTACAGAAAAGGTTTGCCAATCCCTGATTTAGATAAATGGGCCAAATCAGGTGAAAATGAAGTTTTTGGAGTAAGAGTTTAAATAAGGACCCCATGGGAAGACACTTACATAGGGCCTAGCCCAAAAGCTAGACCAAGCCACAGACCAACAAATGCATGAACTCAATCAAAGAAGACATTGTATCATGCTACTGAAGTACCGCTTTAGTATCACTAGATGTGTCATTAACCTGAAGGTTAGGCCAACAGAACACTCAACATCTGAGCCGCTTACAGTCACCATTCAAGGACAAACTGACAAACCAGAAGGAAAGTGCATAATCTAAGTGTGGGCTGACGGCCTTCCTGGATCTTTAGGAACTCCGGGCTGGACTTTTGATCTTGGCATGTCATAGGGGTGCATAAAAGTTTTCTGACTGAATGAGTGAAAAGCACAGTCCTGGGAACCTAGAACCCCCAGAAGAGCGTCCTCACCCCCATCCCAGTGGCAAAGAAACTCTTCCCTTGAGACTTTGTTCTAAAATCATTCTCAAGCCTGAGTCTTGGTCTCTGCAATTTCCCTTAGGCCTTTCCCTGGTCCCACAGAAAAGAATGACCACAACACCAGCAGACGCCGGACCCCCTAGGCTGGGTGGTACCTGCCAGAATACAGCGTCTTTACCCCCGGGGCAGGTGCATTACCTGTACTCCCGCTCCTGCAGAATCTCCACGGGGTCCAGGCCCTGCGGTTTCTGGACGGGGCTGATCCGGCTCTGCTTCTGCTGCAGCTGCAGGATGGGCGAGGGCTGCCCCGGGGTCGGCTGTGGCACCGAGGGCCCGGGCACGGCGGCCGCGGGCGGCGGCGCTGCTGCAGGGGGCGCAGGCGAGGGCCGGCCGCTGGGCGCGGGCACCGGCAGCTTCTGTGGGGGGCTCGGGCCGCTCAGCTCCGGCCCCGGGCCTGCGGGACAAGAGCGACATGGGCAGCTCGGGAGGAAAGGCACCCCGTGCCCATACCCGGCCTGCCCGCTGCCCCCTGCGAGCCCGGCGATGGGGACAAGTAAAGGTCTCACGAGAAGAAAACAGCAGGGAAGGGAGGAAGATGAGGAAGGCGGGAGGGGAAAGGAAAGGGGAAAAAGAAAGAAAAAAGAAAAAAATAAAGACAAGAAGCTGGCATCTATCCCAAAGGGAAATGGCCCAAAAATGACTCTTAGGTAATAAACTGATTAAGGAATGGACAGCCAGCTTCTAGTGTAGGTCTACAGCGGGATTTTAAAAATAATTCCAGGTGCATTCAGGGTTCTGAAAAAGCAAGGGAATCACCCACCAGTCGGATGCAATTTGGGTGTGGTCCCAAAATCACGTTTCGCAAACTACACCACAAGCCCCCTCCATCCCAGCGTGGAAGAGCCCTGCTGTTAGAACCCATGCTTTACAAGTACAGGCAGCAGCTCGCCAGTCCTCTGACGTGAACTAAAAGGGGCACACATTTTCCCTAAATGACCTATAAACTGTATTTCAGGCTTCATCAGTGCATCTAGGGAACTTTAATTTTTTACTACATATTAGAAAATATTTCTGAAAACATTCAGTGCAGGGGGAAAAAAGAATCTGCTCATTCCACCTAAGAAAACTTAGCAAATATTAAGATTCAAGAGAGCGTTTTTCTCATGTTATCAGAATAAAGGGATACGCAATCATTAAGCTTATCAAAATGCACTTAAGTTAATTTAAAGCAATTTCCCACATTAAACTTCAGGAGTTTAAATTGATTGCTAGGTCTGGACCTAAAATAAGTGTTCCATCTCTCCTCTTAGGTGAATTTTTACTTACTTCAAAGTTATAAATAAAATTAGTGATGCTACCAGAGGGGTTAGTAAAAAAAAAAAAAAAAAAAAAATCTCAGTAAGCAGATGTTAAAACCTCTCATGGGCATTCTTCCAAGTGCTTTCTATATCTTTCCGGAGAAATATTAAAATTATTAAATGGTAACAAAACTAATCATCTCTATACTTCAGAGCGACTTAATAATTAACCATACAAAGACATACATTATGAAAAAGTAGACACATTTATTCAATTTCCAGCAAACACCAGTTAGAAGTGGGCTTAAATGACAATGCAAGGATAGCAAACATTCTGACAGGAGGAATTGGAAGAGTTAGAAGAAAGTGCTTCTACAGTGTGTGTGAGTGTGAGTATATGTGTCTGTGAGCATGTGTGTGTGTAGTGTTGTTGGTCTTTTGTTCACTTCCTTCTGAAATTAGGTAAAACTTTCCCAAAGACCTAGGGCTAGTTAAGACTTCTTGAGGTAATCTGTAGCCCTTGTTCTAGCATTGATGAAAAGTTCTGGAGGCAAAAATGCATTTCTGTTTTTTTTTGTTTTAGGCACTGTAGATATACTATTATAATAAAGAGATTCTTTTCAGCTAAGTACATTCTGATTTTTTTTCTGAATGGGAGGTCTTTTACATAATGCATAGCTTTTCATAATATTTCAGATTTAGTTTCTTTCATCCATATGTAAGAAACCAATTTCTAAACATTAAATCTTAGGGTTGTTAAGCATTGGAATAGATATGGAGGGACCTTTTTTATTATATTTTCCCTCGAGGCCTTTAAAACAGGGTAGATATTTTTTATCTGGGTTGCTTGAGCCAAAAGAGAGGAGATAGAGATTTCTAACAATTACTTTAATTCTCTGTGATTCTATGAATTTCCCTAATAAGCTCAAGAAACTGGTAGTTAAAAATACTGGAAGAATTTGTATGAGCACACCAAATAATAGATTTAATACACTGAGGCCCTTTAATAAAAAGAAAATCCAGGTGTTACTGATAAGATTAATATCATACTAATTACCCTAAATTCAGTTCTCAAAGTGTTTTTCCTCCTTTCAAAGTTTAAGTAAGTCATCAATAAAAGCCATACCAGTGCAATAGTGTACACATTTCACTTACTCTGGGCGTTTTCTTCGTTAGCATTATGGCTTGTAAATACTTATGTAGAAGTGTGTGCCAACTCCTCGAGGTATATTCAAGTCATTGTTTTTAAAACCATAGGATCAAAGGGACGTATCCAGAGCATGTCTGATATCCCTGGTTCCAAATCTAGCCGTTTTCAGCCCATGACTGTGGACTAGATCTGATGCATACACACAGCTAGGCTTCTTTAGTCCATTAATACAGAGACATCCTTATGTGGTTGAAGGACCCTTAAAATTGAGAAGCCAGAGAGACCCAAACGTGGACTTGGATATTCAAATCTCCAATTCCAAAAGGACTACAACTCCAAAAGATGCAAGGTTCACCTTGTGTCTTTCCAAAATAACTGATAAGTTTCACCTACGGGCTGTGTGAGCCTCAGCAAGTTACTTAGCCCCTGGTGCTTCAGTCTCCTCGTCAGTAGAATGGGGATAATAACAGTACAGTACTCACCTCACAGGGTGGTAGTGAGGATTCAATGAGACAATGCGGCTACGTGCCCAACCCTCAGCTCTGGTCATATTTACTGCCACCAAGGACACCAAGGTAAAGAAGCCTAGTTTTAATCACTCAGCTTTTCAGAAAAGCTCCACAGCAAAAGAAAGGCTTTCAAGGAAATTTGGTACTGTATTAGCCAGCAAATTTGGAAGTGCACTCTTCTAGAGCAAACTTCAAAATGTTTCCACAGTTTAATACAACTCAGCACAAACACTCAGATAAGTCGGCTTGCCATGTGCTTCCTGCTAATCCCCCATCAGTCAGAAGCAAACTCCTTTCTAACTAAAAACTGCAAGTTCATTTACTGCCTGGGTCTATTTTATCCTCCCTCCAACAGATTATATAAAAACTTCTCTTTACAGAGGCTAGGGGACTGACTGCAGCTTGCTGCAATTAGACATGCCCAGAACACAACTACCTAACCATGAGGTGTTCTGCCTGTCCTTCAGGCAGCTGAGTTGCCTGAATGGATTTTCTCTGTATCAACAGAAAGCATCACTCATGGTCTGCAAAACGATAAGAACTCACGCCCTGATATCTTCAGATGGAGGACAAATTACATTCTTTAGCTTATCTCCTATTCCCTTGCCAATATAAACAAGTTAGGCTGAATTGTCAGAGGTACAAAATGTGTCTGTTTTCCCGTCAGTCCTCACTTCAGAAGTCAAGGTAGGTATACGCCCTGTCTCTCCTGAGGGGTGTCCCACTGCAGCTAAGTGTTGGGGGGAGGGATCTTTATTAGATGCCTGAATTTAAGAAACAGGTAAACAAACTTATTAAATTACCTAAGTCTCACATGTACAGAATTTCTGTACAGAGTTCCCACTTTACCCTCTGCACAGAAGGATGTTTATGCAAATAAGTCTGTGTATTAGACAAGGATTTAAGTGGTTTCCAGAGGTTGAAAAAAATAAACGTAATAATGATGCTTACATGAAGCAAACGAAGAAATTTTAGATAACTAAAAAAAGGAGAGGGGGAAGCAGGAGAGGGACAAGCACTGAAAAAAATCACCAATATATCTCTCACTTTCTACCATGAAGGCTTCCCTACCCACCGCAAAAAAACCCAAAACTTTTCAGTTCCTATTTTGAACTTTGCTTTAGTCTCTAAAAAGAAAAAGGAATCAAACTTAAAAGAAAAACGCTGGGTTTGATTTGAGTGAAGCCCATAGCAGGCAAGGACCAGAGTTATTTATTTGTTCAGTGCACACTTCCGCCAGTCAAACTGTAATTCTCTGGTGGTGGCACTTGTGGTGAATGATAACTTTGGAGTAGGTTTGAGGCAGATCACCCCAGCCAAAAAGATTCTCTTCACACATGAATGACACTGGCAAGTGGGACAAGAGAAAAATGGAATCACAGCTACCACCAGTGAAGCTGACATACTTAAATTGATTTTTTCCTGAAATATTAGAAGAGGCATTTATAAGCAATTATATTGCTTTATTTAAGAAAAGGAGGGGGATAAACAATTAATACAAGTAACATTAACTTAAAAAACCTTTTTTTGTGTCTTCCTTGGCCTTGTCCGAAATACCCATGCAAAAAAAAAAAGTGTCTTTGTCAAGTAAGGTCATCATCTCCCTGTGAAATCTGAGATTTGGGGGCAAGATGAGCAATGTAACCTCCCCCTCCCAGTGGCAGGAATGAGTCTGCTCTATTTGAAGAAAGTATCCTCTTTCCTCCTTTATCCACAGCCTCTTTGCCCACTCTGGCACTATCCACCCAAATATTTTCATTTCTAATGACTGCTGGAAATACAAAAGACACGAGCAGTGAGTAACAATGACAGGACCCTGGCGAGGGAAGATGTACGCATTGGGTAAAAAAAAAAAAAAAATGGAGCCCTCTTCTCTGGAAATGATCCAGAAAATGCACCCAGGATTGTGTTGGTTAGGATGTGAAGTATTTGTTATATACAAGTGTCCGGCTAACTGAAAATCCATCCTTTAAGTTTTACTACGTCATCTGATCTCACTGTGGTGACTTTGGCTGAAAGGGTTTCTCAAACAAAATCACTTAGCGTGCTGCCTTCTTGAACAATACCCTGGAAACTTTTCCTATTGTGCGTAGGTCATTTTTTGTTGTTGTTGTTGTTGTTTGTTTTTTTTTATCAGTACGCGAGCCTCTCACTGTTGTGGCCTCTCCCATTGCGGAGCACAGGCTCCAGGCGCGCAGGCTCAGCGGCCATGGCTCACGGGCCTAGCCGCTCCACGGCATGTGGGATCTTCCCAGACCGGGGCACGAACCCGTGTCCCCTGCATCGGCAGGCGGACTCTCAACCACTGCGCCACCAGGGAAGCCCTCGTAGGTCATTTTTAAAAATAACAAGCCTCGCTGAGGTCCATGATGAGGGGATACCCCAGGACAAGCTGCGATGCACGGGGAAGTATGCCTGTGTGACATGGTCCCTCACGATTACCTTTTGGGAGGCGCAGATTTCGCTCCTTCCACCTTAAACTACCAACAACCTGACTATGACCATTCAGCCTCTACTGGGACCTCCTTTAGTTAATGCTCCTCATATACTGAGATGCAGGATATCAAGGTCACCAATGTTGCTGACACCGTGTCTAGAGTATGAATAAAAAGGCTCTCAGAAAGGAGCAGAGATCCTTTTCCTTCCTATGCACAGGAGTGAAATGCCCGCACTTGGTACACAGAGCTTGGGAAAGAGTCTTTCCCTTGTCATGAGCCTATTGGTCACGAAGGAGCCAGGATGGGGAAGGGGATAAGGCCATGGGCTCTCCAGTCAGACTGCTGGCATTGAATCCTGACTCTCCATACCCCAGATGTGCCACACATGCAAGGTACTTATTACTGAGCGTGGAGTACAAGGTAAGCTAGCAGGCACTCAGTAAGCACAAGCTACACACATGCATAGACATACATACATTTTTGCTTCTCTCTGGCTGCATTCCTGAGAGCTAGTTTTTACAGTTTTAAAGCCTCTGAACACACTTGAGTGTTCAAACTACCATTTTATGCATGGTTTTCCTGTACAACATTTTCCGTCTCTGATTTTTGGTCCCACGGGGTCCTCCACCTACCAGAGCACTGTGGTGAACACACCGAAACCTAGAGATGCCGCGATACTTTGTTGCTCTTTAAAAAAACCATTCCTAAGGCTCCATCTACAATTAACAAGATGCGTTTATCCTTCTAGTAGGCAACCCTTAAGAGTTTCCTCTACCAGAAAAGAAACATTTACAAACTCAGAAGGTAGAATAATAAAAAAAATAATAACAATCTGAACTCTTTCCCTTCGTCTAAGTCCCAAAACCTAAGAAGAAGACCGATATCCCAAACTAGTTGCAATGATCCGCTGTCAGGGCCTGCCCAAATGAGAGGGAACCACTCCCAGGAAAGGGTGTCAATGACAAGGAAGCACCCTGGGATTCAAATTCCCTAAGATTCAAATTCTCTGGAATTCAAAACTGTGGTAGAATACAACCATAAACTCTGTGCTTATCTAGTTGCTAACCAAAACCTTCCCAGAGAAAACAACATTCATGGACGATCACCCTAGAGCCCCTTGGAGCTCTGAATTCTATCCGTGGGATCAAGCCAGACCACCAGAAGGTCGTACAAAGGACTACCTCATCTCAACCCATTATATAATGTCATAGCTTCAGATCTGATGCCAGGGCACATGGGAAATAGGCCATGTGGATTCTGTTACTCTCTTTGTTATGAACAAATGTTACCAATGCCTCTACCATGCAGTGCCCCTTACAATAATAATAACAATAATTTTTTAAAAAGTTCCCACCTGGGAAAGCTACTTTATACCCTCATGCTAGAAAAGACTCTGCGTCCACTGAGAAACTGGTAAGCAACTTCCTTCCGAGTGGTGAGTATCAGGCACCTGACCCTGTCTCCTTTCCTGACTGCCAGGAAACTCGAGTCACCTTGGAAGCTCAGATGCAGCAGCTCCTGTAGCTCCCCCCCACCCACATTGCCAACCTCCCTGACCTTGATCTCTACTTCCCTTTGTCTCTGATTTTCTACTTGGTAATTCCTTTACCGCAGGTATGCTTCTTTGGAAGCCTCCCCAGATGCTTTTCACAAAAAGGGACAGACGTAAATAAATAAATAAGTAAACAGACACGAAATAGCTCAAGGAGAGCAGATTCGAGACGTGCGTGTTGGCAACGGAACACACGGGGTGTAGGGGTTCCTAACCTGGGGTGTGTGTAGACGGGCTTCCGACAAACCTCGCACCGCTTGAAAGAGAATGCGAAATCACGGGGCTTTGTGCTTATAGCCACGGCTTGTGCCAGAGTCTGCAAAGTTTAAGAAGCACTGCTCTAGGACGTAGGCAGAGGAGACCAAGAAGCGTGGTCAACTAAGTGAAGCAAAGACAAGGGAGCCAGGGAGGTGCGACAGAAGGCTACGTCAGCCCTGAGCTGATCCCACCAGCCCAGCACTTCTGTGCAGTTAGCAGTCCTTCTCGTCCGAGTTGGACCATCACGTTATTCATTTGGTTGCCTATGAACCTACCAGATGGCCTGCTGTAGTTGACAAGGGCCTGCTGCTGCGGCGGCGGCGGTGGCTGCGGCTGCGGTGGCGGCTGCGGCTGAGGCGCCGCCTGCTGCTGCTGCATGCCCGGCAACGTCCTTTTCCCCTGGACCGCGAGCTGCAGCGTTTCCGGGAGGGGTTGGCCCCGGGCCAGCATTTTGTAAGCTAAAATCTGAGCTCGCAGCTGATGCAGCTGGACGGGACTGAAAGGCGAGGGCCCCCTGTTGGGCTGGCTCATCGCCTGCGGGTCGCCTGGGATGAGGGTCCCTGGCTGGCTTGGTGGCATCTGCGGTGCGGTTGGGCCACTTCCCGATATAGGGCTGGAGACGTGCTCGGGGGCTCCCAGCGGAGACGGGTGCGGCGACATGTAGCCTAGAATGAAACACAAAAGGAGAGGTCACAGGCTGCCCCCCGCGACCCAGAAGGAGGAGCATTCCCGAACGTTTTGATAATTTTCTAGAACAGCACTGATGGACAGACATCGAAAGCATAGGTAACTTAATAATTATGGGCTTTTATATAACTTATAACTTATATATATCAAATATATGCATAATTTAAAGAAACAGGCAAAAGTAATTTTAATAATATATAATTTAAATCGACATAGCCCAAATATTATCATTTCAAAGTATAACAATTATTAAAGAGAGATTTTATGTTCTTTTCTTCCTATTCAGTTACGACGCTGTCTCCACTGGGACTAACCACATCTCAAGTGATGGACAGCCATATGTGTCCTAGAAAGTAAACTGGTAGTGGCTGTCGTACACCTAAAGGAAGGGCACCAGGGGACAGTATTATACGTTAAAAGTAGCCCGACCTGGAGAACAGAACGTGAAGGTGGCTGCTCTGTCGCAGTGGGGAATGAGTCTCTCATGGGGATATTACTTGGTTTATTATAATGCGCTTTATGAATAATTTGCCATGATTGAGGGCCTCCATCGTTGTAGGCACTAAGCAAGGCACTGTACATACTATTTTAGCTGAGTCCTCCCTGGAAACAGAGACTGATGGAAGGATTGAGTGGAGCTGATTTATCTGGAAGGCACAGGGGCACTGGCAGGGGTGTGGAAAGGTGCTACGTGGAAGGGACGGCAGCCAGTAATGGGTGCATGATTAAGCCAGTTGCTGTAGTGGGTACCTAAAGATTAATCTCATGCACAAGTTCTGGGATAAAAAGGCACATAACTTGCCTCCAAATTATCCCAGGGAAGGAGCTGGGGTATTTACACTCCATCACTGGTCACTGGTTATGACTCTGGGGATCATTAGTCCCCGGGGACTTTGCCATGTGTGAGTAAGGCGGACTCAAGTAGACTGAAGGTGAGATGGTAGACTGGCCAGTGGATATAAGGCTGGTGGGAGCACAGAAATGGTAATAAGAACTAGAGGGAAGTGAGTGGAGTATACATGTTTTCTACAGTCCTCACCACATCCCCAGAAGATATGTACTGTCACCTCATTTTTTAAAATGAGGAAAGGGAAGCTCAGCGAGTTAGCGAGTTACCCCAGGTCACACAATCAGATCTTGGTAGCTCCAAGATTTAAACCAAGGTTTGTCTGATTCCAAGGCATATGCTCTTTCCATGGTCTAATATTAATTTGGTTTTATAAAAATAAATTAAAGGCTTGAAAGTTTCAAACATCTTCTAGAACCATTTACGATCCAATATAAAAATGAGAGTAATCTGCTTCGGTTACAAGAGATCTAAATGGGAAAGTTAAGAAGACTTTACTTAAGAAAGAAAAGTCAAAATGCACAAAAATTTCAAGGAACTTATTTCAAGAGATGAACTGTACAGCCTGGACGGAGAATGCCTAGAAAAACACACGACTGAGCATTGCTGAAGGGAAATCCAAGGGGAAGGAGAGGACAGAGTGGCCTACTGCAGTCCAGAAGGTTATCTTCAATTCAAACTGAGTGTAATTCATCAACTCAGAGGTGTCCTAAGACACAAGTAAAACATTAGATTAAAGGGCTTTGCCTTTAATAAATGCACCTGCATCACACTTATTTTAAAGGTCATCACATGGGTGTTTATTAGGCAGCTGCTGTGTGTTTGAACCCTTGTCAAATCTGAGCCAAGACAGCTCTATGCATCTATGCGGAATCACAGCGGCCCAGGAATATCTGACCCACATTGCCCGGGGACTCATCAACATCATCCACAAGACTAGAGAAAATAAAGGATACAGTTACTTTTACCTCAAACTGCCATTTGGAGAGGGAAACAAATTTAGCCTGATCCTCTAAGACAAGAGTAGGTTTTGTTCTATCAATTGGTGAATTGTAGAACTCCATTCAGAGTAATCCTGCCCTGAAGAGAAATGGAAAAACTGCTAACTCATTCCCCAAATCCCTACTCTACAAGGGAGCACAAAAATCACGCAGCCATTAGGATTCTAGTTGGTCATAAAAGTTAGCCAAGAAAATGCCCCTGAAATCTGCTTGCAAGACAAGCAGAAATTTAAATTCCAGCATGTTGTTATTTATAACAATAAACATTTAGAGCATATCGATAACATACACTTAACTTCATCATTAACATTCTTCCTTCTTAATGAGGTTAACATTCACCTCCTATTAGTAATGCTGGTGCAAAATGGTAGTTTGTTCATTAGGAAAGCACCTTCCTAACACCTTTTTGACCAACGCTGCATCTACCACTGGAGGAAAAACTTCCTACTATAGTTACTGACATTTTCATGGTAGAAGGGATACAACCAGGTGTTAAAATGGGTCATGTCTCCTGCCCTCTAGTCCATCCTCCTTCCTGAGGGCATCATCAATTATAGTTTACCCATGATAAGTCACAGGATGCCTAATACAACAGACCAAAACATTAGACGATCCAATCTAAAGGCAACTGTGCAACGCTGTTCATCAAATCTGCTCTTTTCAGCTATGAACTCCTGGCAAGGCAAAGTTACGAAGATGAGGCAGTTACATTAAGTACAGTAATTCATTTTACCTCACATTTGCTAAGAAACTAAGAGTGGAATAAAAATCATTTTCCAGAATTAATCAATACAACAAAATTCTCCCTCAAGTGTGGAAAGAAGAAGAAACTGGGGGTGGGAAAATTTGTTGCCTAGAATTTATAGGGGATGTTAATAGAATCATTCTATCACAGTATGACATTAAAAATGTGACAGTGTTTCAGCTAAAGTGAGAGAGATTTCTTTTTTTTAATGACATGACTTGCATTCCATAAAACTTCAGGAAAATCAGAATCTAAATGATACAACATAATATATTTTCATAATTATCTTCAGTTGAGAAAACAGTGAAGAAATTACCTGAGAGTGAAATGCCTTTGTCTGCAGGATGACTGTGCTGATACAGAATCTGCTCTTTTTTGAAATCTGGTTCGATTTGCTCATTTAAAAAAAAAAGTAGTCAAAAACTGGCAGTTTTCCTTCCCTCATCTTCAAGGGCCATTATCTCCCTAGGCGCACCTTGCCTCAGAGAGAGGCAATCACCTCTCTCCTTTTAATAAACTGGAATTTTTAAGTGCCAATTTTATATGAATTTTCTCTTCACACACACACACATACAAACATTAAATATTATATACTTGCCTTTAAAGGCTTTTTCTAGCCAATGGACTAAAAATAAACAACGTTATCATTGGGACCATAAGGTACACAATTCAGTATTTATTGAAGGAAATGGTTTTGCGTCTCAACCAATACCTTAAAATAACCTAATAGGTTGCTAGGTAGTTAAAGCTGGCAGTCTTCCGATCAATACCACACCTCTCTGTACCTGTGTGTTTATAAATGGCTTCCTACGACGGGGTTTTTAAAGATATATGCTATTATGGAGTCTGAATTCTTTTTAGATAATTATATAGACTAAGACTGCATTATACCAATACTACTTTATTCAAAGACATATTTTAAATCACTAATTCCCCAGCTTACAAGGCACTTTACTATTACAGCGAAAAATATTACGTGCTAGTTCTGATTCCATCTAACTTAATGCAGACTTCTGCATTCCAAAGTAATTATAACTTACAGAAATTATATAAAAATTAAGATCTATTGAAAAGTGTTCACTTTTGAATACATAAATTCACTTCTCTACCTACTTGAACAAAATTTACTCAATTTCCAATTATGTGCTAGACATTGTGCCAAGTATTGGAGATTCCAGGAAAAAATCATCATTCTAGTAGTTGAAGAAAGGAACTGAGCTATGAAAGAAATTTTAAGATACATAAAAGTAAAAATGCTCACTTATAATTCACGCATTCCAAGTGTTTTCCTTTGGAGTCTTCCTAGGGCCCCACTGCTAGAGGTACTGCAAAGCTGGGAGCAGACAGAGCCACCACTAGCTCTGAGAATCACTGAATATAACTCATCTATACCTCCCAGGTATTAAAATGAGATCTACATTAGCTCTGTGAACACACCTGGCTCTTTAGAATTTAAATGATAAACCTGGAAGTGTCGTCTCAATTCATTCTTAACACTGAATGGGTCAAATTCTTTTCTTCCTGTACCTCAAGAAGTCCCAATGATTCAGCCTGCTTTTCTAACATGGTCAAGATTTTACAAGTCATTTGCAAAACTTACGCCTGCCTGCCATCAAAATTCAGATCAGAGTCCAGGATCTTCAAAAACCTGCCCGAATATTAGTAAAGATGCACTCCTATGCCTCCATGACTCGCTTTTATATAAATGTATATATGTATTTAAAAGCAAATACATTTCTCTAAACCCTCACAGTCAAAAATCTTCCCTTGGATTGATGGATGTCTGATCATGGATGGAGAAAAAAACTCACATACATTAAATTACAAAAAAGTATATACAACAACACATAAAGCATAAACTTTGAATTAGAATATCAGCACATTAATTAGTGCTGGATTAGTCATGCCCTTGGCATGCTGAAATGTCCATATAATGATTCTGAAAAGAGGTTACATTGCATCCAAAAGACTTTGAGGTATCTTTATTATTCTATTTATTTATTTGGCTGCATTGGGTCTCCGTTGCCGCTCGCAGGCTTTGTGTAGTTGTGGCGAGCGGGAGCTACTCTTCATTGCGGTACGCGGGCTTCTCATTGCAGTGGCTTCTCTTGGTGCGGAGCATGGGCTCTAGGCGTGTGGGCTCATTAGTCGTGGCTCGCGGCCTCAGTAGTTGTGGCTCGCGGGCTCTAGAGTGCAGGCTCAGTAGTTGTGGCGCACGGGCTTAGCTGCTCCGCGGCATGTGGGATCCTCTAGGACCAGAGCTCGAACCCGTGTCCCCTGCATTGGCAGGCGGATTCTTAACCACTGCACCACCAGGGAAGCCCCTGAGACATCTTTAATATGCCTTCAATAATGAGGAGAAAAGGCACCCAAAAGAAGAGAAATCTACCATACATTGATTTGGCCATTATTGTGGGTTGAACTGTGTCCTCTACAAAGAAATGTTGAAACCCTAACCCCTGGTACCTGTGAATGTGACCTTATTTGGAAATAGGATCTTTGCAGATGTAATCAAGTGAAGATGAGGTCACATTGGATTAGGGTAGACTCTAATCCAATGACTGGTGCCCTTATAGGAAGAGGGAACTCTGGACACACACACAGACACACAGGCAAAACGTCATGTGGAGAGCAAGACGGAGATTGGAATGACAGATCTACAAGCCAAGGAATGTCAAATATTGCTGGCAACCACCAGAAGCTAGAAAGAGGCAAAGAAGGATTCTTCCTTAAAAACTTCAGAGAGATCACAGCCCTGCTAATACCTTGATTTCAGATTTCTGGCCTCCGGAACTTTGAGAGAATACATTTCTATTGTTTTAAGCTACCCAGCTTGTGGTAATTTGTTACAGCAGCCCTAAGAGACTAAGAGAGCCACCCACCAGCAATGACAGGTTATTCCACTGCCAGAAAAAGCCACCTTACAAAGTAGGAGTGTACAATTCAAGGGACACGGGTGGCTCATCTTACCTTCACATCTATGCTGTTATTGGGAGGCAGACCTGGAGTCTCCTTCTGGCCCTGTCACTTACCGGATGTGCAAACTTAAGAAAACAAAGTAAATTCTCAGAGCTTTAGCCTCTCCATCTATAAAACTGGGGTAATATAATTTATCTCACAAGTTCAGGGTAAAGATTCTGCATGAAGTACACAAAGCACTTTGCAGAGTGCTTGGACACATGGTGGCCAGTAAAACTACTAGGATTTTGCAAAGAAAATTGCCCACATCAACCATAAAGTTGTGTTGGTGGGGATAAGGGGAGATTTCTACAGGGAAAAGAAACCGGCTGGATTCCATCCTCCTTAAACACGTTCTCTGGAAGTCATAATTAAAATAACCAATAGGAAAGATGAAAGACTGTGGTACAGAGCCAAAATCAGGTATGTAGCAGACACAAACCTTGGCTGTGTTGGTCCATCGGACTCTGGGGAGGGCCCATTCCTGGGTGAGGAGGTCGCATAGCGGTGCCCTTCATGGATCCACAATGGATATCTTCCACAACCCCCTTGTCGTGCATACCATCAATGGGCTGAAACATTTACAGAATATCAGTCAGACGTCTCTTTAAGGCATAATATTTCTATCTGGTGTTTTAAGACCCCTTCCTAAAAAGTCTTCAAAATTGTGACGCAATCATCTATTACCCATATGATAGTCATATATTTTGGCATTTATTTTACATATATTACTATTTACATAGATTTCATAGATGGGACAAAAAATAAAATAAAAAGGACTACACCAATAGGATCAGCAAAACTACCTGTGAAGTCAAAAGTTAAGGCTTTAAACAGTTGAAATGTTTTTGGTCATGTCAAAACCTGCAAAATAAAAATGAAGTTCTGTTCACAAGGTAGACAAATATAAACTATTCTTCCATACCCTCTTACGTAAGTCCTGAAACCTGCCATAGGTTGAAGCTAGTCCAAAGTCTGAATGAAGGAAGGAAGACTCTTTGAAACGTCTGTGATGATCTATTTTTTGGTAGCTTTTTTTCATCAGAGGGGAAGGAACCATGGAAAGTTTAAAAGTTGAAAGCAGAAAGTTCCAAGGCAGTTGGGAAAAGAGGGACAGACAGGGTAGAGCGGTGAATGGGGGTAAATACTGAACGGGAAAGAGGGTGAAACAGATGAAGCTATACTACAGAGGGAGGAAGACAGAAAAAGGTTAACGGCAGAGTTTGGAAAAAAATAAAGAACACAGGGGCTGGAAACAGGACTTGAGGCCTTGTACACAACAGACACACAATAAATAGCCATTGAATTGACACTAATCCAATCCAGAATTGGGCAATGGAGCATGTGTTTGAGAAAGGAAAAGTCTATTCCTCCCCAAACTGGAATAGCAATTTTCAAAACAGCCTGAAAGGAATATTTCCAGGAGTTTATAGAAACCAAATGACTTCAAGCAAGAAAGTATGAGTGTTTGCAGTTTTGGAGAAAGGAAAGTTAATTTCTGCAGAGTCAAAAGCATGCACTTGAAAAGAGGAGAAATTTACCATAAAGAGGATGTTCAGAAGAAAAATGGGAAGAATTTGGTATAAAGAGTGTCTCTGAGTCTGTTAAATAGTAATAATAGAGAGGAAATCAAAGCAACACAGCAGATGTATTTAGGCCACTTGTTTATTTATTTCCAGTAATGTTGAAAAGCAAAAAGCTGAAGCTCAGAGGGAGACGGAGGAGAAAGACAAGGAATAAAGCTGCCTATAAAAAGATTCTCAGAAAGTGAAGGCATCTGGTCAGCAGGTGTGAACTCCAGGCACTTCACCATGTCCTCACCCAGGGAATTATCTGAGGGACTGCGGGCTGAGGAAAAGCAGGATGAGAAAATGCAAAACTTGCAGAATGAGAGCAAAACAAAACAAAAAAGAGCATTGATGGGGGCAGAGAATAGGAGAAAATGTGACAAAGATGCTAGATAACGGAACAGAAGGGATCAGAAGATACACTTATACATAAAAACAACCCGGGGCAAAAACATAACATTAACCCAATACACTCATGCATACGTTTAACTTTTAAATGCTTAAATAGTAATAGAGGTGAGCTAAATATTTTCCTTCAAATCTTTCATTTTGGAGGTGAAACATCCTTAAACCCTTCTGAAATTATTTAACCCGCTTGGACTAAGGTTAACAAGTGACAGATCCGGTCTATAATATACTTCCCAAATTAATATGAACACAAGATGATTTAATGACTTCGATATGTCTATATGTTCAATATGTCTCCTAAAGAATGTGATATGGAAAACGTGCAACTTTATTTCTCTACATACCTGACAAGCTAAAAATGTGTTTAAAAGAAATCAAAAAAGCAGGGAGAGAACTTGGGGATATTATAGGGCTATCCATGATATGTTGTTAAATGAATAAGATGTTGTTTCAGAGTAATTAACAGTGATGATACGATGCTATTATGGTAAAAGGGAAAATTTTTAAAATCATACCTGAATATGCATACCTGTGCTTAGATGGTATTTTTACTGAAGATGGAGAAAAGTAAGGTGTAAAAAGCATATATAATAAGCTGTTACCGGGGGTGAACCACTTCTTTTATTTATGTCAATATGGTTTTACTTTTCAAAATAAGCATATATTAATTTTCTGATTTGAAAATCATCAAATAACAAAATTTGCAAAACATGAATCTTCCCTTCTGGGCTGCAATGCCTTACCTTAAAACTGACCTCCAGGGACTTCCCTGGTGGTGCAGTGGTTAAGAATCTGCCTGCCAATGCAGGGGACACAGTTCGAGCCCTGGTCTGGGAAGATCCCACATGCCGCGGAGCAACTAAGCCCGTGTGCTACAACTACTGAGTCTGTGCCTAGAGCCCGCGAGCCACAGCTACTGAGCCCGTGTGCCACAGCTACTGAAGCCTGTGCACCTAGAGCCTGTGCTCCACAACAAGAGAAGCCACCGCAACGAGAAGCCCGCGCATCGCAACGAAGAGTAGCCCCCGCTCACCGCAACTAGAGAAAGCCCGTGTGCAGCAACGAAGACCCAATGCAGCCCCAAATTAAAAAAAACAAAAACAAAAAACCCCAAACTGGCCTCCAGTCCTACACAATTAAAGGGAAGAATTGCTCTTTTCTGCGGTAACCTTTCTGTTTCAAACCAGTATCTCCCACAGCTTGCCTGCTTAACATCAAGAGGCATCTCCACCACCCTGTCCACCTGTGATGTCACCCAGAAAAGATGTAAAACCTCTACACATCTCTTCAGGCCTAACCTTCAGGTAATATACAATGGTCCCATAGATTTTCTATGGCTATCGCTACGTCTCAGAGCAAATTGTCACAGAGGATCACGTTTGCTTTCTCAAAAGGCCATTCTCTCTTCTTTGCATCTCCTGCAAAGGCATAATGCCCACGTCATACCGTTATGCTCATCCCAACAGCAACAACCCGAATCTCATAAATGGAAGATTATTATAACCTTCGTCCAGAAACAAACAACTGGCCCTGGGTTCTGCAAAATCAGAGCCCTCTTCCAAAACCAGAATAAAGCCACTTCACAGACAGAGAGCAAAGTGCATTTTTAGGAATTCCCTAAAAACTACTTTATTGCAATCGAACCTTTTTTGAAAAAATCCTTTAGGAAAGGACTCATTTTCCTTTTATTCTTTGGGAACTACGGGATCTTTTTAGGGAAGAATAATTTTCAATACGTTCATTCATGGATGATATATGGTACTTAACATACATAGTTGGAAAAAAAAAGCAAGACTTATTCACTAATATACTTATTTGCCAAGCCAAAATACCTGCAACCCACAATTCATAGGATCTGTCAGACTGCATATTGTAGAACTTCCCTGGTGGTCCAGTGGTTAAGACACCATGCTTCCAATAATGCAGAGGGCATGGGTTTGATCCCTGGTCAGGGAAGTTCCACATGCCACGTGGCGTGGCCCAAAAATAAAAAAAAAAAAGAGAGAGAGGGAGAGAGAGCTGCATATTGTAGCTAACACTTTTTAAAAAGCCAAGATCAGATCTCCCTGACTGGTGCAACATCTGTAACAATAAAAGAGCCTTGGAATGTATGTTTTCAATCATGTACAAGATAAGGGAAAGACCTAGCTTGATTCTCTTGTAAACAATAGTAGAAAAAAGAGAGGGGAGTTATCAGTGATTATTAGCCATCCATGACTCAGAAGATGGATGGATGGATGGGAGAATGAACTCTTACCTTATGCATTTGATGCATGCCTTCCTGCGGGAAGTCAGCAGACCCCATCGACGGCATAGGGTGTGAGACACTTGGAGGCCCAGGACTTGGCCCCATCATACTGTGGACGGAACCTGGGGATGGTCCAGGTCCTGGACTGGGCCCAAGAATTGGTCCAGGAGAGGGTCCCGGCCCTGGCGAAGGCCCTGGGTGGGGCATCGCACCAGGGTCTGTGGGCGTGGACATCTACTTCTCCTGACTCTGCCAGTCAGTACAGTGATACTGAGTTGGAAAGAAGAGAAAGGAATGTTTTAAACATGATGTTACGATCAGAATAAAACAGTTGTTAGTATTAGATGGTGCCATTTCCGTAACAAACATCAAACAGAACTGCCCTGTCTAGCCCGGATGTTTGAGAGAGTGTGGATATATCCATCTGCCCTAGTCTTTATGAAGACCTCTTATTTAAAATGATTCCCCGGAAAGATATAAATCATCTAAGATCCAAAAAAAGGCTCACTGGAGAAACTCAAATGTAAGACATAAGGAGAATTCTAAACAAGCTTAAAATTTATTACTGAAGCCAACAGATGCTCTTCATTACTTGGGCACCTTACAAGGCATTAACCCCCCAAAGCCATTAAAATATACACCTCCTCAAGAAATACCCAACCAAGACCCACTTGCATAAGTCAATAAGCATTCAAACTTCACAGAATTCTAGAGAGTTAAAAGGGGGAGCAAGTACAATTTCATAAACTGAGGATGAAAGGGAATTGCCAATCATGGGAAAAGAAGAGGTTAATGGCAGTCAGACAAATACGGGTTCACACAGCCGCATAGGCAATGACGCACTGAGACTAAAATGTGATGGTACGTGTAAAACCATAGCTCTGTGCCTGGCACAACAAGCAGCCTCTCTTACTGAGCCTTACTCCCCGGCCCTGCCACCTCCACTCCAGCAGAAACGAACAGAAGGGCAGGTTAAGATGTGGTCCTACCACCAGGTAATTAATTAAAGACCACGTGGACAGTGGAGGGCAGGGATTCATCCCGGGCCTCTCTGGGGTCCAAGACTCACACGAGACATCAACCATGACTCCTGGATCGGGGCCCACCAGAGACGTGGTATGAAAATTCCGGTTCTCCAGCAAAGCGGTATTCCATCACCCATGTGCCAAGACTTCTTGGCATCCCCACCGGGGAACTGCCTCATGGGGTGGGTACGACGGGATCTTGGATATCAGCCAAAATGAGTAAATAAGCTGTTTTCTGAATTTTGATGGAGATGAATGATCCCAGGGTAGTCATGGTGATATATTATGTCATCTGGGGGCACACACCTGTACACACAAAACCTCTTCTGATGCCGAACTTACAGAATCCTAAGTGGACTTGCTTACCCAGTGATTAGTAGCAGGGAAGAAATTAGACCATAGGGGCCGGGTCACCCACAGCAGGGCTCTTTCCATAGTGAAATGAGAGGTTAGAGGGAAAATTAAACGAAAAAAACAAAAAACCCACGTTACTTCCATTCTTAGCTAACTACCGTCACCTCTCGAGGAATCTCTAAAATGTGAGGGCCGTGAGGGTGAGGTCTGGCCCTTCTTAGCTCCTGTATCCCCAGCACCTCCAACCAGCATGGAGTAAGTGCTCAGAAAAGATCTGAATGAAGTGTAGACAAAGTTGCAAGGGCAAACTATTAATAGAGTCAATTTTAAAAAATAAAAAAATTAAGAGAGCAATCAGGGTTTGAGGTATGTTCAAACAAAGAAATCTGAAAAGTGGAGGCAAGAATTTGGCCAATCTGATAAATGAATTAGGGCTAGAACAGGAAGGGATGAAAGGCTGCTTTGGACTGATTATAAGCAAGGGATCACTCAAACTGTTTTGCTGATACAAGATGGGACTAAGAGAACACAGTTCAAGTGATTTCTAAAACAACAGGGAAGCTTGGACAGTAAATTATAGCCTGAATTCACTAGAGAGCCAAATGTTATTATTTATTCTTTGTGATTAACAAAGCAGGCGGAAGTAACCTTTTTTTTTTTTTTGGATTCCACCCCCTCACATATACACACACCCACCCATGTCCAGTCAGCATTTTAAATTTAGGACGCTGACGTCAATTCAGGGGTACTACAAGTTAAGATGTTCTTTCATGTATATCAGCAAACTAATAAACCCCTTTATTTTTTAGTGAATAAAAGGAAATTGCTTACTTCCTGTTATGATTTACCTTGAAATTGGCTTCAATGGCTATGATGGCAAGATACCACAAGTTTGAACAATGAAGATACAAATGCTCAGTCAGCCTGGCAGTCCTACTTTTCATGTTTTATATTTTAATATCTATTATCCCAAAATACCAACGACTTTCTGTGCGTATAATGACTTTCATCTGGGAGTCTCGTAGAATGTTGTAATTAATTGTATGCAGTCCCACAGAAACGCTCATCATTTTTTGTTATAGGAAATTACTAAAAACTTCTTAGGGGGAAAACATATGAGACAGGAAATGGAAGAATACGGACATAAAGAAGAATGTTAATATAGGAACGTGTTATATAGGAAACATTTTCGTAAGAAGAGAACCTTTAGGAGCATGCACTTAATGAATGTGTCCGTGAAACAGCATAGATGAATAAACAAGAAGCCAGCTCAGAGAAACAGCACAGTTTAACAAGGGAGCAAACCTGCCCCATCCCGCACAGCCAAGGGACCTGGACTACCGCACAACTTGAATGTGACCCTCTGGCTTCTGACTGGGAGCCCAGAGACCTTGGGTTCTGCCCACCTCAGGGCTGTCACCAACCCCGGGGTTCCCGGGCAAAGCGTGTTTTTTTTTTCTGGGGTTTCTCAGCTTCCTCTGGGCTTGGAATCGAAGCATCTCAAGGCTCCCTGCATCTGCCTATCCAGGGCTTGCAGCATCTCCCGATTCCTCCAACCTTAAGTGTGGGCGCGCTCATCAGTGAACCTCCAGGGCAGGACCCGGGCTGTCCCAGGATTCACGCCACGGCACCATCACCCAAGCGTACCACAGAGGAGCACCTCTCAGAGACGAGGCCACAGTCCTGGCCTCCTATTCCTTCCTCTTCATTTCTGGTGGCAACTTCATGATGCAGCTCCAAGACACAATTAAACTTTCCCACAGCGTAAAGCAATTCGGGGGTGTAAATTACAAAGAGGTGCGAGTCTCAAGCAGAGGCGCAGGTCATTACTAAGTCCCCGTGGTTAAGGGTGAAAGTCCAGTATTGGCCAACTCAGCTTCCCCTCACCCACCCTCCCGGTCTCCCTAGGAATCCAAACCCCTTTCTTTTTTCTTCCAGGCACCAATTAAGTGATGCAGATGGGGTGGGGACAGTGGGGACAGGCACAGGGCGGATGGGGGAGAGGCGATGGCTCCAGTAACCTTGAGAGGGCAGGAGTGCCAGGTCTCTCCGCAAGATAACACTCAAAATCTATTTTTATTTTGTGTTGGGGGGCGGGGCGGGGAAGTTTTACATTGTCACCAAAAAGAACGGCCTGTTCCATAATTACATGGCCAATATAAGGAAGAAAACGTGTCTGTGTGTAAGGAGGTTAGGCACACAGACCTCCCCGTACCCCGGCACTGCCAGGCCCCTCTCCTCCCCTCAACGCTTCCCTCCACCTCACACCAGCACTCCCTGAGGGCCAGGCCGCTGTGCTCTTAGCCAAGAATTTTTCAGCAGTACACCCTGTCTTTTTTCGTCCTGACCCTGCCTTTACAACCGGGGAGTGTGCGCTTTTTAAAAATAAAAGTCGTTGGAGCTTCCCACAACTCCAACCACTGTAGACATCCTCCCTCAGCCCGAATTCCCTTCCTCTCCCCTTTGCAGAAAGCCCCAGCATACCCATCTGCATATTAAAAGGCGTTCAACTTCATGGAATTTTAAGGGTCACCAGTCCCACCATGACAACCAGGACAGAACGTCTACCGTCCTGTCTCGCTCCAATCAGCTGAAAGATCCCCACACTTGCAGTAATACTTCAACACAACCCCATGTGCTTCAGAATCATTTCAGGGACTTGACTTGAGGACACATTTGGTCACGTCCCCATTTAAAAGAGGAGGGCAGGAAGGGACCACAAAGCTTGCCCAAAGTCACATCTGTGAGTAGAGCTTTTTATCTCTTCACTCCTGGCCCAATACCGAGTCACGGCACCATCAGGCAAGCCAGGCCATCCACCAGTGTGGAGAGCTGTCACTCAGGCTGAGCAACGATGCACAGAAGTGCGAGGCAGAGGATGCAGAAGCAAAGATGGAAACAATGGGAGATGTCACGAGGACTGGGATTTGGCTGTGATCCTATGTTAATGTGCGAAGGGACAGAGAAGTGAAGAAAAGCCCTCGAGAGAATATGAGGCAGAGACAATGTTATGAACCTAAGAGGTCGGTGATATTTAATCAAAGATCCAGAGGACCTGTTTTACTCATCTATTCCCAACTGTCCTGGCTCTCCCCTGGGCACAAGGCATGGAGGATGTACAGAAATGACCAGAGGGCTTACCCAGGGCTCTGCAAGTCTGACAGGGAAACAGGACTTATCCATAAATAGCAGTGAGAAAAAAAAAAAAAAAAAAGAACATGCAAGTTCCTGCAAGACCAGAAGGGGTATAGCTAGAGTGTCCACTCTAGTCACGGGCAGCAGAGAGGACTTACAGCTTGGAGGGCGGAGGCAAGAAAAGGGAATTAAGGGAGGCTTCGTGGAGAAGGTGCCATTTCTGCTAGGCCTTGCAGTAAAAATAGATAATAAATAAATGTTTCCTAGCAACTTGTGTTTTCTAGTCGCAGAAAGAGTTTGGGGGGGAAGCACAACCTGCACTAGACAACACCTCTTAAATAACTTCACGAAACGTAATAAGGAAGCGTGGGGTGATCTTGGATCTCCAGCAGACCTTTATCTCTTCTGCATTTACAGAAAGACTTTGGGGTACAGGTCGAAGGTGGAATATGAGAAATAAAAGTTAGGCCCGGTTCACATCCCTAAGAATAACTGTTGTTTTCAAGTTTTCTGGCTGTTACGGAGAACGATTAAGGCTCAGGAGATAGTTAAGATAAGAGTTCTTTTTATGTCTGTTTGCTGATTCAGACTGTCTCCCCTGACCCTGAAGGTTTTCTCTGTAGCTTTCTCTGTAAATGAATTGAGAATTCCCCCACAAGAAGTAGCAACATCTCTAGAACTGGAACACAAGTGCTGCTGTTCTTGATGGGGGAGTAGAGAGTAGGTAAGAACAGCAAGGAAGATAAAAGAAATAAA